AGGTCGACCTCCACGTGGTTCCCCCTGGAAACCATCGTGAACAGTTCTTGTTGAATTCGTCACGATGGGCTAACTGACCTACTTCATCCTCACCTATCATCCTTCACTGGTGCCCCGCCGGTGTATACCGATAGCGCTGGTGGGGTTACCATTCCATTATCACCCGTTAAAAAAAAAGATGCAAGCCCTGTATATCAATTAAAATTTGTCTGTATTTACACTGTTGATGTACCTTTTAAAAATAAATAAATAAATAAACAGTAGGTTTAGTGTTAATTAGTGCTCAAGCCGGGCGTCGTGTCCAGGAGTCAGGGGCCGTGCTGGCCCACGTCACGCCGGACGCGGTCGATTGTGTCGTCGCGTACGCTTCCTTTGGTGGTGACCTCCGCGCCTCACTACTTAGTGGTACGTAGGTATGTTACAAACATATGTATCACACGTGGTCACTATTATATACGTACTATTGTAGATATGTTGCAGATAAATAAGAATATTAGGAGATAAATGAAATACCTAGTTGTTTTACGAAATCAGGAATCGTCTATTGCGTTTTATCGCTGGATTAAGATTATGTTCCATAAAAATACTTTGTATATTGACTTGTGAATTCATATAACGTATGTTTCCCTTTTAAAGTAAAATAAAAATAAAATAATAATACCAGAGGGAGACTTTGTACAAAAGTCGTTTGCTTGGGTACCTCTGTCCCATTTGTGTTTCTACCGTGAAGCAGTTGTGTTTGCATGACCGTGTTTCGGTTTGAACGGTGGGATATGGCGTGAATTTACAGGGTACAGAGGAATAACACCTCAGGAATGGCAACGCATGGGGGGTCTCGTGGGCGAAACAGTACACTCTGTTATGTCCATGGTGCTGCTCATGTCTATAGGCGACGGTTACCACTTTCCATCAGGTAGGCCGTCAGTTTGTTTGCCATTCTAAGTTGTATAAAAAATACTCTGTATTTTATAATTATGCAGATTCTGTTATAAATAATAAGTATACGATACAAGTAAGTAAATTCCTTAACATATTAATACATTATTTAGCCACAAGAGACAAATCTCCGGTGCGCTTCCTCGAAGTGTTTAATAAGGTTACGATAATAAATCGTCAATCGATAATGACTCGCTGAGCAGCGATGCCATCGCGATAAATTGATATAAAAATAAATAAAATGTGCCAAGTGCGAGTCGCGACAACAAGGTGCTGTATCAGTATAGAATAAAAGTCATGGCTCCCGACATTGAATAGGCCATCCCTTCCTTTCCCGTGACTGTCGTAATAGGTGGCTAATGGAACTTAAAGATCGAGGGATGGGCAGCAGTGTCCCTCTTAAAATGTCAGTAAAATCTAACTGCGGTTGCCAATCCGGCTACCAAGCGTGGCAATTACCGACAACCGATGGAGTGACGACCTGAAATGCTTTGCAGGGAGTCAGTGGATGCAGGTGGCTCAGGACCGTTCCTTATGGCAGTCTATGGGGGAGGCCTATGTCCAGCAGTGGACGGATAGTGGCTGAAATGATGATAATGACGAATATTTTGTGTATAATCTTCTATACTTATAATAAATCTGTGGAGAGGTCAATTCTGTACATGAAATATATTTCCAAAATAACTATCAGGGGGTGATTAGTGATCGATACTGATGCCAAAAATGCAATCAGTAAAATTTTTGTCTGTCTGTCTGTATGTTCGTTATAGAAACAAAAACTACTCGACGGATTTTAATGAAATTTGGTACAATTATTCTTTATACTCCTGGGCAGGTTATAGTACACTTTTCATAACGCTACGATCAATAGGAGCAGAGCAGTGAAGGGAAATGTTGGGAAAACGGGAGAAGTTACTCGATTTTTAAGCTTCCGTCGCGTGTGCAGCCTTAATGGCCACTTTTTAAAATGTAAAAATGTCCACCTGTGCGAAGCCGGGGCGGGCCGCTAGTAGAGTATAAATAAATTGTACAAACAATAAACGAAGTGTCATTTATATTCAAAATAAAAAAAAAACTTTTATTAAGAAAAATGACAATTAAGCTAAACATTTGTATTGGTGTTTCTATTGATAATTAAAACATTTGTACAAATTGTTTTACCAAATAAAAGTTAAATGATTAATAGTTGTTTGTTTAACATTACAAACATGTAACTAATAAAATTAATTACAGGGGTTCCCTCTTTGATACGAAACCCGAAAAAACAAAAGATATGATGACGTTTATTTTGTGCGCGGGCGCTGCGTCAATCACTGTGGAGGCGGTGCGCTTGCTCCGCAACGGGTTGGCAATGGTCGATATTGGTTTATCGATATTTGGATTTTATTCTAATATATATATATATATATATATATATATATATATATATATATATATATATATATATATATATACAGGGTAGGCAGAAACAATGGAACGCCAAATGCTTCGATTCAAACAAACCTCTTTCGCTTCTTCCACATTCATCAATCTTTTCATACATGCTCGCCGGGTATATATATATAAATGAGGATGCTGACTGACTGACTGACACATATATCAACGATAAACGTGTCATTTGATTTGATCAATGTACAGCTGCAATGCGAAACCGCTGTATCTAGAATCTTGAAATTTTGCAGATAGATTCTTTATATAGCATAATTGAATAATAAGAAAGCAATTTTGAAAATTCAACCCCTGAGGGTTGAATTATGTAGGTTAAAAGTCCGTATGAAATTTTTTCAATTTAGAAATTAGACGTAGTCATTCTTCGTGGTGAACCGAATGAATTTCCATTTTTTATATGTACGAGTACCTTTTAGATATATTTTGGTGTTTACCATTGAGGGCTTTGTCAATAGTCATTACGCTTGGCAGGTGGGTAGGCAACCGCAGCAAGGCTTTTCTTAAAGAGGGATGCTCTTGCCTATCCTTTGATCATTAGGTTCCCTCATTCACCTCTTACGACACCCACGGGAAAGGATTGGGTGGTCTATTCTATGCCGAGACCACACGGTAAATATATACCATTTTATTAACGAAGTGTATGCATGTGCATGTATGTAATGCGAACACAGGGGGTGAAGGGATTGTTAGTAAAGCAGATTACGAGTCCCATTACTAGCAAATATACCCTGTTAGGCTGACTTGCACGCGGTTCCTCCTGGAAACTATTGTGACTAATTTATAGTTGAATTCGTCACGATAGGCTAACTGACCTGCCTTTTCATTCTCACCTACCACCTCTTTCTGGTACCCTCCCAGTGTATACAGATAGCGCAGGTGGGTAACTCCGCTATTTACACCCATTAAAAAAAAAATGCAAACACAGAATACTGTCTGTGATATTAATTTGTTGTTTATTTCTAATAATATTGAAAATATGTGAATAATATTTCTTAACAGGAAAATCGATAGGTATAATCGTCCCCGCACTGGGCTGCCTACTATAGCGGTACTTCATACAGGGGTGAGATAAGTCAACGCATCGTTTTCAATCACATGCGATTCACAAATTCACTATACGAATACGTGTAGGGTTGTCAACCAACGGATACAACAAGAATTTTATTTAAATTTGATATTAGTTGACGATAATTTTCAAAATTATCACTTTAATTATCTCTCTACTAGTCAACAATGTTTGTAAATTTTAATACACATACAAATCTAATGGCTTGATTTTTATTTAACCTCGACAATACGGAATACACCTAATTGACAGTCATATTTTAAATTGCATGTCTTCTTTTGTATTGAGGGATAAAAATAAAGAATTTTAGAAATTGACTTTTCTTTAGTTTTTTTTTTATAACATAGGGGGTAAATTTTTTATAACATAGGAGACTTTGTACACAAGTCGATTGCTTGGGTACCTCTGTCCCATTCGTGTTTCAACCGTAAAGCAGTTGTGTTTGCATGGCTGCGTTTCGGTTTGAAGGGTGGGATATGGTGTGAATTTACTGGGTACGGAGAAATAACACCTGAGTCCTCAGGAATGGTAACGCATGCGGGATGTCATGGGCGAAACAGTATACTCTATTATGTCCACGGTACTGCTCATGTCTATAGGCGACGGTTACCACTTTCCATCAGGTGGGCCGTCAGCTTGTTTGCCATTCTAAGTTGCATAAAAAAAAGGTAGCAAAATACAATTTGTTCAGTGTGCATTTTGTATGTGATACATTTGTTTTATTAAAACTAATACTAATTATTACATGTTGAGTGAAGGTAGCGTTTTACATACATACATACATATCTGTCACGCCTGTCTTCCTTTAGGGTAGGCAGAAACAATGGAACGCCCAATTGCTTCGATTCAAGCAAACCTCTTTTGCTTCCTCTACATTCATAAATTTTTCATACACGCTCGCCGGTTACAGGTACTTTTAATTTGGCCCTTCTTCGGTTGGTAGCATTTTCTAGCGCTAAAAGTTTTAAGCTATCTTTGTTGAAATTTTTCGGTTATAATCTTCTTTGACATTTAAAAGGGTAGAAAGTGTTAATGATATTTTAAATGATCCAATTTAGGATACCAATTTACCATAAATTTAAAAAGGTTCGGTTTGAAATGTGGGATATGGCGTGAATTTACTGGGTACAGAGGAATAACACCTGAGTCCTCAGGAATGGCAACGCATGGGGGGTATCATGGGCGAAACAGTATACTCTGTTATGTCCATGGCACTGCTCATGTCTATAGGCGACGGTTACCACTTTCCATTAGGTGGGCCGTCAGCTTGTTTGCCATTCTAAGTTGTATAGAAAAAAAACAATTCGATAATTTAAAAGTATTTTTGATCAATTGGCATTTGTTGGCAGTTTTAAAATCCAACAATATATCGACTGAGTTATCAACTTTTATTAGTTAAAAATTAATATTTAAAAAATTATAACTAGGTATTATAAAATTTAACTGGAGGCAACCCTAAGACATTAATACAGTCGGTAGCGTCTTCAGAAAGTACAAGAAGGTATAAAAGTGTGTCCTTGAAGGCACCGTGGCAATCGTCGCACCTCCTCCGTGGGACCGGACCACCAGGAACCAAAAATGGGAGCCAGTGCTAAAATTATTCTTGTGAGTATTCAAATATCAATTGGGCATTATTATTATTTTGATTTTTTTTACTCAACGTATAGTTGGCTTTATTACGACGACTGGCTACGAGTACGGGCTGGCCGCCAAGTATCTCGTAGCCGTACCGCCTAACAATGGAACAGGTGTTTAGTATTATAGACTTCTGCAGTTCGATGTAAGTGTAGCACGGAAGGTCAAGTGTTCTAAGTGATAAGTGTAGCTAATTCGGGATTACTCCTGTAGTAGATAGGACTATGTTGCGTTGGTTTGGTCATTTGGAGAGGATGGATGAAAGAATTACGAAAGAGATTTATCGAGCAAGAATGAATGGAGATATCGGTAGGGGCCGCCCTAGACGGACGTATGTCGAACAAATAGGCGACGTGCTGAAGAAGGGACAAATTAAAAGTACCCGTAACCGGCGAGCGTGTATGACAAGATTGATGAATGTGGAAGAAGCGAAAGAGGTTTGTTTGAATCGAAGCATTTGGCGTTCCATTGTTTCTGCCTACCCTAATGGGAGACAGGCGTGACAGATATGTATGTATGTATGTAGATAGGACTATTGGAACTATGGTTGCGGATTGTAACCGCCACATGCGGGTTATTTCGTCCTTTAGATCTGTATATTTTGCCAGTTTTTCAGCTATAGTGTTCTGTACATTGTGTGTATTTGGGACTGCAATGTCGACAATATATGCTTTGCGATTATTATTAATCAAATATATTTTTCTACTTTAAATAGGTATTTTTTATTCTCTTCATATATTTTTTATATTATATTAAGAATTGAATTTATTTAAGACATTTTATGTAAATGATAATTAAATGTAATCATAATAGATTGTGTTAAAAAATGTATCAAAACCAGTTATTTTGATTTAAAAACTATATTATTGAACTGAATTTGATAAAATTTCTATGGGATCAAACTGTAGGTATAAGATATACCTACAGATCAGATACACATCGGTTTAGAACTGACAAAGTTATGGGGTAATATAAAATTTAGCACACCTGCAATGCCGCTGGTGTTGTGGGTGATCATGGGCGGCGGTAGTCACTTACCATCAGGTGAGCCGCGTGCTCGTTTGACCCCTGCGTTGTAAAAAAAAAAATTCATATTTCTTTATTAACCAATGTAACAGTTTCCGTCGCACAATGGCCAGTCAATATTTACATTCTAAATTTAAAATTAATAAAATAAATAATAACAATAATAATAACATTTGAATTATAAAATAAAAATAACATTACAAATTAATTACAGTTAACATTATAAATTAGTTAATACATGTCCATATAATGGAAAACTATATGAGTTAAAGGAAAACAAATGCGACCGAATTGACAACATTCTTTTTGAAATCGGTTGAAAAGTTAATGAGATGCAAGGTTTGATTCTCGGTTGGTTAAATTTAGGATTTTTTTTTTAATTTTCTGGTTCTCATAACGTAGTTCACACATCAAATACTTAGTTCTCAAGCTAGGATACTTAAGAACAATAGCTATTATTGATTAATTATTAAATGTGATTTTATATATTTTTTAAACACAACAACACATGTCTTTCTCTTGAGAAGATTCAAAGACGTAGCTTGAATCATACGTTATATAATGCTTCTATAATTATATTTAAATTATTGATTTTTTTTCAGTGTTTCATCATTGCAGCTATATGTGACGTCGCATCATCCAACGAAAAGGAGCCTCGGAAAGTGGGACTGCTAATTCCTGAGAAATTAATAGGAGGCGTTATAGACATTGTGCATAGCCACAAGCAAAAACCATCGACCACCGTGCCCGTGCAATCGATCCAGCAGACGTATCCAAATCAACAGATCTACGCCCCACAGCAGGGCTACCAACCCCAGTATGGTAACCAGTGGAGCCAACAAAACTATCAAAACCAGTTCCAAAATCAATATCAAAACCAATATGGCAATTATCAAACGGCTAATGGCAACTATCCACCAGCTAATGGCAACTATCCACCAGCTAATGGCAACTATCCACCAGCTAATGGCAACTATCAAGCAGCAAATGGAAATTATCAATCAACGACGGGAAATTACGTCTCCAATTATCCTGTGCCCATTCAACAGGGTAATTACGTTAGTCAGTCGCAAAATCAATACATAACTCATCCGCAGAACCAGGGAAATTACGTTCAGAACCAAAATCAGAATCAGGGCAATTATATTCAGAATCAAGGCAATTACGTTCAGAATCAAGGCAATTATGTACCAAATCAAGGCAATTATGTTGTTCAGAACCAGAATCAAAATCAGAATTTGCAATTTGCCGGGCAAAACGGTCAGAATCAGTCCAATAACCAATTCCAAGGACAGGTAGTCAATCAGGCGACATCAGGTTCTGGGGGTGGTCAGAGTGGATTTCAAGTATCGGGCAGTCACCAAGCTGGCGGACCGGGGCCCACCTGTATATGTCAAGCATGGACTAAACCGCAAACAGCTGGAGTGAACGAGCAGGGCCAGTTGAAACCAGAAGAAAAGAAAGAATAGTAAATTTAAATGTTTAAGTTGCTTAAGTAACAAATAGGTAGTAGTAATTTAAATAATTAAGTAATACGTATTGTATTTATTTTTTAATCAGTACTATTTATTCCTTCAAAAAAAGATTAAAATCATTCTATCTTTCCAATTTAGTTTAAATATAAAAAATGATTAGAAGACTGTCATCATTGTGTTCTCTTGTAATTGATATTTATATGTTGTATTTAACGTATATATATATATATATATATATATATATATATATATATATATATATATATGTGTGTGTGTGTGTGTGTGTGTGTGTGTGTGTGTGTGTGTGTGTGTGTGTGTGTGTGTGTGTGTGTATGTGTACGTATGTATGTATGTGTACGTATGTATGTATGTGTATGTATATGTATGTATATATATAATGATTTATAATTTATGTAACATTGGTGGTAATTTTAATTATATGTATTAATTTTTAATATAATTTAGCAATGCGTGCATCTATATCAGTGTATGGATTTTTTTATTCGGTTGAGTCAACGTACTTTTCTGAATGGGTCGGGTCTAGGTGTTTTGTGTTGCGGCCCCAGGTATTGATTACCTATTTACTTATAACCTAGGGTATCCTAGTTGAGTATCAAACAATTGGTATGATAGTGTGGCATTTTCTTTTGCAATCTAAGTTCTTATTTTTTATTAGAAAAAAAAAAAACATTTTTTTTTCCATTTCCGCCAAATTACAATTGAACAGTCAATATTTTGATAAGAATTTAAACTCCTGAGAGGTGATGAAAACTTGACTAAAACAAATAAGTTTATTACCTACATTATAAAGATAGAATGTCTCCATACAAATGGTTCGAGAAAAGCGGGTCAACTTTTTCATAAAATTTTGAATGATAATTTTTTTTATTTTTTTTTATTTAATTAGCATGCATATACATTAAAAAAAATTGTGGATTTATTAGTACCACTTAAACCTTATGGCATTAAGGCTTATGAATGTTTCCTTTATAACTTCTATATTTATTTTATTTTATAATTTTTGCTTATTTTTAATTCGTAAATATTCATTTTATTTATTAAATAATTAAATATAGATAGTCGTACGTCAAGATACATTACGTGCGTAAGTATATAGAACACTGATAAAAAAACGAGTCGGCTAAATTGACAATTAGCTGACAAAAAGTAGACCCGTTTTTGAGACTCGATGATCTATACAATCTAAGATTTAATGAGACCAGTTAGCAATTCTACTGATGTATTTTTTTAATAACAGTTTACTGTTTATACCCTATCAGGTCGACCTTCACGCGGTTCCCCCTGGAAACCATCGTGGTTAATTCTAGTGGAATTTGTCACGATGGGCAAACTGACCTACTTTCATCCTCATCTATCATCATTCACTGGTGTCCTGCCAGCGTATACCGATAGCGCAGGTGGGGTTACCATTCCCTTATCACCCATTAAAAAAAAAAACAGTTTACTGTACGATAATATAATGTGGGTAAATGTTACAAAAAAATGTGAGGTTTGTAAATCCTATGGACTGAATCCATTAGCATTTAATGGCTCTTTGCCTATTCCATATAAGAGATTTCGCGTGAAGATTTAAGCAGTTAATGTTTATTGAGATTAAATAAATCGCTTTTATTTAAGTACATTATCTATTATGTATCGTAATTCTATTAATATTGGGCTTGTTATTTCTTGTTTTTGTCACTTATTGCTTTTAATTCTGAGCAGGCGTTTCTTTTTGTTGATCTCTTTCTACTTTGTTATATTACTAAATAATAATGTAATTTTATCAATAAAATATTTAAAATTTATTGGAACCTTTAACAAGGGATATATTGAATGTATTTAGATCAATATTGACTCATCCTGTTTTAAAATATATTAATCTACATTAAAAATAAATTTAATATTTAAAATAGGTTCTTAAGTTTTATTAAAATCTATTACGGATATTTTTTTTTTGTTTACTTACTAATTGAATTCATATAATACTTGATTGATTGTTTATGTAAAGTGAATTTTATTGTAAGGATTTATTACTTAGAATAAAATAAATATTTGAAGGATGATTACTTTTATTTTTATCAAACTGAACTGTGCCAGTGTTTTTTTTGTCAATGAAAGTCCCAACAATATCAGTCAGATTCAATCTTCTAAGTTTTATTTTATTTTATTTCTAAATAAAATGAAATGTACATCTGAATAAAATGTAATGTTGAACGATGAAATATTTGAATTTAGAATGCTAAATCATATGTAAGTAAATCAATCATAGATAAAGAATAAAACTAAAAAGACGCAAATTGGCGCCAATTTTTATTTTTTTATAATACAAATAGAACATAGACCATTACATGCGCAGACATAAAATCAATTTTTCATTGAACCTATTAACGCTACCAACACTTAACTTATATCAGTAGGTACATTATGTGTAAGAAAAATATTATTGGATAATACTCCATAGAGATTCTATTTATAGCGCAATGGTTAAATTTGCAATCATATCTTTGGACCATTTTATTAAAAACCCTCATAAATTGCTCCATATTAATAGTGAAGTGTCATAGTATAATATAGGAGAGGTCCGATACACTGGTTTGTTCAAAGTAGGTTCGAATCGTGCGCGCGCCGCTTGCCTTACGTAATCGTTACGTAAGGGGCGAATGGGGTTGCAGGGGTAGTGCATGGATAACGGAGGGGCCAGAAGGGAGAGGAGAGAGGCAGAACGGGGGCGAAGGCGCCGGCAATCGATTCCCATCCGCAGTCCGGCTTGGCGTTTGAACATGGCTGACAAGACTAAAGTTGCTGAGCAGTACTACGCTCCGCCACCGGACCTAGGAAAATGGGAAGCGTTCAGGATATTTCTTTACAACTCCGAGACTGGACAGTTCCTTGGCCGCACGGGATCGAGTTGGGGTGAGTTTTTTTTTCACACTTATCGTTTTTCCGGCCAGTTATGTGACAAAGGACGGTTGCTAATTTTGGAGGGAAATCGATGACGTTTAATTTATTTATAATCTATGAAATGTAGTTCGTGTTAATTAAAAAAGAAAACACGCGCAGGGGCAATGTCATAAGACGGATGTTCCCATATATGTAACATATAAGGGAACGAATGTTACGTAACGTCTTTAATATTTTAAAATTACTTTACTACTTTATAGGAACAAAATTACTACTACTCTATTATACAACTAAAAAAGAAGGTCATTTTTATGTTAATATAATTTAAGTAGAGCTCTGAAAAAAAAGCGACTTAAATCGGACATAACTAATATAAGGCCGACACCTCCCGTATTAAGTAAATCGTATGAACCATATGAATATTATTGATTGCAAAAATAAATATTAAAATCGGTTCAGTTAATTGGAGAAGATTATGTGTGACATACACACAGAAATACAGGCTAATTGAGAACTGGCCCCTTTTTGAAGTTGTTTAAAATTTTTAAATAGGTGGGTAACTTAGCGAATTTTATACGTCTAATTGTTGCATGACTCAAGTAATTATATTGAATGGATAGATTTACATACATAATAAAATTATTGACCAAATAAAATACTTTGCGTACCAAATTCGCTGTGTAAATGACGAGTTCACTCAAATGGTGCTGATATTCCGATGTACTTAATAATTTCGAGTGATATTCGACTTGTGCAGTGCGCATGCGCTCTATTTTATAATAGGTACCCACAATCAGCCAGTCGAGTGGCTACACACTACATTTTAGACAATATTCGAACGTACAAATATTTTATTATCTGTAGCTAATTGTATACTTGTCATATACTGCGTATTTGCCCGTGTAGTAACTAAACATATATCCTATGTTTTTTTTTATACAACTTAGAATGGCAAACAAGTTGACGGTCCACCTGATGGGAAGTGGTAACCGTCGCCTATACACATGAGCAGTACCATGGACATAACAGAGTATACTGTTTCGCCCATGATACCCCCCCATGCGTTGCCATTCCTGAGGGCTCAGGTGTTATTACTCTGTACCCAGTAAATTCACTGCCATATCCCACATGGAACACTTAATTAATCAATAATCACTTAATTAAACAATTTATAAATCAATCTTCATTATTTCTTATAGTGTATTCAGACAGGAACTGTTCAGATTCGTATTTGAGTTGATTTAGTATGTAAGGTCTTATCTGATGATACACCTGATCGAAAATACTAATGCAAATAATAAATTGAATTTAGAACTACATAATGCACAAAATACCCTTTTTTTTCTGAAGTTTTTTTTTTAAATTATGTTTCTTTTTAAGGCGGTAGAAGACTAAAGAATTTTATCAAAGGTTTTTTTTTAATAGGTGATAATGATATAGTAACCTCGTCCGCGCTATCGGTATACACTGGTGGGGCACCAGTGAGAGATGATAGATGAGGATGAAAGCAGGTTAGTTAGCCCATACTGACAAATTCAACTAGAATTAACCACGATGGTTTCCAGGGGGCACCACGTGGAGGTCGACCTGACAGGGTATATTGCTAGTAATGAGGCTATTTGACCCCATTACTAACAATCCCCTTCCCCCCTTTATCAAAGGGTTAGATAGGTGGGCTCGGCTGCCGGCTGCTGGATGTCATTGGGAGAAGATGGTGATAATGAAGTTAGGTCAATTAGTCAATCGTGATAACTGACTCTCCCCCCCCCCCCCCTCTCCCAGCCCTCTGTAAGGCGACAAGGACACTGCATTTAGTGTTCGTTGACTGCTTTTTAATTTATAATATAATCTTATACTATCTATACTTATAATAAATCTGTAGAGATGTCATATTTTTGATATATTTCCAAAATAACTATCATGATTTTTGATCGATATCGATATGCATTTATTGTTTTATAGAAACAAAAACTTACGGATTTTAACGAAACTTGTATCAATTTTTCTTCATACCAGGGCAGTTATGCTACTTTTCATCACGCTACGATCAATGGAGCAGAGCAGTGAAGGGAAATGTTAAAAAAGTCACCCGTGCGACGCCGGGTTCTGCTATATTCATAAACCACGACCGTTTATTGTACCTTCCATCACGTTTTTATTTCTAAATGTCAAAATTATAAAAAAAAAAATATGTATTAGTGTTGCCAGATACATATTTTTTATTTTACCCAAATGTTAAATATTTTTTATCTAAATCGATATGCATTTATTGTTTTTACCCAATTACATGCTTGTATCAATTTTCACCACGTCTTGCCATGTAACCACAAATGAAAGTCGTCTACGCTTAACTTCACTGACCCTATTGTTCTGCTATATTCATTGACATGGTTTATTGTACCTTTGTACGTTTTACAAATACCAAAATTATAAAAAAAAAATCTAAATTCCTCGAATCCTTTTCCACTTTTCTCCAAATGTTTATTCAGCAATGTTTCATTTCATTTTCCTTTTTTAGTTATGATTTTCAGCGAGTCTCTTCACCACTTGATACGATACGACATCAACTTTTCCCTTGATCTGTCTGATGTAGTCATGCCCAGAACTGTCTTTCTCTCCCCAGGATAAAACTCTAGATGGTTTACTATGAAGAATTAATAGAGGATATATATATATATATATATATATATATATATGTATATGTATATGTATATGTATATGTATATATATATATATATATATATATTATACCAGCTGTTAAATGTTCACTGCTGAATATAGGACTCCCTCTATTTTGCCAGTGAGTTGCCATACTTGGCAGGCGAGCTGGCAACCGCAGTTAGGCTTTAATGATGTTTAAAGAGGGCCGCTACTGCTCATCCCTCGAACATTGAGTTCTCTTATTCGCCGTTTACGACACCCATGGGAAAGGAAGGGGTGGCCTATTCTATACCGGGACCACACGGTAAAGACATAATGTGTTATAAGAATTTCAAGTTCTCCCGCTATCGTTCACGGAAAATAATCTTAAATACGTTAATATTTACTTAGCGATAAAGCGTACTTGATACTGTTTACGTTTTATGCCAGAACTAAAGCGTCTAGACGGCAAAATTAACTAAACAATGTCCTAGGTCTAAACTTTTCTATATATTTCTTACGATGATAATATAATGATTGGGGGAAAGGGATTGTTAGTAATGGAGACTGAGAATCGCATTGCTAGCAATATATCCAACCAGGTCGACCTACTCGCGGTTCCCCTGGAAACTATCATGGTTAATTCCTGATGGATTCATCACGATGGGCTAACTGGCCTGTTTTCATTCTCATCTATCACCCTTCACTGGTGCTCCGCCAGCGTATCCCGTTAGCGCAGGCGGGGTTACCATACCATTTTCATCCATCAAAAAATATAATAATTATATAATAATAATTTATCACATGGAGACTTTGTACAAAAGTGGTTTGCTTGGGCACCTCTGTCCCATTCGTGTTTCTACCGAGAAGCAATTATTTTTGCATGTCTGTGTTACGGTTTGAAGGGTGGGATATGGCAGTGAATTTACAGGGTACAGAGGAATAACACCTGAGTGCTCAGGAATAGCAACGCATGGGGGCTATTATGGGTGAAACAGTATACTCTGTTATGTCCATGATACTGATCATGTCTATAGGCGACGGTTATTACTTTCCATCAGGTGGACCGTCAGCTCGTTTGGCATTCTAAGTTGCATAAAAAAAAAAAATAACAAATTGTTGAAAATTTTTTAATATTATTTACGTAAATCAGCATTCGTCCTTGGATCGATTGGGCGAAGGACGCGGCGCGCGCACCACGCAATGGCGGGCCATCGGCCGCCATAACGCGACTTCAAGATTCTAAGATATTTTATCATTTATCGCTAAATTTGAATTAGTAAATCCTTTTGTTTGTTTGTTATTTTACAGCGTCTTAACGATTTAACTAATACTATGATTTTTTTTAATGGGTGATAATGGTATGGTAACCCCGTCTGCGCTATCGGTATACACTGGCGGGGCACCAGTGATAAATGACTGATGAGGATGAAAGCAGGTTAGTTAGCCCATCGTGACGAATCAACTAGAATTATCCACGATGGTTTCCAGGGTGAACCACGTGGAGGTCGACCTGGTAGGGTATATTGCTGGTAATGGGGCTATTTGATCCCATTACTAACAATCCCTTTCCCCACTACTATGAAATTTAGTATACACGTACTTTTTTGGGTGGAGAAGGATGTAAGTTGATTTTTATATTATTTTTTTATGCAACTTAGAATGTCAAACAAGCTGACAGCCCACCTGATGGAAGGTGGTAACCGTCGCCTATAGACATGAGCAGTACCATGGACATAACAGATTATACTGTTTCGCCCATGATACCCTATGCGTTGCCATTCCTGAGGACTCAGGTGTTATTCCTCTGTACCCAGTAAATTCACACCGTTTTAGGTCAACGGGATATGTTTACTGAAAGTATATCGTTCAGTAAATATGTCCCGGTCACGCGGGCGAAGTTGCGGTATAAAACTAGTTAGTTAATGACGTGATTTATGATTAATTGAATGTAAAGTGGCCAATCGTTGAAGGCACGCGTCAATTTGTACGCGACCATCATTGCGTTGTGTAATGTTTGATTGGGTTGAATTATATTTATCAACACGATATCTATGCAAAATGTTTATTTATTTATTCATTAGTACATATATGTGTACATGGCGGACTTAATGCTAAAAGCGTTCTCTCCCAGTCAACCATAGGGAAGTGTCAGAATACTCGAATGCGGTACTAATAATTATTGATATACATACATACTAAATTTACATATATAAATTAATTAAAAAAAAGACACTAGTAGCAGCAAACTTTTTTGCTAACCTACGATATTTGCGGAGACTATGATAAAGTACTGTCAAAGATAATGCCAAGATTTTTTTACTTTTGTTTGGTAATCTATTAGAACCCCATCAAAAAACCACAGGCAGAAGACTGCCCAAGGAAATTTTTAAAATGAGTCTGGGACTACTTGTAATGATGGTTGGTGTTTTTAAGGGTTTACAACAAGACTATTAAATATTACTATTTTTTTTTTGATGGGAGAAAATGGTATGGTAATCCCGCTCGCGCTAACGGGATACGCTGGCGGAGCACCAGGGAAGGGTGATAGATGAGAATGAAAACAGACCAGTTAGCCCATCATGATGAATTCATCAGGAATTAACCATGGTAGTTTCCAGGGGGAACCGCGAGGAGGTCGACCTGGTTGGGTATATTGCTAGCAATGGGATTCTCAGTCCCCATTACTAACAATCCCTTTCCCCCCAAAATATTACTATTTATCTTTTAATTATTATGTTTAATTGTACAAAATATATACACTAAATGATTCATAACACTGGACCGGAGTTGGTTGCAATGGCCTGAATAATATCTGTGACAGGCGGTCGATAATAAGCGATAGTTCGCGCTACTCCACTAATTACAACTTGTGTGTCTCTCTTTTCAAATAGTATACGTAACATTGCTTATTACAAAGTTATAATTGTTTGTATTATATTATATGTATTTAGTTTGCTTCCCAAGGGAGAAATCACGTCTGTAGAATAGGGAAGCCTTGACTAAAATGAAAGTGAGTTTTTTTTTTGATGGGTGAAAATGGTGTGGTAACTCCGCCTGCGCTAACGGGTTACGCTGGCGGACATGATGTTTGATAGATGAGAATGAAAACATTGTTCTTTTAGACTTTCATGATAGAATTCATCACGGAATTAATCATTTATTGATAGTTTCCAGGGGAACCACGAAATTGAGTCTCGACCTTTTGGGTATATTCATTTCATGGTAGACCCGCAGGTCTTCATTACTAACAATCCCTTTCCCCCCAATGAAAGTGAGTTAGTTTGTTGCCTCTTAGCGTCTCAATAGTCGATCCAATCACTGTAAAATTTGGTATTCACGTACTGTATGGGATTTTATTTAGTTCATTGAACATATCCCGGTCACGTGGACGAAGTCCGTGTGTTCCCTGGATAGAATAGGCCACTCTATTCTTTCCTGTGAATGTCGTAAGAGGCGTCTAAGGGACGGCGAGCGTCCCTCTTAAAACATCTCTAAAGTCTAACTGCCAATCCGCCTGCCAAGAATAGCAACTACTGGCAAAACCCCCCAAGGGGGAGGTTTTTTAATCGATGATAATGGAATAGAAACCCCGTCTGCACTAACGGGATACGCTGGCGGAGCATCAGTGAAGGGTGATAGATGAGAATGAAAACAGGCCAATTAGCTCATCACGACGAATTCACAAGGAAATAACCATGATAATTTCCAGGGAGAACCGCGAGGAGGTCGACCTGGTTGGGTATATTGCTAGCAATGGGATTCTTAGTCTGCATTACTAATAATCCCTTTCCCCCCGCAAAGGAAGGGTTATGATAATATGTCCAGTGGTGTTTATTTATTTGACCAAAAATCGAATTTAGATCCTTAACGGGAGGAAAGCGACGTGTTTACCAATATCTTAACACACGAGAGATCGTATTTTGTGATTTCCATCAGATTCGTTATCGATTCGATGGTATCAACTCATCAATTGCCTTAAATTCAGTGTAGGCCGCTAAAATGCGGCCAGTATTCGATCGGCAATTTGGTAGGAAACTCTTATTGTTGCCACTTATAGCAATTACTTGACCCGATACTATTTGTATTGAGGTATCGGCTACGAATCGATATGGAGCTATACGTATCATATAATTACATAGAATGATATAATAAAAATTGTAAATCATATGGTTGCCTCCTTTCTTTTTATGCAAAAATATAATTAGTAAAAAGACGACGAAAGATACACAATCAGTTGCTATTTTTCTCAATTCATAGCAGGCTAGTGTATAGAAAATGTTTGATATGTCAATTGTTTGTCAATGACAAATTTTACATTACTAGATTATATATTCGACACAGTCTATGTAGAAAGTATGCAAGCAGGTTGTATCTGAATTTGGTAGGGTTATACGGCCGTATAACATTTTCTATACACTAGCTTGCAATGAATTGACAATTTTATCACTTCTTCTATGTAATTCCTTGTTCTTAGGTTCCATGAGACGCGTCGACTCGTTCTTTTTTTAAACTTATTCTATTTTTAAACAATCGACTTTAAAAAGAAGGTGCTTCTCAATTCGGTTATATTTTTTTTTATGTCTCTAACCACATAACTCCGTCAGTTGTAAACAGAGGGCCTACCATGAAATATTTTCCGAAACTTCGGGGACGAACGAAACAGAAATTCGATGTTAATATTATTGTTATTATTGCTATTGTTAATACATGCTGTTGAAAATTAATAAAAATGTTTAAATATCGTTCCTTTGGACTTTTATGATAGGATGTATGACGAACGAAATGTTAACTCCATTTATTGGTCCGATTTTGGTATAAACAAAAACACGAAATTGAGTCCGAAATTTCGGAATTTCATTTCATGGTAGACCACCTGATTAGGAATATTCTTTTTTTTTTATCTGAATAGATATAGTTATATATTGGCGCCATGGAAATTTTATCAAAATCGGTTTAATAGTTTAGTATTGAAAACAAAATAACAGGTTTTGCGACAATTGAAGTAGTTTTTTTTTTTTAAATTTTTAATTATTTTCTCCATATTTCTAGTTTACACTTAATATCTTGATTTATCATTTATATATGTAAAATATTTTAGTTAGTTATTAGTTAGTTACCAAAATAAATAAAAATTGTATTTAGTACGCAATTTGGCACCTAGATATGATACGTGTTCCTGTGGGAAACATATTCAACCTCACCGACAGAATATTTCTTTAAAAGGCCATGATTTTAGTATTATCCGGCGCAAATAGGGGGAAGGGATTATTAATAATCTAACTGGATTAACTTAGAATAGCAACCGCGTTGCTAGTAATACACCTTGTCAGGTCGACCTCCTCGCGGCTCCTCTTGGAAATTTGTTATAAATATTCTTATTATAATGTTTGTTCACAGCTAAAATCTTGTTGTTCTACCTAATCTTCTATGCGGCGCTGGTGGGTTTCTTCGCGGCCATGCTGGCCATCTTCTACCAGACACTCGACGCGAAGATGCCCAAGTGGCAACTTGATGGGTCCATCATAGGAAGTAATCCAGGTATGTAATAATGTTAAGTATGATTATCTGGCATAAGACCCGACTGATGGTAAGTGACCACCGAAGCTGAATAATTTCTGTGACGCGGCACGAAAACTTTGATTTCATCGTAGCTTGTAATCTAACTGATATAGCTCGTCTTTGAAGCTAAAAGACATCATGCAAGTAGTTGGTAGAAGAAATAAATTATCCCAAAGGTAATCATAGAATACTGTTAGTGAATTAATTTACCAGAGGAAGATTTTGTACAAAATTCGTTTACTTGGGCACCTCTGCCCCATTCATGTTTTTACCGTGAAGCAGTTGAGTTTGCATGGCTGTGTTTCGGTTTGAAGGGTGGGATATGACAGTGAATTTACAGGGTACAGCAGAATAACACTTGAGTCCTAAGGAATGGCAACGCATGGAGGGCATCATGGGCGAAACAATATACTCTGTTATGTCCATGGTATTGCTCATGTCTATGGGCCATGCTTGTTTGCCATTTTAAGTAGCATTATAAAAAAATCACTAAAATATTAGATATACCTTTTATACCATATTTTATTAATAATCCATAAATAAAGAAGTGATACAGGTTTATTTTGTAATGGTAACTCCACCTGCGATTTCATTATTCGTTTGCGGGGCATCATTGAGGGATCATAGATGAGGATGGAGGCAGATCAGTTGACTTATAGTTTTTTTTTGATGGGTGAAAATGGTATGGTAACTCCGCCTGCGCTAACGGGATACGCTGGCGGAGCACCAGTGAAGGGTGATAGATGAGAATGAAAACAGGCCAGTTAGCCAATCACGATGAATTCATCAGGAATTGACCATGATAGTTTCCAGGGAGCACCGCGAGGAGGTCGACCTGGTTGGGTATACCCAATATTGCTAGCAATAGGATTCTCGTTGACCCATAGTTAATCCATCAAGTATCAACCATGTTGATTCACAGGGAGGATCATATGGTAGTTGATTTGCCTAATAATCCTTCTCCTCCCCAGGTCTGGGCTTCAGACCCATGCCGGACTCCGCCAATGTGGAGAGTACCCTCATCTACTACAAGGCTAACGACAAGGGCTCCGTGCTCAAATGGGCCAAGGTCATCGACGAGTTCCTTGAACGTGAGTATTTTAGGACACAGTATTTGTGGCACTACATACGATTACTTATTTAATTATTACACACATATTGACAAGTTGTATATTTAATTACGTACCTAAATACTATATTTATGGTGTTTTTCATATTAAAGGTCGTGACCCAAAAAAATCCGTCTTCAAACGTGACAACCCTAGTTATTTGGTTGATAAAACTGTTATGGGCTCAATCTGTAAGTAAATTTTTTCCGATAAAAAAAGAATATTCACTAATCGGTTTAAATCTGACAGAGTTGAATTATGAGGTAAGGAATGTAAAAAAAAAAATACAACCGAATCGAGAACCTCTTTTTTAAAATCGGTTGAAAAGCAAACAAGCTGACCGTCCATCGACTGGAAGGTGCTAGCTTGTTTGCCACTAAGTCGCATAAAAAAAAATATTTTAGTATCGTATTAGACACATGTCAGCTGCATGTTATTTTTATATTACAAGATATGAATGTTAATAAAGAATAAGAAAAAACTTCTGTGTAAAAAAAGTTATAATTTTTTTAGAAAAAAAAAAACATGTACTATCTATGGATAGTATTCCCGTTTCTACTCTCGACTCAAAATGTGTTAAATTTATCTTATATCAAGAATTACTCTATTTTGCACATCAGACAGAAATACCACTGTATCTACGCATTGTTGTTTTATGGGAAATAGGCACAGGTTAAACAGTGTAAAACCTCATGTCCGGATCAAGGTTGCATAAATCCTGCCTTAACCTTAATCCATGGTACTGCTCATGTGTATAGGCGACGGTTACCACTTTCCATCAGGTGGGCCGTCAGCTTGTTTGCCATTCTAAGTCGCATAAAAAAAAATATTTTAGTATCGTATTAGACATATGTCAGCTGCATGTCCAATAAACACTTATGTGGCAAACAAACTATCTGGTACTTCGTTAAGTTGATTACATTTGAGCAATCAGTGCCACTTTGGTTTCTAAGTGTTCAAGTTCAAAATTCAATTCAATTTTAATTCAAATAAACTTGTTTACAAGCACTTTTTAATCGCCATTTTTTATGAAGGCAGAAAATTTACAGTTACTCCTTTAAATCACTGTTAACATTACGTGTATTTATTTAAATGTACTATCTCTAAAATTACATGGTCGTTAAAAGCTCGTGCATGATCGACTAGCACCATACACATTTGTCTCTCAAGTAATCGTTTAAAGCAGGGTATCCCAAACTTATTTTGTCTACTGCCCACTATGAGAATAAATTATTATAAGTATAGTTTTTTCTTTTTTTTTTATGGATGGTAATGGTATGGTAAGCTCGCCTGCGCCATTGGTATACGCTGGCGAAACACCAGGGTAGGATGATAGGTGACGATGAAAGCAGGTCAGTTTGCCCATCGTGATGAATTCCACTAGAACTAACCACGATGGTTTCCAGGGGGAACCGCGTGGAGGTCGACCTGATAGAGTGTATTGCTAGCAATGGGTCAGACCCCATTACTAACAACCCCTTTCCTCCTTCGAAGTATAGTTGTATTAAGCTTATTAAGATCACTGTTCTCTATTATACTAATTTTGTAGAATATCGCAAGAAGGGAAGTGGCAGCGGTGAGGCCAGCGGCGCTGAGAACAGGGTTCCATGCTCCCCGACATCAGGCGCCCTCGGTGAGAAGCAGGTGTGCGATGTGCCAATTGACGAGTTCCATCCATGCACTGCCGCCAACCAGTACAACTACGAGGCGGCCGGACCTTGCGTCTTCTTGAAGCTGAACAAGGTTAGTTCAGTTTTACAATGATATAAAGTCTAATTAATGTGACACCACTGAAGTTGGATTTAGACCAAATGTTAGAAACTTGTTTTTTTTCCTACTGTAATATTTTTTTTTAGTATACTCGTCATGATGTTTCCGTATTATCCCGGTATAGAATAGGCCATCCTGTCCTTACCCGCGGGTGTCGTGAGAGGCGACTAAGGAAAGTTAATGGTCAAGGGATGGGCAGCAGCGTCCTTCTTTAAATGTCTCCAAGGTCTGACTGGGATTGCTAACCCGCCTGCCAAACTTGGCAGTTATTGGCAAAACCCCAGTAATGAATCAATAACATCTGATATGGTATGGTATATTCTTAAAGATACTAGGAGACAGTTATTAGCATTCTAAGGTTTTTTAATAGATGACAATGGAGTGGTAACCTCGCCTGCGCTAACGGTATACGCTGGCGGGGCACCAGTGAGGAATGATAGGTGAGGATGAAAAGGTGGGTTAGTTTGCCCATCGCGACAATGGATTGGAATTCAACACGATGCTTTCCAGGGGGGACCACTTAAAGGTTGAGCTGATACCAGACTGAGACCAATTCCATTGGTAGCAATACAGGGTATAGTTCGCATTACTGACAAACCCTTGCACAAAGGTTGGAAACCTTAGAATGCAGGGGGACAAGGGTCATCATCATGTCTTGAACTCAGCTGTCTATAAATAACACTACTATTATGACCACATAATTGTATTCATATGTACAAGTGATAGTTACCACTTCCAACCATCAGGTGGACCGTCAGCTTGTTCGCTATTTTAAGTATTATAAAAAAAGAAACTAAGAATACAGGTAAAGTAAACTAGGAATATCTTATTCTTCTACTAAATTAAATTTTATTTAATGTATGTATACTAAAATATGGTTAATAACATTCTTAGAGCATTCTTTATTGGATCAACTAGTTTTGTGAATTATTTTTTTTAGATTGCTCTTCTAGTCCATGTTTTAGCTCTTATTCTATGGGAAAATCTAATGGGATTAAATTTTATGGCACACGTAGACCTTGGTCATTATCTTATGTAAAGTATAATTAACCTATTTAATGGTATTGTATTCCATGACGTGAATACTTCTAGATATTATCTAGTACCCATTGTTTTAGTTAACGCCAGCCTTAGCCTATCTGGTGACATTGGGCAACTTCTTGATAGGGCTCTAAAAAACGAGGTCATCTTTTACTGAAATGCCCTTAAGAATAATTTAAGGCACCGACCAATTTCACTCACGACGAAAAATGTTTATTATGATTCGCTCTGTTCACTCTCTAAGATCAAACTTGATCCTCTACTTATGCTGTAGCACCTATCGTGAAACTCTTTGCCTTCTAAGGCCAGTACTGGTGTTAGTATGTATTTTGAATTTAACTGTAAAAGTTTTAATGCTACCGTATTTGTCACTTCCAGATCTTCAACTGGCAGCCGAAACCTTACAACAACACTGAAGACCTGCCCGGCAACATGCCAGAGGATCTGAAGTCACACATCAAGATGGTTGTAAGTATTCACTTTAACTGTAAACCGCAAATTGTCACAGCCATGTGATCTTCACTAATTAACACTAAGAAAATGGCTTAAGTAACCAGCAAATTCAATTTCTTTTTTAATTTACTCTTCCATAATTGCCCGTTATGAACACTGTTTGCGAATATTGTAAAAATTAAAGCCAGGTTAGTTTACATTTATTTTTTATTAAATTTGGGGATAAGTACTTATTCGTATGTAATTGTTGGTTATTCAACAAACTGGCAGTCATCTCTCTTTGCTTATTTTGCAAGAATATGGTGTGAAGATTGATAGATAGCATCTAATTTATACTCTGAAGTTATGCAAATGCAGAAAGCAAAAGGTGAATGCCAGGTCTTTAGTGCTCAGTTTTTTCTACCTACCATACAAGTGACTTAGTGTGAAGACAGATAGAATCTCTAGGTATATCTAGAATGAATATCAATTACTAAGTAAAATAATTCTTTTGCAGTCGGGCAAACCAGAAGCAAATACAGTGTGGGTGTCGTGTGAGGGTGAGAATCCCGCAGATGTCGAGAATATCGGGCCAGTGCAGTACATCCCGCGGCGGGGCTTCCCTTCATACTATTACCCATTCACCAACAAGGAGGGATACCTGAGTCCCCTAGTTGCTGTACTCTTCGAGAAGCCCAGAAGTACGTACCTTTGTATATTTATTATTACATATGTGCACAACACAATACAGCGTATGACTAAAATATTCGTTTACGTCAGTACTTTGACTGTAATAGGAGCCACAGGTCGCTATATTAATTTTTAAATGTGATAGTTAGACATCTGTGTACGAGTATTAATTACATGTAGTTTTATATCATATTCGATTCGAAAATCTGTATTTTTTTTATACAACTTAGAATGGCAAACAAGCTGACGGCCCACCTGATAGAAAGTGGTAATCGTCGCCTATAGACATGAGCAGTACCATGGACATAACAGAGTATACTGTTTCGCCTATGATACCCCCCATGCGTTGCCATTCCTGAGGACTCAGGTGTTATTCCTCTGTACCCAGTAAATTCACGGCATATCCCACCCTTCAAACCGAAACACAGCCATGCAAACACAACTGCTTCACGGTAGAAACACGAATAGGACAGAGGTGCCCAAGCAATCGACTTTTGTACAAAGTCTCCCTCTGGTAAACTGTATATATGTTTTAGATAATTTGCGATCACTTAATTAATTACATTAAGGCAATGTTGGCCAATACTGTGACAAGTCAAATCTTACAGAGCAAAGATCCAGAAGAGAAAGAAAAAATATTTATAATGTCTCCCATTATAAGTATTTTATATATACTTATAACAAATACACTATGGCTAGATAATTCTTATATATATCTATGGGAAAGGGCTACATCGCATGTACAGGAATCAAATAATTAAATAGTCAACTTTAAAGAATTGTCTATATGTATCAGGATTTAAATCGCTTCTCGGGTTTCTCTGTGTCTAAGAGAGTTGGTGTAAAACATATATAGACAGCATTACATTAATAATATCCTTGCTAACATAGACCGTCAATTTTATTAATTCGACAGGTTATCTGTTCCTAAAATTGCTCCCAAAGGAGCAATTTTAGGGACAGAGGGATTAAGATTTTTTAATGTCAAAACATTAACATTATTGTCGCTGACTATCTCAGGTCAGACGATCTTTTTGTATACTTGGATATATTTTTATATTATTCTTCTTCATATTCTTTTGGATGTATGTTTTTTTTTTAATATCTTTTTTTAATAGTTTATATGATATACATTCTTTTCCAGTTCTAATAATAGTATGTTTTTGCAGCGGGCGTACTGATCAACATCGAGTGCAAGGCGTGGGCGAAGAACATCTTCTACGACCGCTACGAGCGGCGCGGCTCGGTCCACTTCGAGCTGATGGTGGACCGCTCTTAAATCCCCATCGTCAGGCCATTGTAGCCAACTGACTACCGTGGTCGACATATCCCGTGAAGCTCAGGTGTAATTGAACACGGAATCTTTGGCCAAAACGATGTAGGTGTCTGCGTGAATGGTCCAATATGGTAGCTCGTTAGTTCTTACATTTTGACGACAAAAAACTGTCTTTACTTAGATGGAGAGTTAGCGTAACTGTTAAAGTCTTAGATCTTAAGTATATTGATCTCGTTATCCAGTGCTCAGTGCCAAACATTCGGTGTTTTATTACATGTTCAGTGAGTCAGTTGGCCACGGAGGTCGTTGGTCGGGCCGAGGCAGCTTGGCACATGGCAAGCATTTCAGCAGTTGCGTGCCGCTGGTGCCGGGCGATTAGCAATAGCCACATAGTCGGCGGTTAATTTATATTCGTTTTAGAATAAGCCAAATGGCGTCACTAAGTTAAGTTTCGTTTCACGCTTCAAATAATGTTTTAAATTATTGATAATATTTATTATGTAATGTTTTCTGGACGAGATGTCAATAAACACGCAATAGTTGGTTCCAAATTTTGTTTTCTGATATTTTTATTCAACCCCTGAGTCCTTGATTTAAAGAATTAAGCAATGACATATGTTTAGTTATGATTTTAAATACCTAAGTAAATAAAGGCGATTAATTACTGAAGAATTATAAATATGTTGAAGATTTCCTTAGAAGAACCGCCTATAGATTTGGCCATCAAAAACAATGGCCACTTTTTTTTTGATGGGTGAAAATGGTATGGTAATTCCGCCTGCGCTAACGGGATACGCTGGCGGAGCACCAGTGAAGGGTGATAGATGAGAATGAAAACAGGCCAGTTAGCCCATCATGATGAATTCATCAGGAATTAACCATGATAGTTTCCAGGGGGAACCGCGTGTAGGTCGACCTGGTTAGGTATATTGCTAGCAATGGGATTCTCAGTCTCCATTATTAACAATCCCTTTCCCCCCAAATAATGGCGACTTAAAGAGATTAGTATTTATCTTATATCTGAAAGGTAAAGTGATATCGTGAGAAACAGTAAAATCAGAATATGTCCCAGTTGGCGAAATCAAATAAAATGATTTTTTTTAATGGGGGTATAAAAATGCAATGGTAGCCCAGTCTGCTTTATTGGTATACGCTGACGTGGCACCACTGAGTGATGATAAGTAAGGATATATGGTATGTAGTCAAGCTAGTTGGCCGTCATGACCACCACCGCTATGAATTAATTTTTTTTTATACAACTTAGAATGGCAAACAAGCTGACGGCTCATAGACATGACCAGTACCATGGACATAACAGAGTATAGTTTCGCCCATGATACCCCCCATGCGTTGCCATTCCTGAGGACTCAGATGTTATTCCTCTGTACCCTGTAAATTCACGCCATATCCCAACCTTCAAACCGAAACATAGCCATGCAAACACAACTGCTTCACGGTAGAAACACTAATAGGACAGAGGTACCTAAGCAATCGACTTTTGTACAAAGTCTCCCTCTGGTATAAATATGTCCTCTCCCCTCTGGTAATAATTATGTCCGTATACCATTCATAGCCACAAAACTAAAACTTTGATCTCACTGATCTTGGTTTAGATGGATCTGGGATTGCTGTGTAACTCTAGTCATATCTAAAAGTCGAGATCAGAAGAAAAAGAATGAGGCAATTTATTTAATGAGTGAAAGTTGTTTGTATGCAGTTGGCAACATGTAAAGACGCAGTAAAAGGGCTGTTGGAATATATCGATAGATACGTTTTCGCTAGCTCATGCATGAGATAGAGGAGAAGATCGGACGTAGCTGTCTCGTTTTATCTCATACATGACGTAATAACATTATCGTTGCGGAAGAATGTCTTATGGCATGATCGATTCGTAATTTATTGTCACAAAAAAGAGAAAAGAATAATTAGGATAGAAGAAAAAATATTGAAATTTGGACAAAATAATTTCTTATCGAACAGTGCTCTGGTCTCTCGGTGCTACTTACGAGTCGCGAACCGCGCTAATGAATGAGGGTTCCTGTTAACCTGGAAACTAGTTGGGCATCCCTGCATTTTTTTTTATACAACTTAGAATGGCAAACAAGCTGACGGCCCACCTGATGGAATGTGGTAACCCTCGCCTATAGACATGAGCAGTACCATGGACATAACAGAGTATACTGTTTCGCCCATGATACCCCCCATGCGTTGCCATTCCTGAGGATTCAGATGTTATTCCTCCGTACCTAGTAAATTCACGCCATATCCCACCCTTCAAACCGAAACACAGGCATGCAAACACAACTGCTTCACGGTTGAAACACGAATGCGACAGAGGTACTCAAGCAATCGACTTTTGTACAAACATGTGTAAAGTTAACATAAATAATTACATGACAAAGTCTACCGGGGGTTTTTTGTACCTCCACCTGTAGTAACGCGCTTTTTTTCGTATATTAATTTCCACGTTATTTATCTATTTTTATTATTCAAGTAGTATTTTCATTCATTCTTCCTATCCATTCTTCTTCCATCTTTCATTATTTTATATATACTCATTATTGTTTCCTCCATAAGATTACAATAGTAAACTTATTCTAAATATAAACAATTACAAGAAATAATCACAATGAGAAAACAATGGGCGACCTTATCGCTAAAAGCTTGATTGGAGGCACGACGAAGACCCTATTATTTTTAAATATATAATATTTTATTTCATTCCCTTCTTAAGTGTGATTTCTTTTCTTTTCTGTCTTCTTACCGGTTAATGTTGTTTTGTTGTTCAGTTATTTAGTGTCTGTTTAAACTGATCATGTCTACCTAGTTGGCAATTTATTAATAGCTGCTTAAAATGGTCCACGTACAGTTTGTAAAGACATATTTCAACAGCGGGATCACTCATCAAACCATACATTGTTAAATTATAATGAGTTCCCTGTTAAATTTGAGGCTAATTCTTTTCTTTTTTTTTCGTTTTATTCTTTACTCAGGTGGATATATTAATTTTGAACTAGATGGCTCAGGTGCATTTGTTTAAAAACTTTTTCTAGCTTAGCTTCTCTGCAAAACAAAAAGATGAAAAAGAATGGTATATTGGAATATGGTATATTGGTATAATGGAATATGGGATTTACACAACCATTGCATGCACATATACGTAGATTTTTTTAATGGGTGATAATGGAATGGTAACCCCACCTGCGCTAATAGTATACGTTGGTAGGGCACCAGTGAGAGATGACAAGTGAGAATGAAAAAGCAGGTCAGTTAGCCCATCGTGATGAATACACCTGGGATTCGCATTAATGGTGTCCAGGGAGGATCATGTGGAGGTCGTCCTAGCAGTGTATATTGCTAGCAATGAAACTGATAGTCCGCGTTACTAACAATCCGTTCCTCCCACATATACTCGTAAGTATTTTTTAAATGAATGATAATGGAATGGTAACCCCACCCGCGCTATCGGTATACACCGGCGGGGCACCAGTAAAGGATGATAGGTGAGGATGAAGCAGGTCAGTTAGTCGATCGTGACGAATTCAACAAGAATTGTTCACGATGGTTTTCAGGGGGAACCACGCGGAGGTCGACCTAATAAGGTATATTGCTAGCAATGGGGCTGTTAAACTCCATTGCTAACAATCCTTTTCCCCCCATTCGTAAGTATTTGTAATATGCTCACAGTCAAGAAATTCAGGAGAATGAATTTTGTGTAATTCCTACACAGATGTATATCAGTGAAGGTTTGCTATTACACCCTCTTAGCGACGGTCTATTTTTTTTTTATACAACTTAGAATGGCAATGGATGGGATATGGCAGTGAATTTACAGGGTACAGATGAATAACACCCGAGTCCTCAGGGATGGCAACACATGGGGGGTGTCATGGGCGAAACAGTATACTCTGTTATGTGCATGGTACTGCTCATGTCTATAGGCGACGGTTACCACTTTCCAACAGGTGGGCCGTCAGCTTGTTTGCCATTCTAAGTTGCATAAAAAAAAGAATAATTCAGAAAGTATAAAATTAAGGAACATAATTAGAAGTACTTATTATCAAATTGTTTAAATAAAATTGTAATGGTTGTTTAAAAAAGTTACAAATCTATTCATCTATCTGTTATTACTAATTTTCACATTAGTAATATTAATATATATATATATATATATATATACATTTAAGATACATTTATTTATTTATTGAACAAAGTATGTTTGTATTAGCACAGAATTTATCATTGCTTCCTACACTAGGCTGAGCCTGTCCTGTAGGAAGCAGTACTCGTGTTATCATATACATGCATATAGATATTAAACATAGGCTTTTTAGCAGTACTGACAACTGTGTTACTAATCTGTATAATACAATTTTTTTTTTTTTTTTTTTTCTATATATCGTCATAGTAGTAGAATACTGACGGATCTGATGAATATTACATATAAAGATCCGTCAGTATTCTACGACTATGACGATATGTAAATAATTGAAATAATTTATTTGCTGGAATAAGGTACATTGTTATAGGTGTTACTTTACAAGAGAATTAGTCCAATCTTATTCTGCCACGCTGTGGACTTGCAAATATTATAACTTATTAAACAAAAAATTAAAAAAAATTCATCATAATAACATATACATACTGGGGGGAAAGGGATTGTTAGTAATGGAGACTAAGAATCCCATTGCTAGCAATGTTCCCAACCAGGTCGACCTCCAAGCGGTTCCACCTGGAAACTAACATGATTAATTCCAGATGAATTTATCATGATGGGTTAACTGGCCTGTTTTCATTCTCATCGATCACCCTTCAGTGGTGCCCCGCCAGCGTATCCCATAAGCGCAGGCGGGGTTACCATTCCATTTTCATCCAATAAAAAAAAACATATACATATTGCAATAATATTTTGTATACATAATGTAACTATTTTTCCTTACGTCACATCGCATGTTACCAATAACCCAGTTAAAGATGTTTCAGGTACAGTGTAATGGTAGACAAAGACCTCTATGTGGGCCAGTAGAAACTCCCCCTAGGGGGAGGGAGGGGCGAGTTCAGAGGGGACGGCGGCGCCACAACGGCGCCTAGGGTGCTGGCTCGCGAAATGTCACAAGTATTGCAGATTTGAACCGTTGGGGTAAACGAGACTATTAGCGAATATTTTTTTTATACAACTTAGAATGGCAAACAAACTGACGGCCCACCTGATGGGAAGTGGTAATCGTCGCCTATGACTATAGACATGAGCAGTATCATGGACATAACAGAGTATACTGTTTCGCCCATGATACCCTACATGCCATTCCTGCGGACTCAGGTGTTATTCATCTGTACTCTGTAAATTCACTGCCATATCCCACCCTTCAAATTGAAACACAGCCATTTAAACACAACTGTTTCATGATAGAAACACGAATGAGACAGAGGTGTTCAAGCAAACGACTTTTGTACAAAGTCTCCCTCTAGTTGATGTTCTCTGTATATAAATAAAATTGTTCCCTTTAAAGAATGTTACAGATTATAAAGACTAACAATGTGTACACGAACTAAATAAATAACTAAATAATTACATAAACCTCGATACATAAATATAGATTAAAAAATAAGATAATATTAATAATAATTTTCTCAAACATGCTTGAAAATGTGAGCATTATTTTGACAATCTTCTTAGAGATAAATCAAAATTGCCGTACTGGCCAGGTACATGCGGGCAGCGGCCGGCAAAAGTTGTATGAAAATCCATATCTGTCGTGTTTTGCGGCCAGATAAATTACTATGTAAACTCATATCTGTCCTGTAATTTAAAAATGAAATGACCTTTTACTTCGAAACATGCCTACCAAGGAGGTAACTAATACAAGGTTTTATTTAAATTTCGAACTGGCTTGCAAATAGAAAGCTGTTTATTGAAAAAAAAAAAAAAAAAATATTAGCGCGAATGAAAAATTATTATTGTTCGTCATTGAACTTAAAAAATAATATTGTGTTTTTGATTTCCGCGCATTGTTTGAGAAAAGTACTATACAAGCCTTGGCCACAACTAGGCATTGGTGGACTCACGTATGTGTGCCTCGGCTACGTCTCGGCCCACATTTGCACGTTCGTCCATCAATGCCTCAGTTGCTGGCCGCTGCAGTAATGTACTATTGTTTTACCTTTTACCTATATATCACTGCTGTGACAAAATTACACACTGTGACACCCATGGAACTTTAAACGCATTACTATTTCAAAGTAATTTATGTATTCTAATCCTAGATAAATGAAACGAAATTGATATTTTACAAGGGAGATACTCACACTATAATATTTACATACAAATGTCCCCTGTGCAAAAAGTATTAGCAAATCTGTCGAACTGTCTATACGTGTACATCTACCGAACAACCCCCCCGCTGGTATTTCTTCCCTTCGCAGATATTCGATGTCATTGACCCTTGCAACTATATTTATGGTGTATGTATATATCTGTCTAACCTTCTACACCTACTAACATTATTTTGAGATAACATTGTTTAATATATATATACTGAAAGCTGAAAGTCTGTCCGTTTGTGTATTTTAAAAATAAGAGAAGAAAAAAACAATGATATAATATTTCTCTATAGATGGGGGAGGGATTGTAATACGAACTATTTATTCCCATTGCTAGCAATATACCCTATCAGGTCGACTCCACGTGGTCTCCCTTGAAAACTATCGAATTAATACAGGTATTCTAGGTGTAGTCTTCACGATGGGCTAACTGACCTGCCTATTCATTGTCACCTATCATCTCTTATTGGTGCCCTTTTGGTTAACGTAGGCTGGGTTACAATTTTATTGTTATTAATGTGAAAAAAAAAAAAACTTCTGTATCTATGAACACAGTCTCGCCCGTTTAAATTTTTCAATTATACAATAATTCATAGAAAAATTATTTCATGTTACTCTATTTTTACATTGCATTAATAAGTATGTCCGTACATGTGCTGTTTTATGCAAAGTTAATAATACTCCATAAAAATGTATTTGTTTTTTTTTATCTATGGCACAAAACAAATTACCTAGAGAATCGATTCGGGGACGTTAATTATACGAAGCAACGTGTGTCTATACCTACCACGGTTCCAGAGAGTTTGTAAATACACCGATTGTGATCAGGAGGAAAGGGATTGTTAGTAATGGGTTCTTACAGCCCATTGCTAACAATACACCCTATCAGGTCGACCTCCACGCAGTTTCTCCTGGAAACCATTGTGGTTAATCCTTTATGATTTCTTCACCATGGGCAAACTGACCTACCTTCATCTTTACCTATCATCTATCACTGGTGCCTCGCCAGCGTATACCGATAACGCAGGCGGGGTTACCATTTCATTTTCACCCATCAAAAAAACCTCACTTTATCTATGATCAACTTATGGTATCTCTCTAGAGTTAATTAACAGTGCAGCTAAGCTTGTCATTCCATTTTCATCCGCTTAAAACGCCAAAATAGGTAAAGCCAGGGTTTTCAATAGTATTACTAGTGAATGTTATTTGTAGTACGCTGGAGGTGCCTGGTGGCGCCAGCGCGGCGGGCTCCAGCTCGCTGCGTCGCCGTCTGCCAGACCCTCGGCCTCGGGGATGGGGTGTGCGTACTTAGCAGTACATTGACGCTCACTATATATTTCAATATTATATAATAATTTATTTTAATTTAATTTAATTTAATTTATAATAATTTATTTGGATTACTTACAACACACAAATAACAACAGACATACGCAGTAAAGAGATAAAATAATGTATACACAAAAAAAGCAATATATATAAAGTAACATATTTTTTTCTTTCTTGCGTGCCATAAGGAGACTACCGACTAAACCGTCTTTCAAAAAAAAACGTTCACGCTCACTTTTTCACTTTATCCGAGCAGTAAGTGCTTTATATTATTCTCAATATCGTGTATAATATAGTATATGTCATATATGTGTAAGTATATTTGTTATTCATATATATTTATTCGTTTATATATGTAATTTTAGTATGTATGTATATCAATAATTACTAGTACCACATTCGAGTATTCTGACACTTCCCTATGGTTGACTGGGAGAGAACGCTTTTAGCATTAAGTCCGCCATGTACACATATATGTACTAATGAATAAATAAATAAGGGTTACAACTCAGTTTATTGTTTAATAATGTAATTATTGTAATCATATTTTTTTTTTGTTAAATTACAATTGTAGGGTAGTGTACGATAACAGCCACATTAGTTAAACATAACTGTGTCGTGGCTGTCAACGCCCACCTCCTCATGGCAGAGGCGCTAGCGTTCTAGTAGAATAAATAGAACTGTTAATTAAATAAAGACAAAGTTCATAGGATAGCATCACCATGGAGACTTTGTACAAAAGTCGATTGCTTTATTGTTTAATAATGTAATTATTGTAACCATATTTTTTTTTTAAATTACAATTGTAGGGTAGTATACGATAACAGGTTAAAAATAACTGTCGTGTTTGTCACGCTCTGTCCCATTCGTGTTTCAACCGTGAAGCAGTTGTGTTTGCATGGCTGTGTTTCGGTTTGAAGGGTGCGATATGGCGTTTATTTACAGGGTACAGAGGAATAACAGGAAACAAGGAAACAAGCTGACGGGCCACCTGATGGAAAATTGTAATCGTCGCCTATAGACATGAACAGTACTATGTATATAACAGATAATACAATTTCGCCAATGACACCCCAATGCGTTGCCATTCCTGAGGACTCAGGTGTTATTCCTCTGTACCCTATAAATTCATTGCCATATCCCACCATTCAAACCGAAACACAGCCATGCAAACACAACTGCTTCACGGTAAAAACACGAATAGGACTGAGGTACGCAAACAAATGACTTTGTGCAAAATTTCCATTTTAAAATAACCAGTCAGAAATATTAAAAAGTGTTAAATTGTTTTTAAAAATTGTTAGACACTTCGATCAGCTAGAGTTATGAAAGTTCTTAATGCTAAGAAGAACAATTTCGATTTAATTCCGTATTATTTTTAAAACCTATTCTAAAAGCAGCAATGTATGTTACACACTGATTGTACCCATTAATCCCGACAATCTCGGGACGCGGTGCCGGACGGGACGGGACGCCGCAGTCTCGTACTGGGTTCTGGGACGGCGCACGACTCGGGCCATCACCATGGGACTGGAGAAGAGGACTGTGAAAATAATTGTTATTGTGTTCTTTACGCTACTTGTTATAGGTAAGATAGTTGTTTTTCTGTACTAATCGACTTAAAAAAATAAAGTGTTAAATTCTACATTATTAATTAAATATAAAAACTAAAATATCCATTTATAAAAATATAGTGTATATTTAGATTTGGTATTTTTTTTTTATATTTGTTGTTAGTGTTTTTGTGTTTTTTTAGTATAACATTATTTTTTATTATTTCTCAATCTATGGTTTACTGATAGATAACTATGTATCCAATTTCATATTAAAGTATGTGTATATAGAATAATAAAGTACCATAACTTTTTTTTTAATAAGAAAGCACTTTTATTTTTAATATTTGTTTACACTATTGCATTGTCAGTTACTTATTCTATTATTTCTCAGTCTATGGTTTACTGATAGATAATTATATATTATTAAACTTCGTATACAAGTTTAATGAATAAAATTAACTAAAATGACATTATAAATGTTTTAATAAGAAATTAAAAGTTAATATATTAATGTTAAAAATCCATAGATATAAATTTTAATTTTTTTTTTTGTGTAATATATTGTTTTTAAAACTAGTAGGTCCTCAATTAAAATGTATTTTTGTGTGTTTGTAATGGGAAATAAATAGTTTTTAAATAGGTACGTAGGTATTATTATTTTTACGGTTTACTTTTATGATAGCCTAGTCTTGATTTTCATAAAATTGAAATAGATTTTTTTACTTTAAATTATTGTTACTATTCAAATTTTAAGGAGGTTAACTGAATTCAATTTTCATATATCTTATTCGATCAACAATTTTTTTTTAATCAGTCGTATTTAACGGTTTTTTTAAGGTGACCTTTAAAACTAGCAGAAGTTAATTATAATATAACAAACGAAAAATACACAATCGACATAAAAACTCTTTTTTAATTAATTTATATATACTTAACTAAATTTTACCCGCAGTTTCGTCCGCGTGACCGCTATGAAAATAGTAGTGAAAGTGGTAGACTATATCCTTCTCCATTCCATATAGAAAGTAAATTTCCCGCCACCAGACACATGACATTATAAATTTTTTTCCGATTCCGGACGATAAAAATGTAGGTCCGAAGTTAATATATTCCTTTAAAAATTGAACCTTTATAAAATTTATATATTTTTCTTAGAAATAATTCGTAGTTACCCATACTCGTTCATTTGTCGTACATCTTAATCCATCTCTCCAACCGTTCCTCTCTTCACTCCACGTCAGTCTTTCTCATTCCTCGTATTCCAATCTATGCATACAACATTCACTTTTAACATACGTTCCATTTCATATCAAACCTACATGTACCAAATGTCATAGAGATTGCTGTTAAGGTGTCAAGAGATAATAAACAAACAAACAAATCCAATACCAGAGGGAGACTTTGTACAAAAGTCGATTTTTACCTTGTCCCATTCGTGTTTCAACCGTGAAGCAGTTGTGTTTGCATGGCTGTGTTTCGGTTTGAAGGGTGGGATATGGCGTGAATTTACTGGGTACAGAGGAATAACACCTGAGTCCTCAGGAATGGCAACGCATGGGGGGTATCTTATACTCTGTTATGTCCATTTTTTTTTTAATCATGTCTATAGTTAACGGTTACCTTTCCATCAGGTGGGCCGTCAGCTTGTTTGCCATTCTAAGTTCTATAAAAAAAAAAAATCAATTTTTACACTCATAATATTAGTACTGTAGTACTATTACTTATACTGTGATCTTAGTGATAATTACTAACTTGATTAGGCCAAAATTTCATTGTTATCATATTAGCCGTTAACTGTCCACCGCTGGACATAGGTCTCCCCTTATTGGGGAGTTTTGCCAATAGTTGCCACCCTCAGCAGGCGGGTTGGCAACCGCAGATAGGTTTTACTGATGTTTTAAGAGGGGCACTATTGACCATCTCTCTAACATTACGTTCCCTTAGTCGCCTCTTACGACACCCACGGGAAAGGAAGGGGTGGCCCATCCTATGCTGGGACCACACCGCCATTACTATACTTACTCATAACTTAAAAGCTCAGGGGGAAAGGGATTGTTAGCAATGGAGTTTGACAGCCCCATTGCTAGCAATATGCCTTATTAGGTCGACCTCCACGTGGTTCCCTCTGGAAACCATCGTGAACAATTCTTGTTGAATTAGTCACGATGGGCTAACTAACCTGCTTCATCCTCATCTATCATCCTTCACTGGTGCCCCGCCGGTGTATACCGATAGCGCGGGTGGGGTTTCCATTCCATCCATTATCATCCATTAAAAAAAAAAAAACTTAAAAGCTCAACGGTCGTAACCCCACCTAAGTACTTAAATCTACTATACAATATTGTGAGTCAATGACGTCATCCACGTCGTCTGTCCGTGTGGCCAGGAACATAAGTAACATATTACGTACTAGGGCTTCATAATTTATTCATTTATTCATTTATTCATTTATTCATTTATTCATTTATTCATTTATTTATTGCCATTACATGTTGTAACAAAATTGGTCTTAATTTACTAAAAGTATAGAATCAAACATGAACCCTGAAAGGGCACAGCATTGTTACATTAATAAATCTTATATAAACTACATAATTAAATTTTTACATTATATATATGTATCGTCGATTAGTATAAAAAATAAAAAAAAAAAAAAAAATCATCATTAAATTAAAACAAACAGGCACAAACACAACTAACTTTTTTCCTTGAAAAATTCCTGTAGCGCATAATAACTCTTTGCGATTAAATATTTTTTTAGAGAATTATACAAAGTACATAGACTTTTGACTTAGCATTAGTTGTACGAGATATCGCATTATAGGGACTCCTTCCCGGACACCGATATATACGAATAGATGTAGTTAGTGATCATAATAATAACACTAGTAAAATATATATATCTAATATATAAAATTCTCGTGTCACGGTGTTTGTTACCAAACTCCTCCGAATCGGCTTTACCGATTTTCATGATATTTTGTGTACATATTCGGTAGGTCTGAGAATCGGCCAACATCTATTTTTATACCTCTCAATGTAAAGGGTGACCCACCCCTAAAAATTTTTTGAAATTTTTTTGACAAGTTTTTTTATTTTTATTTAAATATGAATTTAGCATTGAAAAATACATACATCTTCAAATTTTCAACCTCTGTTTTTTAAGCGCAATTTTTATATTTCGCAATAAGTGGTAAAACAACGTTTACGGGGTCAGCTATATATATATATATATATATATATATATATATATATATATATATATATATATATATATATATATATATATATATATATATCGTACACATTAAAATATGTCTACAGGGCGGGCTTAATGCCTGATGGCATTCTCTACCAGTCAACCGTTACGCTAAACAGAGAGAGAAAATGGCGGTGCATAGATTAAAAAAAATGAAAATTATATGAATATTTCCAGAGATACTCTCTATTTACAATTATAACCTAATCTAGTGCGCGGTCGCACACGTCAATTGCTCTTAAAAGTGTACGACATTGCCTCTGAATTTCGTGTGCTAACTTTGACCAACTTAGCACGGGATCGGCTTCCCACGAGACTGTGGACCCCTTTCCAGAGATAACATATAGTACAGATTATAATGACATAAAATTTTGACGTTTATTAAAAGTGGTTGTCTTTTTCTATCATTTTCGAAGATGGGCTGTAAACTTGTCATTAAAATATAGTAGTATCGCAATGGATAAACGGTTGTCCATTTACGATCCATGATAGCGAAATTCCTTAATTGGCTTAGATCTGATACAATTGACTGGGGCTTACTATGAGCGCTTAAAACCTAACAGTTTTTCGCTGCCTTACAAATTGGCGCTGAGAACATAGGCATTTATATATTTAGACTTATAGATATAGGGGGAATCTTGTTAGTTGGGATCTATAAGTTCCATTGCTCAACATAGTAAGCATCAGGTCGACCTCCACGCGGTTCCCCCTGGAAACTATCATGGTTAATTCCTGATAAATTTATCATGATGGGCTATGGTAACTGGCCTGTTTTCATTCTAATCTATCATCTGCTTGGGCACCTCTGTCCCATTCGTGTTTCTACCGTGAAGCAGTTGTGTTTGCATGGCTGTGTTTCGGTTTGAAGGGTGGGATATGGCGTGAATTTACAGGGTACAGAAAATAACACCTGAGTCCTCAAATGGCAACGCATGGGGGGGTATCATGGGCGAAACAGTATACTCTGTTATGTCCATGGTATTGCTCATGTCTATAGGCGACTGTTACCACTTTCCATCAGGTCAAGTTGTATATATAAAAAAAAAAATATGTATTATATATATGGCCACTATTTGCAAAGTCCCTCTTTCGAGATGAGCGCCTGTTTTCCACGCTCCCGTTCCCTGATTTGGGATAAATCTTTTGCTTGTTTTAAAATGTCAATTTCTTTTTAACAGGTTGCATTTTAGGCCTCGTTTTGGGATTAGTGTTGCACCGCCGCTATGTGGGTGAGTACACAAAATCTTATTGTTATTTTATTTATTTATTTATTTACACTTTATTGCACCAAGTAAAAAGAGAAATAACAAATACAGTAAATATTAATGAGAAGTGATACAAAAAGCGGCCTTATCGCTAAGCAATCTCTTGCAGACAACCTATGGGTAGAGGACATTGAGAAAAAGACAAAGAGTAGGTGGCGCACTATTATATAAATATTATCATATACAAACATATATAGATACATACATACATACATACATATACATACATACATACACATACATACATAATATATACACAATGATTATTGTTATTTTAGTAATTATGTTATGTAATTTGTCGAATTGCAAACGGCCACCCCATGCCAATATAAACAGATAACGAATTTTTCGAATGCGTAATAATTAATTATTTATTATTGTATTTAATATAATATAGATAGATAGATACTCTTTATTGTTTCCTCCAAAAGATTACAATAGTAAACTTATTATAGATACAAACAATTACAAGAAATGATAGTGAGAAAACAATAGGCGGCTTTGTCGCTAAAAGCCAAAAAGGGGGTACAACCTTTATTTATTTAATTACATCAAGAGATAAAAGTCTTGATGGCAAAAAATGTGAAATTATCAGACATTCAAAAGAATAATTTTATTTTTACATTAATTTTAAATTTTGTGATATGTTACATACATGATCATGTTGTCTGTAACAGAGCTGGAGGTATGGCCTCGCTCCGACGAGTACAATTGGGAACAGCCGAGGATACAGTTCCGGCCGTCGGACCCTGGCAGCTGGCATCATTGGTACAGGCGCATCAACGAATTCTTAAGAGGTGCAAATGGCATGCCAGCTTGTTTTGTAGTCATTACTCAATAACATGAGATATAAATATCTATAATTATATTCCATATACCCACATAAAAGGAGATATTGATTCCTTGGATGACAAATTAACGCTTTACTGAAACTGCTGGATCTAGACCAGATTTTTTTACAGTACTTTATACGTACTTGATACTGTATTATAACTAATAAACTGTCTATGAATGTTGTGCACTATTTTATCTTTGTTTATAACTTGTCTTACCCCTTTCAGACCTGAACGATACGGGCGTGAGTTGTAACTTTAAAAAAATTCTAAAACCGCGCGCAATTATTTTTTACGCACTAAGCTGAAATAACACGATAGTGAGATTCTAAACCAGCCAATAAGAAATCATTTTAGCGGTTAGATGGTGCAGTAGTCTCGTGCGTGCCGGCGAAATGGCTTGGTTCCAAAACACGAAAATATGTTTAATCTGAAAGAAAAAATCTTGGGTCTGAAAGGGTTATGTGTGTAGGGTTATAAAAACTAGAAGCTCGGTAACCACTTACCATCAGGTAAGCCGTATGCTTGTTTGCTACCTCAGTGGTATATAAAAAAAAAGCTACTTCATCAGAAGTATATGATAATTAAATATTGAACCGCGATAGATAATTTGACCACAATGCAGGTGACAGGAGACAATGCAGATGGTATAGAACAATACTGTTTTGCTAAATACACTTTTTTTTTTAATGGGTGATAATGGAATGACAACCCCGCCCGCGCTAACGGTATACACCGTCGAGGCACTAGTGAGAGATGACAGGTAAGATGGCAGGCCAGTTAGCCCACCGTGACGTATTCAACAAAAACTGTTCACGATGGTTTCCAGGGGGAACAACGCGGAGGTTGACCTAATAGGCCACGTTGCCAGCAACGGGGCCGTCAAACTCCATTGCCAACGATCCCTTTCCCCCAGCGAAATACATATAAGGGAAAATTATGTTCAGCAATGAACCATGGTTATAATTATTGACTGAAGATCCTTTCAATAGATTATCACCAAACGATGCCGTGAATTGTTGGATTTTTGTCCAACAAATGCTACCGTTTTTGTTATACTAATATTTTGGATTGTTTTTTATTCTACCAGCTTACGAGACTACAGTGCCGGACGAACCCCCAAGGGCTCCGTGCTCTACCCACAACCGCCGCGACCAGCAGATGCGTTCGGACAACTGCGACTTGGCAATGAGAATGTGGGCGCCGTGCACTGCCGATGAGTTCTACGGATACCATATCGGGAAACCTTGTGTTTTCCTGAGGCTCTCTCATGTGAGTTGCTTTTTTTTTTAATTTAACCACTTACAGCTTACTGTTAAACAGCTTTGTTACACTGCCTTTGATATTTAAAAGTGATTATACTCTTTACGTCAATAGATAATGGCTGATATGGTGATGACGATGATACTATCTACATATTTTATTTTTTATTTATTCATTAGTACAAATATGTGTACATGGCGGACTTAATGCTAAAAACATTCTCTCCCAGTCAACCATAGGGAAGTGTCAGAATACTCGAATGCGGTACTAGTAATTATTGATATACATACATACTAAAATTACATATATAAACGATGTAATAGCAATCCCGCCTGCGCTAACGGTATACGCTGGCGGGGCACCAGTGAAGGATGATAAGTGAGAATGAAAACAGGCCAGTTAGCCCATCGTGACGAATTCGTCAGGATTAATCATGATAGTTTCCAGGAAAAACCGCGTGGACGTCGACGTGGCTAGCAATGGGATTCTATCTCCATTACTAACAATCTTTTTTTTCCCCGATCAGTTAAATTAGCTCATTCCATTATCACTTTAACTTTCTGACCAAAATTTTTCTCTAGTTTTAATAGTAAACGCATTTAAAAATTGTAGCAGAGATTTTAATTATATGTGTTTGAAGTGGTAATGCTAGACAAAAAATATATAAATATTGATTGGTAGACAGATAAATACATACTCTTTATTGTTTCCTCCAAAAAATTACAATAGTAAACTTATTATAGATATAAACAATTACAAGAAATAATCACAATGAGAAAACAATGGGCGACCTTTTCGCTAAAAGCGATCTCTTCCAGGCACCCTTTGGACCTTCTAAAACAATAACTACAAATTTATTTGTGTATATTGTTGTTATAGATCCACTACTGGGTGCCGGAGCCGTACAATATGTCCATGCCGATGTCGCTGCCGCCGGAGATGCCTGAACATCTGAAGCACGCCATGGTCAGAACTCATCTCACTGTATTCTTGTGATGATTAATTTTAGTCAAATATTTAATAGTTTTTTTTTTACAACTTCAAAAAAGTTTTGACAATTGCACAGAGTAATGTAGTTAAACCAATTCTCATAAGCTTATTTTTGGATATAAAATCTTGACCATCTTTGTTACAGACGCTTCGACGTGACAATCCATATTATTAGCAATGGGGCTGGTAAACCCCATTGCTAGCAATCCCTTTTCCCCTAATTGGTATAAATTTTGAGTTATTGGTACTACTCTCTTTTCGTTCGCCGTGTGGTTCCCGCCTTAATTCCGATTGTCAACCTGCCTCTCGAGCATGGCAACTATTGGCAAACCCTCACTTATAGTGGAGGCCTATCTTCAGCAGAGCTGATGATCCTCTTTTTAATAAATAATTAGTCATATGAGACTAATTATTGTTTATCATTGAGATTGAGATATGCGTTGTTTATCATTGAGATTCGCTGCATCTAAATTCCTAATCATCATCATAACAGCCTTTAACTGTCCACTGCTGAACATAAGCCTCCCCTTTGGGGGTTTTTCCAGTAGTTGCCACGCTTGGCGGGCGGATTGGCAACCGCAGTCAGGCTTTAGATATGTTTAAAGAGGGACGCTGCTGCCTATCCTAAATATAAACTAGAAATAATAAATATTTATCCATTTTGCAGCATCAGTATCCAGCTCGGCAATACGGTGACTACGTCTGGGTATCCTGTGGAGGGGAGTTCAATTCGGACGAGGAGAACATAGGCCCCATTCAGTACATTCCTGCTGGTCTGCCACCAGGGTTCCTCATGTCCCGATTGCACACTGCCGACCGCATCCCCTACTCTTCCAGACACCTGCCAGACCAGATTCCTGCTCCGCTTGTCGGTGTGTTCTTTGAGAATCCAAGACGTAAGTATGGTTTATAATATAAAATTATTACGGTAATTTCATCTTTGCCATTTTAGACATTAATTTCATTGTGATGAGCATTATGTTCTGAAGTCGAGTGATATTTTTAGACTCAGATAGTCTTCCAAGTTTCTTCTTAGTCTTCCAATTTATTTATTTTATTTTATTTATTTATTTAACACTTTATTGCACCAATATAACAGGATTTGTTGAACAATTTTCAATACGTATAGTGTAGTACAAAAGGCGGTCTTATTGCTAAGCAATCTCTTCCAGACAACCTTTGGGTAGAAGGAATTAAAGAATTAATAGGTAGGTGGCGCGTTAAAAAAAAATAGATCTGTAAAAAATAATATCTGTGACACATACATAAATAAACAGTTTTGATGTTCAATTTTAATTTACTTTAATTGTGGCGAAACCCAAAATTTTGATTTAAAAATTAAACTACTGAGCCGATTTTAATTTTTAATAAAATTTCTATGGAACCAATCTATAAGTATATTCTTTTACATAAAAAAAAAAAATCCAAAATCCAGAGTAATAAGGCAACAAACGTAAAAAAATTACAGCCGAATTGACAAACTCTATCTTTTTGAAGTCGATTGAAATTAGTACAGTCAGTAACAAAATGTAATTAATATTTTTCTAACATAATATAAAAATAAATATTCTATTTTATACACAAAAAAAAAAAATGATTATTTCGGAAATTCGAATACACGCTTGGAGATTCAATGCTGAATGTACATATTTAAATTCTTGATTTTTATTTATAATATTGATTACATTTTTCCCCTCAGGTGGTCTCCTAATTAACGTGGAGTGTCGTATATGGACCCGTGACATTTACTACGATCGGTCAAGCAGAGTCGGACGAGTGCGGTTTGAATTATACATTGATTAAACTCTATACAAATTAACATAAAAAAAGTTTTAACATAGCGAAGGGGCAGAGTGAAAACAGCTTTTGCAATATCGTCTGACTCGGTTACACAACACAGTACTGAGTAACTAATAAAATAGATGTGAAGAAATTATTTTGTATCTGCCTTACTTTAAGTGGAGATATCCTTCAAGATTAAAATGTTGTTTTTATAATAATTTCCACAAAGTAAATAAAATGTAATGCCGTATTCTTTTTCTGTATTTAAAATTTAAACCATTTTTTATAAAAAAAAAAATGTTAATTATACACAAGAAAAAATTACTATTTTAGAAGTTAATTTTTGTACTGAACTATAAAGTGGCAAAATACCCTAAAATCGGGGTGAATGTCACTAAAGAAGGAACTAAAAGATTCCATAGATAGAAGGAAAATACAGGTTAAGGAATAATCGATTTACTTTTTTTATATTTATCAATACATAATTTCCTATAAATTATTGAAATATTCTTTTTTACTTAATTAAAAACTTCATGAAATAACATAGAGTACCTTTAATAAATAAAAACATAATGTATTTAAATTCTATAAATGTGTTAATTATTTTGTACTTAATATAGTAATTCTGAACACATTCCAAATTTGACACCCTATTACATTGAGTGTATTGATTGATAACTTGAAAGTGTAAATATGTATTTGAGTTATTATTAATACTGCGGTAGTAATAATCTGGTGAACTAAGTCAATTTAATGTTGTAAGGAAATATTCACTCATCTAAATTAACTTAAACTAAGTACACCTTTCCTTTTAAACATTATTTACTTTAAACACGCCAATTATGTCTAGTTTTTACAGTTACCTAATTTTAAATATTTATGAAGGAAAAATTTATTAAAACTAATAATTGATTTCATGTATTTTTTTACGTTTAATATAAGTAGTTATATTTATTATGTAATACAAGAACGTAACTATGTTGTGGTTATTAGATGTTTTTATAAGACAAAATAGAGATAATGATAAATAGAGATATTAAAGTTTTGCTGTAACTATTCCTACCGCCTTTGATGCTTAAGTATTAAATAAAAAATATATGTTTTTAATTAAGATTACAAAATGAGTACTTATTTGCAAAATGTAATAATATATCAAATACAACTATGTACCTTGGAACTATCATCAGTTTTAAACAATATAACTAGTTTTTGTAGTTAATGATTTTGCTTAAGATTCTAGATAAATAAGGTGAATAATAATTTAGTAATACGATCGTAATGTTATGAATTGTATTTTTCTTAAAATAACTATTTTGTCTGTTCGTAAAGTTTGTGAATAAATTAAAATATGTATAGAATATTTTATTTTCTTCTTTTTATACCTTGAATTCATCCATCTACTAAGATATAAAACTAGGAGTATACTGAGAGTACTTTACAATTATTCAGTTGAACAAGATATTGCGCATTTTTTATAATTTATTTTACTGCAAATAAAAGTTTATTCAATATTTGAGTATATTACTCACTACAACTGTATATAATGTACAATGTAACTTAATTTAATTTAATTGTAAAACAATATTAGATTTTGCCCGTGTTTACTATTTCTGAAATTCACGCGATTTCGTGTGTGTAAATTTTAGAAGTAGGAAAACTAATAAAATGCATAAGTTCTAAATATCATATATTATATCATATAAGATAAAAGAGATTTTAAGTTTGATTATCAGAAATATAACTGGGAAAGCATAAGTAGTTTTTAAATAATTATAGAACAAACAAGCAGATAGAGACAGACAACATTTTTAAAAAATATAAACCTTTTAAATTATTTTTTCTTAAATATCTTCTAAATACAAGCTTATGTCTGTATTTATAAGATACAGACATCAGTCTGGACATTACAACTAGGTACATGATTTTAGTTGCAATTTCATGAAAGTATCATACAATTAAATCAATTAGAATAGATAGCTGTACATCTTGCATTATGAAAAACTTAAGGCTAATCTTAGGATGATACACCACACAACACAAAATACCTATTTAGAAAATTTATTTTCCAAATTGACTAGAAACAGAATCCAAACCCGGTAAGTAATTTATCATTGTAGTATAGGTACATATAATACATTTTAAATTATATATATGGCTATACTAATATTATAAAAAGAAAAGATTTGTTTGTTTGTGATGGATAAACTAAAAACTACTCAATCGATTTTAAAGATTTTATTACTTATAGAAAACTCTTTAATGAAAACTATATTATCAGCGAGTAACATATTATTTTTAGAACTATATCTACCCATGTGAAGCTAGGCTAGATCCCTACTACCTAGTATTGTGTAGTTTTGTTGTACTAAAATGAGTAAAGTAGTAAAACTATGCAATATAATTAATTAAAATAAGCTCATCAATGATGCCATTACTATATTCATTATATTATTTAATTATTATATTATATTAATATATAATAATAATAATTATTATTATATTAAGTATATTAATGTCAATTAAAAAAAATACTAATAATGGCATTATTTATTATATACTTTTAAGTATTCATTAATACCTACATAAAGTACAAAAATATTATAATTAAATGTAAGTATTGAAAATAATATAATTTAATGTTTCTATTATATAAATAAAAAAAAAGATTATTATAATGTTGAATTATAGTGGTGTAAATGCATGTTAGAAACGAGTAATATCTAAAAATAATTTTTTACTTTCTTTATTATTTAAAAATAATGTGTAAAGCAGTAAATTTCAATAAATTATAACTAATTAGCAACGCAATGGTATTATATTTTTCTATGTATGCTAGCAACACTGTTTAGCTGTCGAACAGCTGTCGACTGTCATCCGTTAAGTCAAAAAGATGAGATTACATGACATTTAGATATGTAATTAGTCTGTGGTTCTGAGTCGAGGTCGACATTTTTGTTCGTTGTTCACCGCTGCATTAATAGCAAATCATTATTTGCTTTGCATTTTTATCTTCTTATCCTGTCTTCTAATATAAGTCATTAAAATACAAACCAAAACGTGTAAATGGCTCGCTTAAGGTTTTTTGTGTTATTAGCGGTTTTATGCAGCTGTTCCGAGTTGGGTAAGTGCGTTCTAAAATCGTGTTGCAATGGTCAATATCTTTCTTTGTTACTTTTTATCATCACGTCGGGGCGGCGCAGCGTCATTCCCGCTATTGTTGAATCTGATTTGCGTAATTGAGTAGAATTGTTAATTGCAAAGATGGCGTATGATTTTTCTAGAATGTTGAAATACCCACATTTGTTTAGGACACGGGGAGATGACGTCCCCGAAGACGGTGCTGATTGATGTGCCTCCTCAGCATCCAGGGGTGGTTTACAGCGTCCCAGACGACCCAGTGTCCTCCACTGAAGCTCCGATCACTCACCCTACGACGGATTCGACGGAAGAGCCGACGACAACCAGTTCCACAACCACGTCTACAACTACGTCCACGACAACTACAACCCCTCCCCCGCCTCCGCCTCCACCTACTCCAGCCCCAACTCCAGCACCCAAACCTGGTCCAGTCCCTCCCCCAGATCAGGGCATGTGGCATTACACCGATATGAACAACATCACCTGTGTCATGGTCCAGTTTGCTGCTCAGCTTGATGTCAAATATCCACAAGGAGCAAATAACAGTAAGTATTTACTGCAAGTTTTTTATTAATTATAAAATAGTGGGTAGTTTTAATAATGGATTAAGTTTAGGGTAAGGTCTAACATTTGTGACATGTCCTTTTGTCTTTGATTAATTAATTAAATAATTAATTAATTCATTCATTCATTCATTAAATAATATTCACTGTCAGATACTTGTCTCCAATAATGTATATATTTTTTTCTAATAAATTTTAATAGAATTCAAAGAAAAAATATAAATCTTCTATGAAACTTTATAACAAGACTATAATGAAATATATGTCATTAGGTAGGTTTATACTGAAATAATTAATTGTACAAAAATGAAAAAATATTCATAATTTCTTAAGTAATTTTGAACATAAGGAGCAAGAAATGAAAGGTCTTTTTGTATTGGAGAGAAAAATAGGAGAAAAAGCATGTCCTCATTCTTCTATCATTAGGAAAAAGAGGAAATGTGATTTTTGAATAAATATAGAAAAGTTGCAGACATGATGTAAATGGTAACACTAAATTGTATTCTAAAAAATTCTCGAATTTTTAATCTCAACGAATTTAGTATGAGATTGATATGAGAGAAATCTGTTTGATTTATAAAAGAATCATTAACATTGGCTCAGACTTATTGCAGTTAGTGCATACACAAAAAAAAAAAAAACATATAAACAAACTGATAACCTTATTTTTGTAGTCTATTTAAAATATAATTTATAATAATTTTATGTCCGGAAACTATGATCTGATCAGATGTAAGGAGGGTCAAGTTTTGTTGTCTGATAAAGTGAAATTGCATTGCAATTTTATTTGTTTATTTTGCATTTTATTGCTTTTTTTACCATTATTTTATCTATCATAGTCTCCTATTAAGTAGATGAGTAAATTATCATTGTTGTTAATGTGAAGCCAAGATAGCAATTGTCTCATTACTAAAATGATATTGCTGTTAGAAATGAGACTATAATTGTCTATGGTCACCAAGGCTCTTTTAGGAGACATATTTTTAAAGATTCATTTATTTATTTATACTTTTGCATACATTAAAATATGTATACAGGGTGGACTTAATGCCTGATGGCATTCTCTACCAGTCAACCATTACACTAAACAGAGAGAGAAAATGGCGATGCATTATTTTACCAAAAACAACTTGTAAATTAAATATTTTGAGAGAAAACAACATTAATGCATTTTAAGTTTCATTATTTCAAGCTAGATAAGGATTTGTGTGTATGATGAAACATCATTGGCATATTTAATTTTATTTTTTTCTCCTCTACTTTGGGAGCCGGGCTTTTTAAAAAAATACATATTTACTACTAGATATTTTTAAATAGAAGGTTATACTCCTGATCCTGGGGAGAGCGCCACACAATTTTGGGGTGGGCACAGCTCACCTGAATGAATGATCTTTTAAATATGCCTGTGTGAAACTTGAAAACAAAATTGGTCCCACATACAGAAGCTACAATGTCTGATTTGTTTTTTCTTTTGTTTGATATATTTGACAGATTTTTCATTAAAAATAAGAAATCTATCTAGAATTAAATAATAAATGTGTCAGCCAGTGGGAGACTGTACAAAAGTAGATTGCTTGTGTACCTCTGTCCCATTCGTGTTTCTACCGTGAAACAGTTGTGTTTGCATGGCTGTGTTTCGGTTTGAAGGGTGGAATAAGGTGTGAATTTACTGGGTACAGAGGAATAACACCTGAGTCCTCAGGAATGGCAACGCATGGGGGTATCATGGACGAAACAGTATACTCTGTTATGTCCATGGTACTGCTCATGTCTATAGGCGACGGTTACCACTTTACATCAGGTGGGCCGTCAGTTTGTTTGCCATTTTAAGTTGTATAAAAAAAAATTGCAACTTTTTATGTGTTGACTTAAGAAACTCAACTTCCACCAGTATGATTAATTATGAAAGTATGGATGTATAAATAGTATATTAGAGAGTATAATTATCACATTATAAATTGTTTTTTTGATATTTCTTTTTCATATGTGCAACAAAATAACAAATTACATTCACTTAATTGCATAACGTTTTAACAGTTGATAGAAAAATTATGAATCTTATATTTTCAAACTTTTCTTTCATATTTATGATATTGTAGATATATTACTACAATGATATGTTCATATTTTTTATTTTTAAATGGATCATAATGGAATGGTAATGTTGCAGTCAAAACTCTTAACCAGTCAAAAGTACTATTGACTAGCAAAATCAGTGAAAAGTACTTTTAACTGAACAGGTTGGTCAAAAGTGGTTTTGACTGAAAATTATTGGTTATTAGTACCTTTGATTGCAAATTTTCGGTTAGGTTAAGTACTTGTAACTGTTATTTTTGTCAAAAGTTTTTTATTGATTAAAGCATACGGTCAAAAGTACTTTTGACTGATTTTGATAGTCAATAGGACTTTTGACTGGTTAAGAGTTTTGACTGCAACAGAAACATTATCTGCGTTAACGGTATACGCTGACGGGGCACCAGTGAGGGATGATAGATAAAAATAAAAAGACAGGTCAGTTAGCCCATCGTGATGAATACACTTGGAATTGAACACTGGTTTCATAGGGGATCGCGAGAAGGTCGACCTGACAAGGTGTATTGCAAGCAATGGGGCTACTAATCCCCATTATTAACAATTCCTAATAGGTTAATGTTTAATATCATACTTCAGATATAAATCTGTTATTTACTCTTACTACATTCTATTGGTAGGAAGTGCGAAGCCGGGGCGGATCGCTAGTATTTAATATATTAAATTTTGTAATTTTTTAGTAGGTACTTGGTGGTTTGTATTTTCGGAGAATGTAATTTATTTAAAAGGGGGAAAAAAAGGAGGGGGAAAGGGATTGTTAGTAATGGGGTCAATAGCCCCATTACTAGCAATATACCTTGTCAGGTCGACCTTCACGTGGTTCCCCCTGGAAACTATCGTGACTAATTCTAGTTGAATTCGTCAGGATGGGCTAACTGACCTACTTTCATCTTCATCTGTCATCCCTCACTGGTGCCCCGTCAGCGTATACCAATAGCACAGATGGGGTTACCATACCATTATCACCCATTAAAAAAAAAAATATTTAAAAACAGCAGTGTTTCGTGCCAATTCTTTACAGCTAAAGTTACGAATTAAACGGTAGATTTATAAAAACAAAAAATTTATAAGTTTTACATAAATAGTTTGTTGAATAAATATTATTGCTGTTCTATTCTATATCTATGAAAAAATGTTATAACATCAAGTAGTTTAGTAGTAACACATTTAATTTTCATATAAATTGATTTACCTGAAGTGGCGGCGCGGCGTCTATTTCTGTCTGTGGTTTTCCTCCTACGTAGATGGTAGTTTTTTAATTTTTTTTTATTTACGTTTTTTATTTAAAAGGCGGACAGGCTCAGGACCGAATTTAGAAGTGGACAGGCTCAGAGGGCCTACCATCAAATGTTTTCCGAAATTTCGGAACCGAAAGAAACACAAATTTAATGTTAAAATTACATAATACTTACCGTTTAAAAACATTAAAAATATGAAAATATGATTCCTTGGGACTTTTACGGTAGGATTTATGATGAACGAAATGTTAAGCTCCATTTACTGGCCCGATTTAGGTGTGAACAAAAACATGAAATTGAGTCCGAAACTTCGGAATTTCATTTCATGGTAGGCCCCCTGGACCGATTTTTACGGCAGTCTACGGGGGGGGGGGGGATGTTCAGCATTGATAATTGTTGAAATGGTGATGAACAGTCATTGAAATGTAATAAAAAAATTTTTACATTAACACAAGATGCTTACAAAAATACCTGACCAAACAAAATCAACAATAGGAACTAAATACCTTAACAAAGACATTTGAAGGTTGCCATTAAACAATTACTGAATAAATCTAACTATATAAATATATATATATATATATATATATATATATATATATATATATATATATATATATATATATATATATATATATATATATATATTGCTATAATCCTTTCCCCCTTATATAAATATATTAATGGCATGGATATTATAAATATTTTTTTTTATAATTTTTTTATTTATTAATTTTAGTCCAAATTATGTAAACAATGCGGTATTCATTCTAAAAGCGTTCTTTCCCTATCAACCTAAAGGAAGTGGGGGGGAAAGGGATTGTTAGTAATGGAGACTACGAATCGCATTGCTAGCAATATACCCAACTAGGTCGACGTCCTCGCGGTTCCCCCTGGAAACTACCATGGTTAATTCCTGATGAATTCATCATGATGGGCTGACTGGCCTGTTTTCATTCTCATCGATCACCTTTCACTGGTGCTCCGCCAGCGTATCCAGTTAGCGCAGGCGGGGCTACCGTATCATTTTCACCCATCGAAAAAAAAACCTAAAGGAAGTGTAAGAAATTCAGTTAAATACTGAATATTGTGCAAAATTTTTATAGGGGTTAGGGGGGGGGGGAGGGATTGTTAGTAATGAGATCTCACTGACCTATTCCCAGAAATACACCCTATCAGGTAGTTCCGACCTCCGCGTAGTTCTGATCACGAGGACAACTTCGCGGCTGAAAGCTAGTTTAAGAAATAAACATCTAAAAATAGAAATAACCAAAAATAGCTGAGTCGTAGAGTCCAAATTATAGCGTCCGTTCACGATTATGACGTATGAGCCACCGTTCACTGTATATCCATATGTCGGAGCGACGACGCGACGCCCCCTTCAATTGAATAAACACTTGCTGTCTGATAAAACGCATAAAATGCTATTGTTGTAGTAAACACCAGAGGGAGACTTTGTACAAAAGTCGATTGCTTGGGTACCTCTGTCCCATTAGTGTTTCAACCGTGAAGCAGCTGTGTTTGCATGGCTGTGTTTTGGTTTGAAGGGTGGGATATGGCGTGAATTTACAGGGTACAGAGGAATAACACTTGAGTCCTCAGGAATGGCAACGCATTGGGGGGTATCATGAGCGAAACAGTATACTCTGTTATGTCCATGGTACTGCTCATGTCTATAGGCGACGGTTACCACTTTCCGGGCCGTTAGCTTGTTTGCCATTCTAAGTTGTATAAAAAAAAAACAGAACGATGAGCGCTCAGTGCAAATATGACTTTTTTTGTAATGGATGATAATGGTATGGTCACCCCGCCTGCGCTAACGGGATACGCTGGTGGAGCACCAGTGAAGGGTGATAGATGAGAATGAAAACAGGCCAGTTAGCCCATCATGATGAATTCATCAGGAATTTGATACAAACCGCGAGGAGGTCGACCTGGTTGGTATATTGTAGCAATGATGTCATCTCCATAAGATATTTAAATATAACTGTTAGTGAACCATATGTCTAAATAAGTCACGACTTGGTGATTCCCCGCTCGTTTCATTCGGGTAACATGATAAGAAACTTGTTTGGACATACTTACATAGCGCGATCCCGTTAGATTGAGTCCCATGTATATTGGACTGCATTGGTATATCCACTCTGCCGTGTTGCGCTGTAAACTTAGATTTTTTATTTATTTTTTATACCACTGAGGTGGCAAACAAGCATACGGCCCACCTGATGGCAAGTGGTTATCGTAGCCTATGAACGCCTGCTATACCAGAGGTATTACGCGCGCTTTGTCTGAAGAAACCTCTAAATAACCCCATGCTGTATCTCTTGGGAAAACCTCGGCATCGTTCCATTTCGTGGATAACAACTAAGTGATTTAAGTACAAGTACTTCATTGTAACAATTACATTTCGACTTTTTTTTTTTTACACAACTTAGAATGTAAACAAGCTGACGGCCCAGATGGAAAGTGGTAACGTCGCCTATAGACAATACCATGGACAAACAGAGTATACCGTTTCGCCCATGATACCCCCCATGCGTTGCCATTCCTGAGGACTCATGTGTTATTCCTCTGTACCCAGTAAATTCACGCCATATCCCACCCTTCAAACCGAAACATAGCCATGCAAACACAACTGCTTCACGGTAGAAACACGAATGGGACAGAGTTACGCAACGACTTTTACAAAGTATAATAATAATCAAACAGTTTAATTTTTTTTTAAAACATGTAATCAATGCAAATTTACGACCGCTTTTACTAATATAGGTTAAGTTTTTGACAAAATGGGCCTTATGCTTGATTAAATAAATATTATTATTATTAATAAAATGTTTGTCAAATTTATTTTATTCTAAAGTTACGCCAGGATACATCGCATCAATTTGCAAACAGACGTTTTCGCATCAGTGGTTGAAGCACTGTGTAATGTAATAACAGAGCGGTACACGTGATAATAAAAAAGCCGGTCAAGTGCGAGTCGGACTCGCGCAACGACGGTTCCGTATAAAATAATCAAGTTTAATTTTTTTTTGTGTAATAACTACAAATTTAGGGTTTTCGGATTTTTTCCTTTACTTGTGCTATAAGACATTGTTTCTTGCCAAATTTCATGGTTCTAGGTCGGGAAATACCGTATAGAGTTTTTAGATTTCCTTTGCGAATATCAAAATATGCGATATAAATGGAACGTATATGGCCGTATCTTTTGATTGCGTCGATTTAGAAGCGTGATTTTTTCATTGCTTTAAGATATTGCAGACCTGAGTATATGATATTAATTTCAACTTGATACCACCACGCGTTCCTAAGAAAAAGGCTTTTGACAGACAAATGGACGGACAGACAACGAAGTGATCCTATAAGGGTTCGGTTTCTTCCTTTGGACGTACGGAACCCTAAAAAATAACTGTGAATCTCATAATATGATATATCACTGACTTTGTTTTTTTTTAATGGGTGAAAATAGAATACGTCACGATGGGCTAACTGACCTGCTTTCATTCTCACCTATTCATATCTCTCACTGGTGCCTTGCCAGCGTATATCATTAGTGTAGCCGGGGTTACCATTTCATTATAATTATTTAAAAAATAAAACTTTTCACTGTTGAACATTAGCCTTTTCCAGATGGCAAGTTTTTCCAGTTGTTGCCACGCTTGGCAGGCGGGTTGACAATAAAGAAAAAATTATAGATATTGCTAGTGGTCAATTGACGTGTATTTATATGCCAGATAGTGTACAAATGATTCACGCCGTCAAATGACTCATGCTGTACAGACTTTTTGCACATTTACTGTCTTTGTTTAACTCGAAGACAAAAAAGATATATATATAGTTTTCTTGCGTGAATCAGTTATTAAAAATTATAATAATTACCAAAAATTATGTTAATGATGTGCGTTTGCATTTTGATGATGAACAGATGATATGATGATGATGATGATGATGATGATGAATAAATATACCTAGTATTTGAAGCGGTTTAATTAGGGTAGATAAAAAATAAATATATAATAATATATATATAATAATATATATTATATATATATATATATATATATATATATATATATAAAAGCCTTCCCCATAAATAAGGGGAGTTTTGTCCAGTATTTGGCATTCTTGGCAGGTGGGTTGGCAATCGCAGTTAGGCTTTTAGAGATGCTTTAAGAGGGACGTTGTTCCCCATACCTCGCCGTCCCGTAGACGCCTCTTATGACACCAACAGGAAAGGAAGGGATGGCCCATTCTATACAACAAGCAGTATATTCTATAAACATACAGTAATTATGACAAAGCAAAGGCTTAACTTATCTTTAAAAGGGATTTCTTCTAGTCAATCTAACACAGTGGCATAGGAAGTAGTTAGTGGGCTAAATAGGCAGTAGTAGAGAACTAAATAACAAAAATAAATATTTACTTAATTTACATATAAATACATACATATATTTATTTATTTATTAATGTCATACAGTGGAACTTGGTCTGTCTGTCCGTATATCATAGCGCTGTATCTCGGCAGTTATTGAAATTTGGAATAGTTTTACATATTGCTTGCCCAACATACATGAATAAAAAATGAAAATCCCTACTAATATTATAAATGTGAAAATGAGTTTGTTTGTTACCTTATAGCGTCTATACGGCTTAATCAATTACCATGAAATTTGATATACACGTACTATATGGGAGCTACTTTTTGTCAAAAAATACGAACGAAGTTGCGTGAAAAACCTAGTAACAAATGGAAATAATATATAAATATTTTTGATTTACGGTGTCCATTTTGTTCTTTATCGTTGTGGTTTCATAATTGGTAAATTTTTTGCGAAATAAAATATATCTGATTAGATTTTTCCTTGTAATTCTTTTGACGGTGTGTATTTTGCTTGTTTGTAAGTTTTATGTTTTTTTTCTTTTGCTTATTTATGTTTTTAGGACATTACGAACATAGTACTTTTTTTTTTAAAATGGTTGATAATGGAATGGTAATCCCGCCTGCGCTATCGGTATACGCTGGCGGTGAACCAGTGAGAGGTGATAGGTGAGGATGAAGCTAGTCAGTTAGCTCACCGTTTCGAATGTAACAATAAATCGATGGTTTTTAGGGACAACCACGAGGAGGTCGACCTGATATAGTATATTGCTAGCAATGGGGCTACTAATTACTAACAATATCTTCCCCCCATATTTAATAATTAGCTACATTATGGTATAATAACCATAAATAATATTACATTATTAATCTAAGCACCAATTATTCTATTGTTCCAGCACTAACAGATGTGTTCATCAACGTGCCAGCAAACGCGTCCGTCACCGGCGGTAGCTGCAACGCGACTGAGCAGTGGATCGAACTCGTCTGGGGCAACGTCACTGTTGGCAATAACATTTTCAACAATACCCTCAGAATTGTGTTCGCAGCTAATGCCACCACCAAGACCTATACGTTCAAGGGCTTGAATGTATCACTCAGCCCACAGAACTTCTATAACAGCTGTGAGTAAACTTATGCCCTTTACAATGTAAATGGTCACTGACCGCTAATACAAAGTAGCGAATGTCAGATATTATACCTGAAGATACAAAGTTAATGTTTAGTATGATGGACGACTCGATGAATTGTAATAGGCATTCGTTGCTATTTCTCATTTGTCTTGGATTTTTTTTAATGTGTGACAATGGTATGGTAACCCCGCCTGCGCTAACAGTATACGCTGGCGGGGCACCAGTACAGCATGATAGGTGAGGATGAATAGTCAGGTCAGTTAGCCTATACTGAATACACCAGGAATTTAGCACGATGGTTTCCAGGGGGGGACCATGTGGGGGTCTACCTGATAAGGTATATTGCTAGCAATGGGACTGGTAGTGCACATTACTAACAATGCCCCCTCCTCCTGAAAAGGCAGATCAGTAAGCCCATCGTAATGAATGCACCAGGCATTCAGCACGATGGTTTCCAGGGGGGACCACGTGGTGGTCGATTTGACGGGGTGTATTGCTAGCAATGGGATTGGTACTCCCCATTATTAATAAAGTAATCCTCGTGGTATCTTAATGAAGTATAATATCAACAGCCATCAATACCAACGTGGACGTATGGCACGGCAAGGAGTGGCAGACGCCGCTGTCCACGTCGTACCGGTGCTCGCGGCCTACCGAGCTGAAGCTGACCGGCGAGACGAGCAACGTGGCCGCCGCCATCACCTTCACCAAGCTGCAGGAGGAGGCGTTCAGGAACACTAACAGCACATCGTTCAGTGCCGGTGAGTGGCTCACATTAGTACAACGTAACGGCTTGTTCCTAAGAACTAAAACCTTTTACAAGCTAATTTATAGCCAGATATACTAGCTTTGGCTCACAACTTCGTAGGCTCTTCATATAATTCTTTTTTTTAAACATCTATCCCTATATATATGTCCCTATAAAGATGTTGTCTAGTTACAGCTTTAAACCAACTTCAAAAAAGGAAAAGGTCCTTAATGCGGTCGTAAATACATATTTTTATAATTGTTACCTCTTTTTCTAGTAGTTGCCACGCTTGGCATGCGGGTTAGCAGTTAGGCTTTGGAGATGTTTTAAGAGGAACTTTACTATACTATACTATGCTATACTCTAACGCTATCCAGAGGGCATTTGCGGACCGTCCATACTGCCAGTATTTGAATCGTTGCAGAATGATTCACACGCTGGCTAACATACAAAAAAAGAGGGGAAAGGGATTGTTAGCAATGGAGTTTGACAGCCCCACTGCTAGCAATATGCCCTATCAGGTCGACCTCCGCGTGGTTCCCCCTCGAAAACATCGTGAACAATTCTTGTTGAATTTGTCACGATGGGCTAACTGACCTGCTTCATCTTCACCTATCATCCTTCACGATGCCCCGCCGGTGTATACCGATAGTGCGGGTGGGGTTACCATGCCATTTTCACCCCAAAAAAAAAATTATATTATTGTCCATCCCTCGACTTATAAGCTCTCTTAGTCGCCTCTTACGACACCCACGAGAAAGCAAGGAGTGGCCCATTGCCCACATGGCGTTATAGTTTTTTTTTTAATGCATGTTTAATGGAATGGTAACCCCGCCTACGCTAACGATATATGCTGGCGGGGCACCACTGAGGGATGTTAGGTGAATAATGAAAAAAGGCAGGTCAGTAAGCCCATCGTGATGAATACACCTGGAACTCAGCACGATGGTTTCCAGGGGGAACCGCGCGGAGGTCGAACTGACAGGGTATGTTGCTAGCAATTGGACTGGTAGCCCGCATTACCAACGATCCCTTCCCCCTTATACATGGCGTATAGTAATACATTCGGAGATTTTTACAGCGAATAAATATAACAAACTATATTTATTAACAATAATGTTCGTTTGTCACGTTATCTCGGGTCTGGCGTGGCCGATAAATGTGTACCTAATGATTTGTTATTACTGATAACACATTGTAGGCACCTAATGTGATAAAATATAATATTATGATGTACACGAAATATGCCAGTTGAAATTGTACGAATCGACCATTAGATGCAAAGGTCGTGTCAGAGCAGGTCTTAATGTTTAAATTTTTTTTTTTTAAAAATAGGGAGACTGTCAAAAGTCGATTGCTTGGGTATCTCTGTCCTATTCGTGTTTCAACCGTGAAGCAGTTGTGTTTGCATGGCTGTGTTTCGGTTTGAAGGGTGGGATATGGCGTGAATTTACTGGGTACAGAGGAATAACACCTGAGTCCTCAGGAATGGTAACGCATGGGGGGGTATCATGGGCGAAACAGTATACTCTGTTATGTCCATGGTACTGCTCATGTCTATAGGCGACGGTTACCACTTTCCATCAGGTGGGCCGTCAGCTTGTTTGACATTCTAAGTTGTATAAAAAAAAAATATGGGCCCAGTATGGACTAGGCCACACTTTCTTTTTCTGTAGGTATAGAATGAAGTGACTGAGGGAACTTAATATTATAAGGATGGATAGCAGCGTTCCTCTTAAAACATCTCTAAAGTCTTAAGTGCGGTTGCCAACCCGCCTGTGGCAACTATTGGTAAAACTCCCCAAGAGGGCTTATCCAAACATCGTCATCACATCATTAGTTATCCGTCCACTGAGGACCATCGACCTTCCCCATAAACCGCCATAAGAAACGGTCCTAAGCCACCTGCATCCAATGACACCTTATAATGCATTTGAGGCCGTCATCGCTCCATCTAGTGGGGGGTCGTCCCACACCGCATTTGACCGTACACAGTCCCCACTCAATAACCTTTTTCCCCATCGAACTATACGACCAGCCCATTGCCACTTCAGCTTGCTTATCCTTCGGGCTATGTCGGTGACTTTAGTTCTTTTACCGAGATCCTCATTTCGGCTTTTGTAACGCAAAGTAATTCCAAATATAGTTCTCTCTCTCTCTCGCAGCTCGCTGAGTAATTTAAAGCTTGGAATATATATAAACAAATATACATAATTAAACATGATTATATGTTTTCCCAGCGGACCGCGTGGAGGTCGACTTGACTGTATATTGCTATCAATGGGGCAGCTAGTCCTCTTTAATAAAAAAAAACCCTTTATTGTCGACTTATTTAAACTGCATTACAATTTCTAAGTATCGTAGATCGTGTGTTATCTATCTGTATAGAGGCGGCCTCGTCCAACGTCGTATCGGCAACTTACGTGCTTCTTTGAGTTTTGTTATCGAAACATCTTTCTGTGAATTATAACATTATGTATTATGTCAGCATTTATATACATATAATAAATTTGTACGTCCATATGTCCTCGGCATGGAATAGGCCGCCCCTTCCTTTCCCGTGGGTGTCGTAAGAGGCGACCATTATGCAAAGAAGTATTAACATGTTAACAAAGCGTAAATGTTTCTGGAATGTTACGATTAAACAGTTTGAACTCCCCATTTGCATGTACGCGGCGACACTAGCACATCCTGCGGCACACACGCCGGACGATGGAGTCATTGATATGCCTGTCTAGTCTAGTCTAGTCTAGATTGGTAAAAATATTTATATGTCTGCAGCGAGTGTTATAATTTAATATAATTTTCTATATTATTTTTCTTTTTTTTTTTTATACAACTTAGCATGGCAAACAAGCTGACGGCCCATCTGGTGGGAAGTGATAACCGTCGCCTATAGACATGAGCAGTACCATAGACATAACAGAGTATACTGTTTCGCCCATGACACTCCCATGCGTTGCCATTCCTGAGGACTCTTTTTTTTTATGGTTTGCGGTACAGTATTTAAGGCATCCCGTCCTCGCTATTGGATACGGGTGAGGGAATGCCTATATAAGAGGGTACTTGGTGGGCGTAATTTAGACGCAATATTTGAGGAGTATTAAGAAGATGTATGTCGGTGTGAGTGAGTATATATGTGTATATAATAATAAAATAACAAAAACCAATAGAATTCATTCATTTCTGGTCATAGTGATCAGGACAGTAAAATAAGATAGAATAAATTTGACTTTTTTTTTTTTTAAAGATATTAAAGGTACTGCTTATGATATATTTTGTTTCCTATATTTTTAAGGACGGCCATAAGTTGAACTATAAGACGTTTCAAGGTTATCCATTCATTACTGGACACTTTGTATATCGTCATAGTCGTAGAATGCTGAGAGGGAGACGTTGTACAAAAGTCGATTGCTTGAGTACCACTGTCCCATTCGTGTTTCAACCGTGAAGCAGTTGTGTTTGTATGGCTGTGTTTCGGTTTGAAGGGTGGGATATGGCGTGAATTTACTGGGTACAGAGGAATAACATCTGAGTCCTCAGGAATGGCAACGCATGGGGGGTATCATGGGCGAAACAGTGTACTCTGTTATGTCCATGGTACTGCTCATGTCTATAGGCGACGGTTACCACTTTCCATTAGGTAGGCCGTCAGCTTGTTTGCCATTCTAAGTTGTATAAAAAAATACCGACGGATCTGACAAATATTACATAAATAGATCCGTCAGTATTCTACGACTGTGACGATATGTACTATGTGGGACGGAGGAGGACGTTGGTTACTTCTATCCTGGTCATTTAACATATGCCGGTTATATGCGTACGAAGTTGTGAGCTTATTCATTAATTATATTTTATGTAAAATATTTAAATGAATGAAAACTCTTTCCTTTGAAAGAATGACACAGATTATAAATACTAATAATATGTACACAAACAAAATGAATAATTATTTACATACACTTAATTACGTAAAATTATATTTAACATTTTAAGTATGATTTTGATATTTTAGTAATATTTCTGTATGTTTTTTTTTTGTATGGGTGTTAATGGAATGGTAACTCCATCTCAGTGATAGGTGATAAGTGAAGATGAATCAGGATTTGTTGAACAATTTTCAGTTAGCCCATCGTGACGAGAAAGAGTTCCGCGTTAAATAAGATATATAAGATGGAGAATACCTTTTCACCCCCGCTCCGAGAGGTGTGTTTCAGCGCGCGAACGGCGCGTGGATGTCGCGGTGGGGTGCGCGCGGGCCTGGTGGTGGTGGTGCTGGTGGCCTACCTGGTGGCGCGCCGCCGCTCCGCAATGGGTCAATTAGACCCCATTACCAGCGCTAGACAATGACCAGCTTTTCATCCCCACTAGTAGCTCCCTGCACTGACACCAGCGCTGTGAGTCAGCGTCAGTCGAGCCAGTTTCTTTTACCCAATATGAGACACTTTTCATATATGTATTTTCTATTGTAATTGTGTTTTTGTAGCAATAAATATTTTCTTTTTTTTTATACAACTTAGAATGGCAAACAAGCTGACGCACAGTGGGAACTTTGACTCCTTTTCATCTCATAAATCTATAACTTCCGTATTAATAAAAATATGTACATGATTTTTTTTCCTGATAATCTTAAATATATATGCTTTTAAATTATGTATGCTTTGTGAGTAAAAATTTATTTCTAATAGTTATAAATAATATAGCGGTGCTTACATTTATGTCCTAAGAAATTTATACAGGAATAAGGGGTAAAAAACGATAACGCTCAAGAGCTCCTTTACTTCATCAAAAAGTTCTAAATATTTTTTATTGGAAGGTTTTCTGTATGTGGTGGTATATAAAAGGTGCTCTTCGGTGGCTACCCTCGAACATTGTCTTGCATGATGAAGCGAACGCTTTGTTCCGTGACTCTTGATCATCGCGCGCGAAAAGTAACGTATCACACTCCAATGAATCAATACCTTGTGATTTTGCGGCGTAACCACGAATCAACTTGTATGATAGAAACAATAAGCAATTCTTTGCTATCAAACAACTCCTCATATTTTCTTACTGCCTTGTTCACCTACAAAAATGCTAAGATCTTCATCTTTTGACTGTTATATGTATCATTAAGAAAATTACTGCGTATTTCACTCTTTTTTTCTGACGGCCATGCTCGTAAAATATCAACGATGAATGCTTCATCTACTTCAGCTCCTACCACTAGTGACTCCCTGTACATATGAGTTCAGTATGAAATCAAGTCCACAGGTATCAAGCAGTCCCTTGTTTTTCCGTTTCTTTGTACTCTCTGAACTGTCATCGTATCTTTTAGTCTTCCTCTTTTCTCTGTCGAAGTAGAAGGTTCAGGTTCGCATGTTGTTTTTTCTAGATTTACAGCATTAAACCAATTGCTATTTTGATTTAAAAACTGTTCTTTCTTTCGACCACATTTCGTATAGCGTTGACGAAACTGAGTTATGAAGGACTTCTAAATACTTGCGAATATAGCAAAAATTCTATATTCGCATCTGAAGATTCGGTAATATTATTTTGTACATAGTTTGAGATATAATCAATATAATTTGTATCACTTTCAACAATAAGAGACTTAAGTCGCGTCCAGTACACGAGACTTCACTTATTGCGGAGAGATAAGTAATTAACAATTGTTTAGAAATGACAAATGCTTATATATATAAGAACTGTAATATTTCATATGTAAATGCACTATTTTATACTTAATAATGATCATAGACGTGTGCAAAATTACTTGATTTTAAAAAATTCATCATTATGCGGTTATGCGGTAAAGAATAGGTCTGTATGAAAATGGGAACTAAATACTATGTGAAATACTTGTAAAAAGTAACGCAAAAGATAAAATATAAAGTAATAATTGAGACAAAAGTATTTTTTTGAGTGTCCAGACAGAGAATCTCAAATAAAGAAAAAAATCTTAATATACGTACTTAGAAAAAAACATTCTCACCATGATATTATACTAGATTTAAATATATTACGAGTAAAACTGCAAAAAAAAAAAATCTTTTGCCCTCAAATTACATTATATTTCCTAATAAATTAAACCAAAATCAGAACTTCGGCAAGTCGGCAACTGTCAAATCTCCAACTGAAAGTTTGAGAAAAGAAAATAATACATATAACGATATATGGATCTTTGGTTAAGTAATATTGTACTAAACTAAATATATTTTTATTTTATAGTAAAGTACACATTCTAAGCATTTTAAAATGGTATCACACTATATGACTTCTATTGTTTTGATACTATAAAATTATACCAAACGAAATTTAAGTTTCATAATTATTTTTGTATTTTTTTCATTCCTTGACTTTAGATGCTCTGTTCTATGAAGTATGAATAGTGATAGATTTGAATCATACTTATAATGATAGAGTAACTCTTTAGCTACAATTTGAGGTATTATACATGCATATCCACAGAGTTTTAGAAAAAGTATTTATGAGATGGCTTTCTTAGGAGAGTTCCCACTGTGTGACGGCCCACCTGATGGAAAGTGGTAACCGTCGCCTATTCTATTCTAAAAATGATCTAGTAATTTTTAAATTTATTCATTATAAACAAATAGATATACAAAAAGACAAATGTTTCTTTTTTTACTGTAATAATTTAGGTCATCTCTTATCACGTTTAAAATACGTCAATACCCAACTAGTTCCAAACTCAATAGGAGAATATTATGAATAAGGGATTCATGAAAGCACTTTAAGACTGTCGCGACCAGCGCGCTTTATTACTAGTTTTTTTTTTTTTTATACAACTTAGAATGGCCAACAAGCTGACGGCCCACCTGATGGAAAGTGGTAACCGTCGCCTATAGACATGAGTAGTATGTACATAACAGAGTATATTGTTTCGCCCATGATTCCTCCCATGCGTTGCCATTCCTGAGGACTCAGGTGTTATTCCTCTGTACCCTGTAAATTCACACCATATCCCACCCTTCAAACCAAACACAGCCATGCAAACACAACTGCTTCACGGTTATTCTTCATGTATAGGTTAATTTTTTTTTTTTTCCTAAAATTATGTACACAGTAAACAGAAAACTTTTCATAAATAAATTGTATATTCTATAATTATTTGTATAAGCATATTTTTTTTTATTTCCAGATAACACGGCATCGGAGTATCAGTGCAAGTAGTCAATATATAAATATTATATTATATAAAACAAACAGCATCCTTCCATCCAGTCTGTTCATCCGCATCGCGACCACAGAACTCTGCACGCCGGTACGAACGCTCAAAGCAATTGATTCCCAATCATTAAAAGGGACTTAAATATATATATATATATATATATATATATATATATATATATATATATATATATATATATATATATATATATATATATATATATATATATATCACCCTATAAGCGATATTCGCTTGAAATACATATTTTATTTTTTAATTTTTGCTTGTTTAAAAATATATATTTCGTAATTTGATATATACAATGGCTTCCTACACAATACTGTGGCGATAGTCATTTGTATTTTGGAATTTAAAAATTGTATAGTGAAAAAACTGGTTTATAGTACTGAAGGTTTTGTTTAACTAAAGCATTTAATAAGGCAGCAATAAAAGGCGTGAGCAGAAGTCTTAATTCTTAAAAATGTTATAGCACGAATAATGGAGAGCAGAGCTCTTGAAGCTCTGTACGTATCGTAACGTAAAGCATTTTTTTCTACGCCTGCAGCGACTATTTATAAATACCATAGATAAAATTTTCTTTAGTAACTGGTTGGGAATCAGTTGTCGCGACTCTGTGTCCTAAAATATTGTAAATGCGTAGATAGGTCGCACGTAACATTTGCTCAAGCTTATTTTGAAAGCTGGCAACACTCATGTCCAGTTGTCGTTTTGTTCACGTTTAGGTTATGTCAAATATAACTTGTACAGTTTTATGTAGAAAAAAATTGCATCACTGACTGTGTTTAGGTTTCCGAAATGAAAAAAAAAAAATAGGTGGATACAAGTGTCACTTTAGTGTTCTAATAAAGTCTTTGAGATAGGTACCAGAAGTATTAAATTAACATATTTCAATTAGAACAAGTACATCTGTTCGCTTCTCATGTGGTATTAGAACAACTATATATTGTTTCAGAACATCGTTAATAAAAAAATAATAATAGCTAACAAAAATAAAAAAAAATGGCCATATTCTGCTCAGCATTCTCAATTTTATTTCTGCTGGATGGAGTTTTGATTTTTTATTATTTTTTTTTTTAAATAACATTATTATCCAAAGCAATGATCCAGAGATGGAAAGAGTTTTAGCAAAAAAAAAAAAAGACATTCGTCTCGGCCATAATTATAGATAGAATTTATTAAGATTTTAAAATTCGAAAGATTCTTTTCCAATTTCAAACTTTTATTTAAAAGATGCAGTCAAGGAATCTATTCATAAATATAATATGTGATGTTATTAGTTTTAAATGTGATGGGGTTAGCATAATATGTCAAATAAATTAACTATTATTGCAATATATATAAATATATATTTTAATTAATTTTAATTTCTTTCATTGTATTAATTATTTTTGAATTCTAATTCCGTGATTGTGTCCAAAGATGTTGTTTCAGTTATACACAAGTATAACGAATCAGTTTTACATTGGTTTCTGTCCAAATATTGAGAATATTATATTATAAATGGCGCTCGTAACTATACAGTTGATACGAAGCAGTGTCTTTCTTTACTGTAGTTAGTATTCGACATCTACTTATGTAAGTGTAAAAGTACGGGACATTCATTGCTGAAGATCAAATTGATGGGATTACTGGTTACAATGTTCTGGCAACACATACTTTGTCGATATTTTTTTTCTCAACGTTTTAACGGTCCTGGATACTAGTCTTTTAAGCATACCAATATAATACTAGTGTTGCCAAATAATATTTAAAAACTGGCAATGAATCGCCCTGTATTGCGGCGGTACCTTATTATCCATCTTTGAAGGGTTCTCGCCGAGGTGTGCAAAAAGTTATCGTTGTGTGACTAGACCGGGATTTTTATTTTATAATTCCATCGATTCGTTTATTGATTTCTGAATTTTATCTTTTTTTATTTTATTTTTAAACGACCCGCACTGGCCAACCAACGATAGCTAGACTCGTGTTGGACGAATTGTAATTAATTGATGAAAAAAATAAATGTTTTTTATTGCCATACCAGACTTTTATTTCATTAAAGCAGTTACAATAAATACGTACATAATTATTTACACAGTAGTTCATTATTTACACAGATAAAAGCTACTGAACACGTTTTGCTAATAAATTATTTGTGATTATGCTGTTAACTATTAAAGCTGATCCCTATGTCTGTATGTACAAAGTAACTACGTTTATAATAAACCTCCAATCCTGGGCAAAGCATGAATGAATCTATATTATTGCTAGCGAGTCCTTGAGAAAAGATAGCGACATCCGACATCTTGTTCTTTCTCATGCGATCGAAAGAGATATATATATATTGTACTTATAATATATAGCAATACCTATATATTGGTAGTACAATACCTATATATTATTGCAAGAAAGAATATAATAAATGTCTGTTATCCAATATACTATATATTAGAATGAAGAATCTGATAGAAATAAATATATCTGATTTGTATGAGCGATATTAAAATAGATCATTAGCTTTTTATCCGTCATCAATATCTATAGCAACCCAATAATGAACGGATATAATGAATATGGAACGGTAATGATATTACCATCCCTACTTGGTACATTATAGTGAGTCTATGTATTGATAGATTCGTTTATCACTTGTCTGGGAGGTACTGGGCTTTAAACAAGTGAATTTATTCTTTGTTTCATGTGTATATCATGAGAAAGAATAAGACTGAATGTGCCGTCTCGTTCTTAAGGGACAAATGAAAATTTAAAAAAAGAATAATTAGAAATAAATTACATAAATGTAGAGCACGAGTGCTAAATGATACGAAGCGTTTCTATTTCTACAAACGTTATTGATTAAATTTTGTAGTAGCGAAGTAAATAAATTTTATGCTCGTACAAAATATTTACATTCCTTTAACCGAGAGCCTGATATAAATGGTACGGGCAGGACTAGACGATTCAGTTTCTTACGTATATAATAATATACAATCTTTTACATTGCCAAGAATAAAATATTAACGCTTATAAAAATAGATACGCTTTTAAGTCTCTGACACAACTAAAGGTTTAAAAATCTGTCAACATAAGTTGATCGCTTGGTTATCTTTATTAAAAGTGTCACCAATGAATTAGCATCACAGACTATAGCAGCTGGCAAGCGATATTTCTTTTGGTATTTGTGGTTTCGACCGCCATGGAGTAGACCAGGGAGTCAACCATGAAATGAAATTCTGCTTAATTTCGTGTTTTTATTCATACCGAAATCGGTCCAGGAAATGGAAGTTAACATTTCGTTCGTCATAAATCCTACAATAATAGTCCAAATGAACGATATTTTAACATTTTTTTATATATTTTTAAACGGTATGTAATATATAATTTTAGCATCAATTTTTTGTTTCGTTCGGCCTCAAATTTATAAAAAAAACTTTTAAAATCTGACAGGTTCAATGCCTAGACAGAGAAAACTAAAATGCTTTTATTCGAATTATGTGAAGTTTTTTTTTTGCTAAATTGTTTATGAAGCAAAGAGCTTTGCTGTAAAGTTTTAAATTTCTGACTTACATCTCGATTAATTTTTTAGTCTATGAATTTATGCTTCTAATAACGATTTGCAAGGTCATTTGTGCGTTGTAATTTGATAAAACTGTCAGATTTTAAGCGTTTATAATAATCGTAAGTTGATATCATAATTTCGTTACATAAATTTGAATTGTATCCAAGTGAGTTAAAGTTTGAATTGCCAATTCTTTTTTTAGTGTTCACAGATGCGTCCAAGTCTTGCTTATCAAATGAGTACGAAACTGACGTTAAATTTAATTACCCACTACTGACTATAATGTAAATGCATTTCACAATATGGTTATTTAAGGTTACTTGCGTGCACGGTAGTGTAGTGCCAAGTCATGTTATATTTATTTATGAAAATATGTTATTTCACGTAAAAACGGACAGAAATTACATAACGTAGAACAATTATATAAATTGCCACTTCTATAGAATATGTTACGATTAGTGAGTTTATTAAAACAAATCTTATTATGGTTATTTGTCTCGTTAGATTCTGTGCTAAAAACACTGCTCGATCAGTTAGCATAAATGTCATTTCTCGTTGCTCTATTCGAGCTTAAATTTCAATGACTTTGTAAATATGCCATATTTTTGTATAACCGTGTCCTTGTTGCTGCATTATGGACATAGTTGTACGTCAAAAGAACGTAATCTACGATCATTTACACACGCATTATGTTGTACATACAAAGGCACTTATAAGTGGGGTTACTTATCTATTTGAAACTTAAAATAAACACTATACAGTATTAAGAGCTAGGAATACTGGTGATTAAGTACCCCGACTATTTACATTGAGTATTGTGCCTCCAGCGGATAATTTAACTTATATTTAACTTAATTTTACTTTTTACATTAGCCTCTATAGGTGTCTAGCCTCATGAAAATTACATTCATTAATTAAAAATGTGTAAATCCCCCATATAAATGTAAAGTCATGTAATTCAGGTGCTAAGTATTGCATAAACTATGTTTTTTTGACTTAGTTTTGGTTAATGATCTTAAGATACTATTACCCTATAGTTACAGTTCAGATTGAATAGATAGAGTGTCTCCATAGAAATGCTTCGAGAAAAGCGGGTCAACTTTTTTATACAATTCTGCGTGATAAATAGTTATGAGTGAAATCCTTCTATATTTATTTTATTTTATAATTTCTTTATCTTTTTAATGCGTCAACATTCATTTTATTTATTAAATAATACCTCAATATACATTTTATGCGTAAGTATATAGAACACTGATAAAAAAACGAGTCAGATAATTTGACAATTAGCCGACAAAAAGTTGACTCGTTTTTGAGGCTCGAGGCTCTATCTTTATAATCTAAGAGTTACAGTAATAAATTACAAACACTTGTTTATTTTATTTTAATATAAAAATTAAGGGAAAATAACATAAAAACTATAAATTGTATGGATTTGACATTACATGTCAAATTATTTAATTACTCTGTAGCATAATTTTATAAGGGGGTTTACATGGTCGCAACTTCTAATCATGACAAAGATTAGTCAAGTAAATGTTTTTTTTTTTTTTAAAACTTGGAATGTCAAACAAGTCGACGGCCCACAAACTTAATAGTGATACTATCTGATGGAAAGTGGTAACCGTCGTTTATAGACATGAACAGCATCATGGACACACGGAATGTACCGTGAAGCACATAATACCGCTCACGCTTTGCCATTCCTGAGGACTAGGATATTATGCCTCTGTACCCAGTAATTTATTTTATTTTTTCTATTTATATTTTTCAGTATAAAATTAAGTACAAGTACGCTATTGCGTCCTACGTAATATGGCAGTAAGGTCGATATTAAAATGGCACTATTTGGTAATTAAATATTTACAATTAAAGGCACATAACAAATATGGTAGCTTTCATGCTACCAATGTGCGTAGTCCTTGCCCTTAACAACAGTTTGGGCATAGATAATTCAGAAAAGAAAAACTAAGAAACAGCAAAAGCTGTAACTTCAAAGTATAGTCTTTACACTATGCCGAGGTTATAGGAGGCTAAAGAAACATGTGTTCATTTGATTAATATAACTATGGAATATGACGCAAATTTTGAACCTTCAGATCTTTTGGTTTAGTAAAGGTTTTCTGGATTAAGCACACTGACAAAAAATGGCCCAATGACATTTTCGGTGTACATATGGTATATGGCCATAACAACTGTCTCGTGAAGTACAAATATTATGGCTGAGGGCCATGTTAATTTCTCAACAGGCTGTAAATGGTCAAATTAACCTCCAAGTGGGGCGTGGAAGGTATAGAACCATATCAACTCTGCAGCAAGGCGCAATTGATACAGGATTGCAACAACTCTTTGCTGAGACTGACATTCATTTCCATTGTTCAATTTGATGCAGATGGTACACGATCGTTTTCTATATAGATCATTAAAAACTCCTTAATCAAGTATAGGTTCATTTTAACGTCCATCTGAAGTCAGATGGTACAAGATTGTTTCCTTCCCGATGGGGTGATGACGTAGCCCGGGCATTCCTACGGCGGCTCACTGCTGCACCGGGCACGAGTCGAGCAGCACGTTGTGCAGCGCCTCCATCTCGGTCCAGTCGCGTTTCTGTCCACCTACGGTCACCTCGCGCATGCACCCTTTGAAGTTTTCTCGCGTGCTCTCGCCCGTGTCGCCCTCTACAATTATTATATAAATCATTTGTAGTACAATATTCATTGTACGAAAATGGGATTGCTTTGAAATATATAATTAAAACAAAAAAAAAATTGTGAAGTATAACAGAAATAGAAGACGCAGCCATCGTCCAGCGTGAGATAGAGAGAGAGAGAGGTAGAGCGGCGCGCGGGCGCGCGCGGTGCGGCCGGTCGGCCAGCAGCGCGGCGCGGCGCGCGGCGAGATAGAGAGAGAGAGTTAGAGCGGCGCGCGCGCGCGGCGGGCTGCGGCCGGTCGGCCAGCAGCGCGCGCGGCGCGCGGCTCGCAGCAGCGTGGCGCGCGGCTCTGTTGCGAGAGAGAGAGAGAGAGAGTTACGGGCCCTCCGTCCGGCGTGAGATAGAGAGAGAGAGAGAGTTACCGGGCAGGCCGGCGAGGTAGAGCGGCGCGCGGGCGGCGGGCTGCGGCCGGTCGGCCAGCAGCGCGGCGCGGCGCGCGGCTCGCAGCGCGGGCCCGCCGGCCGGCGTGAGAGAGAGAGAGAGAGAGAGTTACCGGGCAGGCCGGCGAGGTAGAGCGGCGCGCGGGCGGCGGGCTGCGGCCGGTCGGCCAGCAGCGCGGCGCGGCGCGCGGCTCGCAGCGCGGGCCCGCCGTCCGGCGTGAGATAGAGAGAGAGAGAGTTACCGGGCAGGCCGGCGAGGTAGAGCGGCGCGCGGGCGGCGGGCTGCGGCCGGTAGGCCAGCAGCGCGGCGCGGCGCGCGGCTCGCAGCGCGGGCCCGCCGTCCGGCGTGAGATAGAGAGAGAGAGAGTTACCGGGCAGGCCGGCGAGGTAGAGCGGCGCGCGGGCGGCGGGCTGCGGCCGGTCGGCCAGCAGCGCGGCGCGGCGCGCGGCTCGCAGCGCGGGCCCGCCGTCCGGCGTGAGATAGAGAGAGAGAGTGAAAGTTACCGGGCAAGCCGGCGAGGTAGAGCGGCGCGCGGGCGGCGGGCTGCGGCCGGTCGGCCAGCAGCGCGGCGCGGCGCGCGGCTCGCAGCGCGGGCCCTCCGTCCGGCGTGAGATAGAGAGAGAGAGCGTGACCGGGCAGGCCGGCGAGGTAGCGCGGCGCGCGCGCGGGCGGCGGGCTGCGGCCGGTCGGCCAGCAGCGCGGCGCGGCGCGCGGCTCGCAGCGCGGGCCCGCCGTCCGGCGTGAGATAGAGAGAGAGAGAGTTACCGGGCAGGCCGGCGAGGTAGAGCGGCGCGCGGGCGGCGGGCTGCGGCCGGTCGGCCAGCAGCGCGGCGCGGCGCGCGGCTCGCAGCGCGGGCCCGCCGTCCGGCGTGAGAGATAGAGAGAGAGAGAGTTACCGGGCAGGCCGGCGAGGTAGAGCGGCGCGCGGGCGGCGGGCTGCGGCCGGTCGGCCAGCAGCGCGGCGCGGCGCGCGGCTCGCAGCGCGGGCCCGCCGTCCGGCGTGAGATAGAGAGAGAGTGACAGTTACCGGGCACGCCGGCGAGGTAGAGCGGCGCGCGGGCGGCGGGCTGCGGCCGGTCGGCAAGCATCGCGGCGCGGCGCGCGGCTCGCAGCGCGGGCCCGCCGTAGATAGAGAGAGAGAGTTACCGGGCAGGCCGGCGAGGTAGAGCGGCGCGCGGGCGGCGGGCTGCGGCCGGTCGGCCAGCAGCGCGGCGCGGCGCGCGGCTCGCAGCGCGGGCCCTCCGTCCGGCGTGAGATAGAGAGAGAGAGAGTTACCGGGCAGGCCGGCGAGGGAGAGCGGCGCGCGGGCGGCGGGCTGCGGCCGGTCGGCCAGCAGCGCGCGCGCGGCGCGCGGCGCAGCGCGCGGCGCCGGCGCCGTCCGGCGTGAGATAGAGAGAGAGAGTTACCGGGCAGGCCGGCGAGGTAGAGCGGCGCGCGGGCGGCGGGTAGGCCGGTCGGCGCGCAGCGCGGGCGCGCGGCTCGCAGCGGGGCCCCGCCGTCCGGGCGTGTGAGGAGAGAGAGAGAGAGCACGCGAGCCGGCGAGGTAGAGCGGCGCGGCGCGCGGCTCGCAGCGCGGGCCCGCCGTCCGGCGTGAGCCACAGCGCGCCGCCCGACGCGCGCGCCTCCGCCTCGTGCCACGCGCCGTCGCACAGCGAGCCGCCCGCCGCACTGCCCGCGCCCCGCCACTCCACCACCTCGTCGCCGCGCGACAGCACCACCTGCACACATGCAACATTTTTGTTAATCCATATTTAAATCCGGCTTGAAGGACCATTTTACAATTTGGTCCTTCGAGTCGAATATCAGATTAATATAAAATTAATTTATATGCCATTTTTGTCACGAATTTTACTGAATCAATATTACACACATGCTAATATATTATATTTATTCTAAGAAGGAATGTAATACTCACGGCACCATCTTTCAGTTCGAGTATAAGATCTCCGATCGCGAAGAGCACGCCGTTCGGCTCAGCAGTACGGAACTGCAATCGCACCTCGAGCACTCCGCCCTCTCCCCACAATGTGCGCGACGACGACCACGTCGCGTACGCGTCACCTGATTCGACAGTATAATAAGAATTTATTTCAAACATTTTTTTAATCAATCAGACTAATCAGTGATTAATAATCACTTGTTATAATAAAATAAAATAAAATAAAATTATAATTATATATAAATTATATTTTTCGAACACATTTAAGTTCTAATAACCTATTGCAATAGCAACTAGGCTTCGAGTGCACACGCGCATTTGTACATACCTGCGAAGTAGGCGGCGGGTTCGACCCGCGGGAAGCACTGTCCGACGGCGTGCAGGGCGGCCTCCCGCGCCACGTCCCGCGCGCGCCCGCGCACCGTCACACGCCGCACGCACCCCACGAACCGCGCCCACCGGCTCATCTGTTGCGCACACGTACACATTTGTTACTGGCAACTGTTTAATCATCAAACCAAAAAGGATGTAATCGGAAATAAAACGAGAGACAGAACAATATCATTGCCTAATAAAGGAACAAAAATAGTAATTGAAAGAATTTAATATGATGGTTTAAGAAAATGGACCAATAAATGCTTTACGAGCACATGAGGGAGACTTTGTACAAAAGTCGTTTGCTTGGCCCCCTCTGTCCCATTCGTGTTTTTACTGTGAAACAGTTGTGTTGCACGGCTGTGTTTCGGTTTGAAGGGTGGGATATGGCGTGAATTTACAGGGTACAGAGGAATAACATCTGAGTTCTCAGGAATGGCAACTCATTTTTATAAGCGACGGTTACCACTTTTGGGTGGGTCGTCAGCTTGTTTGCCATTCTAAGTTGCACAAAAAAAATGGGTCCGTAGTGACACGAGCAGCTCGAAGTTAGCGGTGAAGGTAGCGGCGGCGAGGTACTGACCGCGGCGGGCAGGTGCGGCAGCGCTGGCGGCGCGGGCAGGCCGCCGAGGTAGAGGCGGCGCGCGCGGGCGGCGGAGGGCGCCGCGCCGCCCGCCGCGCCCCCCGCGCCCCCCGCGCCCCACAGCGACGCGCGCGCACGCGACACGCGCACCGACACCTGCGCCAACACAACCACGCATTACGTAATGTCCCCTAGCCACTATTGGCTACCTGCTGTACCCGATGATTCGTAATATATTTATTTATTTAAACTTTAATGCACAGTAAAATTCTATGTACATTTGGCGGACATAACACCGGAAGGAGTTCTCTACCAGTCAACCATTGGGCAAACCGAGAAATCAGTAGGCGGTGCATTTTTGAATAGAGGAAAAATAAAGGAATACTTGATAAATCCATATAATATAAACATACATGTAATGTATGAAATAAATAAATATATACATATAATAAATACATACAAAGATAAATAAATACATAAAATTTTACTATATAAAACAACTGCAATAGAAGAGTAAATAGTAATCCATAACTCAAACAGAGTAACCAGCAGGAGAAGCTTAAATTAGATTATAAATATATCAGTTTCTAAAAAAATATTATCTCATAATTTTCTGCAATGTGTTCAACATTAGTCGAAATGGATCCTCTGCAGAGTTTAGAATTAATATTTTATTTTAGAATCCAGCAAAAAAAAAAAAACATGAACTACAACACTAAATACTAGTAAAAGTACAGTTTCATGATAAATATATCAATGAATTTTTGCATACAATGCGTATTAATTTATACTATAATTTATAATAATAAAAAAATTACATAAGACAGTTTATATTATTAAGATTTGCAAACTCACAGTTCTCCATGTACCGTCGGCGACGAAGGCGGCGAGCGAGAACTCGCGCCGCTTGCGCCCGCGCACTATCAGCTTCAACTTGCCCTCGCGCACCATCAACACCGTGTAATGTTTGGGTTTCGTTTTCGAACCCTGCACATTTTGAAAGAGCAATTTATACTTACAGTTACAAAAAGGCATTTACCGTAAGACTGTGTTTTGTACAAATTTATTCAGAAATAATATTAAGTAAATAATAGGAATAATAGGAGCAACCTGAAATGCATTGCAGGGAGTCAGTGGATGCAGGTGGCTCAAGACCGTTCTTTATGGCAATCTATGGGGAGGCTTATGTCCAGCAGTGGACGGGTAATGGCTGAAATGATGATGATGATGTACATCATCGATGTCGATAGTGAAGGCGGGGTGATCATTCGATTCACTATGTAGTGCATTTACCGGCGCAAGCAGCAGGATCCCGTTGGGCGCGAAGGTGCGGAACTGCAGCGTGACGGCGAGCTGGCCGCTGTGCGCGCCCAGCCGCAGCGTGGCGTGGCTCCACGCCGAGTCGCCGAACTTCAGCGCGCCCGCCTCCAGCGTGTACGACGACGACTGCGCAATACACACGATACAGCTCAAACATCGCTCATGATCAACCAAAAACACCATAGGAAAACAAGGTTTTTTTAATGGGGGATAATGGAATGGTAGCCCCGCCTGCGCTATCGGTGTACGCTGGCGGAGCACCAGTGAGGGATGATAGGTGATGAAAGCAGGTCAGTTAGTGCACCGTGACGAATTCCACTAGAATTAACCACGATGGTTTCTAGGGGGAACTGTGTAGACGTCAACTTGATAGGGTGTATTGATAGCAATGGATCAGTTAGATCCCATTACTAACAATCCCTTTCCCCCCAGGCGAGGAAGGTTAGCTGTAAATGTACGTCGAACTATTTTAGAATAAATTATTCTAATTTATTTATTTACAGGTGTTTTTTTAAATGGATGATAATGGAATGGTAACCCCACCCGCGCTCTCGATATACACCGGCGGGGCACCAGTGAAGGATGATAGGTGAGGATGAAGCAGGTCAGTTAGCCCATCGTAAGGTATATTGCCAGCAATGGGGCTGTCAATCTCCATTGCTAACAATCCTTTTCCCTATTTAAAGGTGTTGTACAGGTTAAAATAAATTTTGGTCATCAGCCCATACCTATGTAATTGGAAACTAGTATAGTAAGGAGTTTGTTTATCCATAGCATAACATATGATTTAACAACATGAGTAAACTTCAAGCATTTTTTATCATACTCTCACTTGAACAGTTGAATGACAATTGAAGAGTCCAGTCTGGTTCGAAACCAGAAACACCCAGCATTATACCAGAAACAAGACAGCGGGCAGTGGTGCAGGGCGGGTACCTTGGAGCAGCCGCTGGCGGCGGGCGGGCGCTGCAGCGCTCGCGGCGGCTCGCGGGCCAGCTCGCGCGGCTCCGCGTCCGCGCGGCCCAGCCCCGCGCCCCGCCACCGCACCGCGCCCTCCACGCCCACCAGTCTGAAACGTTTCATTATACCCGATTCACTTCACTGCCTACTGTGCCTTATTAATTACAAGACACAGTAGTTCATGTCTTTACAGTGTAAGTAAACAAAACGTCCCAATGATTCTTGTTTGTTTTTTTTAAATCGAGTACTAGAAGAGCAGCAGCCAGCTGAACCAACTGAACCACTGATACAGTTCGCCGGCTCGTAAAAAAAAAAATAAAAAACTAAAAAAATAAGCAACAGTTTTAGCTACGTTCTTCCGATTGCATAGCTAAGACATGGTTTCAATTTGAAGAGTAATATGGCAGCAAAATTACAGGGTCATCATCATAACCATCATCATCGTATCAGCCGTTAACTGTCCACTGCTGAACATAGGCCTCCCCCAAAAGGTGGGCTTTGGCTGTAGCTGCCACGCTTGGCAGGTAGATCACAGAGGGATAATCACAGTTAGGCTTTGGTGGTATTTTAAGAAGGATGCTGCTGTCTATCCTTCAACTATTAAATTCCCTTAGTCGGGAAAAGAAGAAATGGCCTATTCTGTGCCCAGACCACACGGTACAAAATTACAGGGTACAGAAACATAAAAACATAGTCCTCAAGATTAGTATTGCATGAGGATTAAAATAAAGCCTACAATCAACGGTTACCACTTTAGATGAGCTGTCAAAATGTAAACTACTCAAGTATCAAGAAAAAAAATTAAACATGAAAAACTTACTGTCCGTCCACGATAATATCAGCGATGGTACCAGTGAATCCAGTAGTGGGCACGTTGGGAATATTGGCGGTATCGTTATCTACGCCACCAACAAAGAAACCGTTGTCGCGAGCTGCGAAAGTTGACCCCGACAAAGGACCTTGTGCCAGCTTCTCATCATCCACCCATAGTTCTAGCTGAAAAAATTATAGGAAGTTAAACTTCGAGTTTTAAACGGTATAGCCAGGTAAAGAATATTTGGAGGCACAATTCAGATCACCGAGACACGAAGCAATTTAGAAAATTTATGATATAAACTAACCAGGGCTTCTAGACAAGTGGCAAGCGAATTCGTCGATAGAATCGATATCGCTAGCGAGTCCATGAGTTAGAATGTCATTTAGCGTTGCTATCTCATTCTGTCTTACGGACATGCTAGCGAAGTCGATTCTATCGACGAATTCGCTTGCCACTTGTTTAGAGGACTTGATAGGAAATCGATTTTGGAACTAAATTTATGCAAGACAATATGCAAGTTGAGATTATCTCTAGTCTGAAGTTTGAAAGCTTGAAAGAACTTAAAGTTTTATATGTATTATGCAAAATAAATAAATGTCTAGGGTGTGTGTTCTTCTAGCACGTAGAACTGGTGGCGAAACAGTATACTCTGTTATATCCATGGTGCTGCTCATGTCTATAGGCGACGGTTACTACTTTCCACCAGGTGGGCCGTCAGCTTGTTTGCCTAATTTTCATAAAAAATCTTTAGACCCGATCTATATTTTACTTCACACCCGACCTATGTATTAAGTGGCATCTTCTATAGCTTCTATTTACCTAGTAAGTATACTTTTTTATTCATATTAAATATACACAAATTATTATTCACCTGTTTATGAGCACGCAGTAATCGGACGGTGTGTAGTCTCCGGTCGTCGAATTTTGTACCGTTGGTGCGCAGACGCAACTCTTCTTTGCCCGCCGCAGCTATCACTTCCAGTTCACCTGCAAAAAATTAAGCATTAAGTTTAATCTATTAATAACTTACTGTTATTAGAAGATCCGTCTCTAGGTTATTTTAACAGGTCTTCAGGTAAGCGACTTTAAATTGTACATCCACCTGTAAAGCACTGACAGGATCATTGCATATATTTTAAAAAATAGTAAGTGTATAATTCGGCGATATAATTTGTAGGTGTACGAATACATACCGTTGACCATGAGTAGTGCGAGGTAGTGGGTGCGGTCGGCAGTGGGCGCGAGCAGCAGCAGCAAGCCATCTGCGGCGCGCGCACGAAACGATGCGCCCAGCGCGCCGCGCCGTCGTAGCGCCGTCCAGGGCAGCTCCACGAACCCGTTACCCTCGAACACCGCTGACCGCAGCACCTGCGGACAAGGCGTTACAGTATTTACCCATTGATTCATGGAATTAGGGATCCACTTCAACATGCTATCTTTTTCAGATCGTTACGAGTTCGACACTTGCAGCTGGATTTTGTGTGTTTATGGGTTTTGTATGTACATATTAAATATGTATTAAAATGCAATTTGAAATAGCAAACAAGCTGACTTGGCACAGACTGGAAACAGGTAGCTAACAATCGTTTGTATACAGACAAGATTAGCATCATGTATGTACCTCACAAAATATATAATTTTATGCATTTTTTGTTTTTATTTTTTAATTTCTTGTACATGTATCTTTTTTTTTATCTTTTTTCACTGTGCATTTATGTCTATTGTTGTTTGTATGCTGTAAGTAATGCAAATAAATTATTTATCTATCTATCTATCTATGTGTTGAGACATCAGAATCACGAGTGGGGCTGATCAACAAAGTTTTCTCTGGAAAAATAATCATATTTGCATCAAATAAAGGAAGTTAATATGAACTGACCCTGGTCCCGCAGGAGGGCTCGACGCCGTGCCTGCTGGGAGTGTCCATCAAGTCGTAGCCCTCGCGGTCGACGGAGACGGCGCCGAGGCAGCCGAGCAGCGCGGGCGCGGGGGCGGGGACGGGGCGGCGGGGCGGCAGCCCGCCCAGCCAGTAGGGCGCGGCGGTGAGGTCGGGCAGCGCGGCCGCCGCCTGCACGGGCGGCGACGGCGAGCCCAGCGTCTCCTCGCCGTTCACGCGCAGGCTGCCTGCCGACCATGCGCTCTGAGATATCGCCTACACGTATATACTCGTACAACTAAGCACAGCGATAACCCGTGCTGAAGAGGAACGGTTTTTACACGAACAATATCCTTTCCTGAGTCCTTCATCTTTGTTCATTTACAAAATAGTTTGGTGGCGGTGGTGGTTTTCTCTAATGAATGATAATGGAATGGTTACTCCGTTTGCACTGTCAGTATACATTGGTAAAAGTACCAGCGAGGGAGGCGGTGGTGGTTGTAAGCGGTGAGGGCAGCGGCACGGTACCTTTTTCGAGGTTGTTGGCTGCGAAGACGCGAATGGCCTGCACGTGCGCGGGCCGGCCGTCGCAGTGGCGGCCGCCGTCGGCGATGCGTAGTCGCGCGCCGCCGTACTGCACCGTGAACACCACGTGGCAGTCCTGCAGTGCCACCCACACCGACCGGTTCTGTGCATGGCGGATCAGTTAATAGGAACCCTGTTTTACAACATAAACATGTGCAGTACAGAGTATACGTACGTTAGCAGCGTCAAACGCCATGAAGAGTAACGCGTCGCGGTCTCGCGTGCGGAAGGTGAAGGCCAGGCTAAAGTGACGGCGGTCAGGTGCGCGCGGCGAGGCTCGCCTTAACTCTGCGTAGCCGGCGCCATCGAACCACGCCAGCGCTGCTTCCGCGCCACCGCCCGCTGCGCCACCACCCGCCACGCGTCCACCGAACCATCTGCCCAAAACCATATTAGCCCTTGTCTGTCGTAACGAAGAACAACTACTATGTGAGTTGCATTGATAAAAGTTTGTCACTATCAGCAAAATAGCCATAGGAAGGGATTGTTAGTAAATAGATAGGTTAGTCCCCGTTGTTTTTAATGTACCCTATCAGGTCGACCTCCACGCAAGATTATCGTTGAATTCATCATAATAGAATAACTGACCTGCTTTTATATCCACATCTATCATCTCTCACTGGTACTCTGCCAGTGTATACTGATAGCACAGGCGGGGTTACCATGCCATTTTCACCCATTAAAAAAAGCCATAGCTGCAAAGATGAGAATGGGTGTCTATCCTTCGTTACGCAAAGGTTGTTCGTTGACGAACTGTTCTTTGTTATGTCCCGTAACACTGGATCTCCAGTGTTACAAAGTCCTTTCATATAAGAATATATTACTTCCTTTTATTCTTTCAACACTTTACCCCTAAACAGACTCTTAAAATTTCTTTATTCTCACCTTATAATCGTCTACTTCTACATCTCCTAGTCCCGGAAATTAAAATAGACAATTTTTGAACGTTTGGTGACTTTCAAAATAAATATTTTGAATTTTAAATTTAAACTCACCTTTGCGTACAGCCCGTGCACTGAGCGTTCTTCGGCTGCTCCACGAAATTCCATAATCCAATAGTCTTGTCATCACTGTACAACGCGTGCACACACCCGGGCAGCCCGGGTAAGTGTGATATGCCGGGCAAATCGGATGCACCAGTCTTGCCCGGAGGCGGCGCCCCGAGCCAAACACGCGACGCTTGCAGCGTGACGGCTCCAGGGCCGCTGCTGTTGGATGCGGACACCACGCCCGCGCCTAACCGCTCCACGCGGAGGTGCACTGTGTTCCATACCCTACATTGGGTACATGACTATAAAGTATGGTACACATAATAAATAAACGGATTGTGTGATCTTGATGTTGCACTCGAAAAAAATTAATGTCACGTTAATATACTTCTTTTTTTATTTATGGCAATATTATTTTTGAGAACATGTTGCCAGTATCGAGTGTATATATTTAAATTGTTTTTTGTCATAGAAAAATTACTGGTTAGGAAAATATACAAAAGGCAATGTAGTAGGTAAATTTCGGATTACGATCATCGTTTTAAATCTTCTATGGATATTCTCATTTAAGATCCTGTCTCGCAATGAAACTAGGTTCCGTGGATCTGCAAGCAAATTGGAGTTTATTCATATGGCTAGCACAATAACTTTATACTTTTATTGTAAGACCTAAATTTCAGCTTTTTGGAAATCAGTTTTTAAAACTGTTGTCAATTTAATGTGTCTATAGGCGACAGTTATCACCTTTTATCTCGCCGTCAAATGTTTGCCATTCTGAGTATCATAAATTAGAAGACACTGTCATGACGAGATCACCTGTCGAGTTCGATCTTGTAGGTGGCATGGTCAGCGTCGTCTTGAGCTGGCTGCAGCTCCTGAGGGTGGCGAAGGTAGCCAGGACCGTCGCCCAGATCCCATCTAACGTGTAGCCGCTTGTCTTCTACACTTAAGTGTAGATATTTCTCGTTCCCCTTGTAAAAAAGGTTTAATTGAATATTCGTATGTTTCTAATATTAGTTGGTAAAATTGATAGGTGTTTGAGGACCTTCTAATTAATGTTATTACGAGAGCGTCGTGTTAAGTGCTATTCCACTTCTACCTATTGGGAAAAAGGATTGTTAGTAATGGGTCTAACATTTTTATTGCTAGCTATATATCCTATCAGGTCGATTTCCATACGGTTCCTTGTGGAAACCGTTATAGTTAATTCTTGTTGAATATTTGAATAATTAACTTGACGAATGAATGATTTAAAAGTGCTTGTAAACAGGTCTACTTGAGCAAAGATAAATTGGATATTTGGTAAATTCGTCACGATGGGCTAACTGACTTGTTTTTCATCCTCATTTATCATTTGTCACTGGTATCCCACTAGCATATATTGATAGTAAGGGCGGGGCTACCATTCTATTATTATCTATTAAAAAAATCCTACTTACTACAGTATAAAGCTGGCCAAGATGTATATAAGTTCATTTTTTGCCATGTTGGATTTAAATTTTGAGTGTTTCTTTTCTGACTAATAACAAATAAATGTCATTGACTACTCTATGAGACGTGGTTTATTCCAATCACCTTAATGAAATAAAATATAAATTACTTTAAAAATAGTTTTATCTTCTCTAATTTCGATTCGCGACCCATTTAGATCGCAAATGTTTCTTTATTATGTAACTATATAGTATGAACGCTTTTTTAAATCATTATCCGAGTCATGTACTGTGTTAGCGTGTACTTACGTGCGCGTTGTCGTCGTGCCCGTCGTCGAGCACGTAGAGCAGCGTGCCGGGCTGCACGTGCCGCTCGAACGACACAGCCAGCGCCAGCCGCCACGCCGCCGCCGACGGCGCCTCCCGCAAAAACGCGCGCGCGCACGTGCCGCTTGCCGCCGACGACACTGACACTGCGATCTGGTGGGCAGGGGCGTCATATCATCACATGTAACTCAAAACTGGTTATCCGTTTCGACTCGTGATGTTGATTATAATAAGTTAATTTTTCAAATAAAGTTTATAATAAACTTATATGATAAATTCGATTTAGTATGGGTAGGCGACTCACTCCGTAATCAAAGATTGAGTTAGTTTATATGTGAAATGTCGAGACATCGCAGATGACAATGTGGTAATCCTTTAGTTACGTCTTCCTGCTTATTTCATAAGGAATTTGGCATAAAAATAGTTTAGATGACCGCGCCGCGCTCCGCCTGCTCCCGGCCGTGCGACTTGTTGCTGCAGGTGCCGGTGACGGTGAGGGTGACGGTGAGGGTGAGTACGTACGGATGCGGCGGCATGGTGCGCGCGCGCCACGCGGGCGGCGAGCGAGCGCAGCGCGGGCGACAGCGCCGCGCCGCGCTCCGCCTGCTCCCGGCCGCGCGCCGCTGCCGCGCCCTCTAGCGCTGCTACCACTTCAACTTCACGCGCCATGTTTCCCCGGATCTGTGACACTGTTGTAATTTTTTTTTTTATATATCATGAATAAAAAAAAGCTGACGTCCTGCTCTACATACGCTCAAAATATGCTGGCAGACAGCACAAATAAGAGTGGAAGATTGCATTCCTCTGGTCATACACCCTTTTCCCCCATACCACTACTTGTCCAAACTTTGTTATTTACTAAAACATTTGCGGGATATTTCTCCTGATTACTCACCATGTTCCTGAGCAGCTCCGAGAGCAGTATCGCCATGCCGCTGTAACTCGACGAGCTGCCTACGCATCTGGTACTGCACTCGTCTCCGCAGCTCCGCCGCCTCGTCGTACAGCGCCCTCGTGGTCGCGAACACGCGGTCAGCCTGCCTCCCAGACTCCGCTAGCGTGGCGGCCACATTCGCTTGCGGCATTATTTCCAATTCCTGCTCCTGCCAGCCGAGACCTCGTAGCGTTACACTGACGAGGTCAGCCTCGTGGATAAGGCGGTCTAGTTGTGTTCGAAGTTCTACAAATTGTAACAAAAAATAACTTTCGAATTAGGTAGGGATTACAGCTCGAGATCTTTTCTAGAGAACATAAGAAAGAGTTTAGTTACTTCGATGTTTAGATCGTATGCTACTAATGAGAGAGTACTGACCATCAGCCTTGGCGAGAACGGCAGCTCCCTTTTTGCGCAGACCATCGGAGGAGCGAATGCCAGCAGCGGCGGCGCGCAATACGGGGTCGGGTCCACGGGCCATGGATGCGGCAGCGGCGGCAGCAGCGAGGGCGCTGTTGGCAGCCGCGGCCGCCTCGCGCACCGCTGCCGCTACCGCCGACCATGCGCGCGCAGCTGACATGCCCGGCGATGCAGCAGCGCGCGTACCCGCGAACAGTCTGTACACAGTACACACATATCACAGATCGAAAATTAAATCAGGATCTAAAAAATAATCTTTAAAGAGCGAGGACGAAGGACTTTCTTTACACAAAGAGAAGGGGCTCTCCACGTTTGAGGAGGAGAAACGCATTAATTGGCCATTGCCACATCAGATAGATCATCATTAATGAGAACCTGGCAGTACCTATAATGAACTTACTGATACAGAGATATTTTTAAAGGAGTTATTCAACTGGTTTAAAAATATCTCTGAACTAGTACTCCTTCTGTACTATAATTGGAAATGCCACTTGTCAGAAATTTGCGCGCAGAACTCCAACTCCCAATACAATTTCGAATTCTATCGTAAGTATATTTCAATGAAAATTTGCTTATGTAATAAATACGAAATGTTTATTTTTATGCGGAGTTAGTTCCTTTAGTAGAGAGAATTAAATTTCAAAATGTCTTTTTTTACAAGTCCAGTATACCACAATACAGTGGAACAGAAGTAGTGATTACCTTTTATATTCTTTGGCTTTCTCGCCCAGCATAGCGACGTGTCTTTCTGCATTTTCCAAGTATTTCTGTCGGTAAACTGGAGTAAGGTTATATAAGATTCCTTCCTTCTCCTCCGCAGCTGCTGTGAGAGTCTCCAGTTCTGCCGTCAGGCTTGGGAACTTGATGGCCACCGCCTGACTCCGTAATATTGCGGACGCTATCTCGTCTGTCAGGTTCTTTGCAGACAGCGATGTGATATCCTGAAAAGAGAAGACTATTAGATTTTAGAGATGTATCGTCCTCTTTTGAATGTTTACATATTTATTTGTTTCTCTTAAATTGCCCCTAAATACGAGAGCAAGTTACTTGTTTTGGTATACTACTTAGTTGGAATATAAAATCACTATTCAATTTAAAAACAAGTCGCCCTTTGCTGCAAAAAAATAGTGTTCTCAAAAATTTTAAAAATTTCAAAAAAATGAAGTAGAAATTTTTTTGAGAATATTCAATATTCAAAGAATAGTCTTTGAATATTGAGTTACATTAGTTTTTATGTTTTGGAAATTGGGTAGATTATATAGATAGAGTGTCTCCATACAAATGCTTCGATAAAAGCGTGTCAACTTTTTCATATAATTTTGCGTGATAAATAGTTATGAGTGATTCCTTTATAACTTCTATATTTATTTTGTCTCATAAATTCTGCACCTTTTTAATGTGCAAAAACAATTTTTTTTGACAATTAGCTGACAAAAAGTTGACCGATTTTGATATTCGATGCTCTATCTATATAATCTAAGGGTAGGACAAAATCTAGTTTTAAATTTAAAAACATGTAAACTAACCTCCAGCATGAGTCTGCACCTCAAGCCAATATCTCTGACTGTGGCCAGTCTGGGCAGTACGCGCGTGCCGACGGCGGTGACCACCTCTCCCGCTGTCCACACCGTATCCGCCAGTCTTGTCAGGTCCTCCCCCTTGCGGTCCCACTCCATTAGTGCGTTTTGCAATGTTCGTACTCGTTTGTACATGTCGTCGATTAGTCGGTTGTTCTGTTGCACTGAAGCCGATTGGAGATGTGCCTGAGAAGATGAGGGAGATCTTAAATATTCGAGGACTATGTCTAGCTTTAGCCTTATTTAAACCATTTTCAAATATAATACTGTTGTATAAATTATAAAATTAGCCAGTTCCAAAGAAGGTCTAGCTAAATTAACGTGATATGAAGATTAGATAATCCTCCAGACCCGAGAAGGATCTTCGGAATAGGGGTGTACAAGAGCCAAGTTATGAAAGTGAATAAAGCAACAGATGAATATAAGGAAAAAATGCTTTTAGGACTCCATTTTTTCTATCTATTACCCTAGAAGATAGAGTATACATTAATTCACACTTTTTATCGAGGATATTTTTGACATACTCGAAGAGTTATTACTTTTCATTTCTGTCAGTTTTAAAAAAAACGTAAATAAGTAATCTATAACTTACCGTATTAAATACATCATTCACTGATCCAATGTAATCGATCAATTTTATATCATTAATTTGCCTAAGTAACTTCCTCGCTTCTTTCAGCGCTTTGTGCGCGCTAAGATGTCTTTCGCCTTTTGAAAATTCGTTCAAACGTGCTACCTGTTCACTTATTTGCCTTCTTTGTTTGAGCACTTCATCTAACGCATTCATGCTTTCTACATTCATAGATTGTGAATAATTTTGTATTCTAAAAGCTTCTTCTTTCAGTTGGTGCGCCTCTGTAAATACTAGATGTTCTTCGCTTTCTAGATTAGCTATAGAGTTTTCGATGTATTGCATTTGTGTCATGTCTGTCCTCAAGTTTTTTAGTTCGTCGACTAGTTTAGAAGAGTTGTGAGCAAATTCTAGCAAGGCTGGAAATGGTTTTGGTATCCTGCTGAGTTCTGTGGGGTTGGCGCGTGCTCGTAGATCTCGGGTTAAATCTTCTGCCGCATCTAAGAGGGTTTGCGTGCAGTTGTCGCAAGCTGTAAGGTAATTGATAATTTTTTATAAAGTGACGTTATGAGTTTATTTATTACGTACGTGCCAATTAACAACCGGTTAATGAAATAACTGGAATTTTTACACAGATAACGTCTAAAACCTTTAGTTGTTATTGTAACAAAATAGACCGTGTGCTGTTTTAGGAAAAGATCAAAAGTTATGGAAGTAAATGTGGCAGAATGTGATAATAATAATTATTATATCACATATTAACTGTTCATTAATGAATAAAGATTTTCCCCATAAGGTGAATTTTACCATTTGTTGCTCAGTACGCGGATTGTTAAAAGCATTAAGTTTTTAGTATACAAGGTAGGTCTATCTTCGGACATACTGTGCAGACTGTGCGGTGAGAAATCGGAATTCATGGAATACTTGATGTGCAAAGATATCAGACGTAGCGGTCTCGTTGTTTATTATGCGATCAAGTGTTCGTTAGTCTCTTCTTCAGAAAGGAAGGTGTAGTATACTGACGCGTGCAGCCGTCGTGGCCCATGTAGGTGCGTGGCGCTGCGCAGAGAGAACAGGTGGGCCCGGCGGCGGGCGGCCGGCAGCGGCACGTGCCGCGTGCGTCGCAGCGCGCCGACAGCGCCCCGCGCGGGTCGCACGCGCACGCCGCGCACGCGTCGCCCACGCGCCGCCAGCCTGCTGCACACCGCTCGCATTCCGCGCCCGCGTACCCTGCACAGCGCACCACGCTCTACTTCACACCGGCTCGAAGGACCAAATGTTGAGCCTCTAGTCATCCTAATTACGAGTAATTTATTGTGGAGGTGAGGCGGGATATTGTTGAAGACAGTGAAATACGTTGTGATTTCTTTACTTTTCAGATAAAAAAAAGAATTTTCCAAATCGGTTCAGAACTGACAGATTTATGGTGTAACAAACAGAAAGGAAATACAATCGAATTAAAAACCACCAACTTTTTGAAGTCGGTTGAAAATAGAACAACTCAGTATGAGATCTTTTAAAAAATATATAAAAAGGTCGGTGTGGGTGTGTTGGTACTATGTACATACCGGGTTTGCAGAGGCACTGCAGACGTCCGGCGATCAGGCGGCAGCCGGAGGCGCCGGGCGCGCAGGGACAGGGTCGGCAGGCCGGCGCCGCGCCGTAGTAGCCCGCCGCGCACTCCGCGCACCGTGCTCCGCCCGTGCCGCCCGTACAGTTCTGTGGGCGACGGCCATGCGAGAACACGTGATAGGCATAAGATACTTCTTATTGGATGATAATGGAATCGTAACCCCGACTGTACTATCGGTATACACTGGCGGGGCACCAGTGAAAGAACTCAACTAGGATTAACCTTGGTGGTTTCCAGGGGCAACCAGGTTGAGGTCGACCTGACAGAGTATATTGCTAGTAATGGGGCTATTACCAACGATCCCTTTCCTCCAACCATGTCTGGTTAGCCTATCGTGACAGACTCACCAATAATTAATCACGATGTTGTTCAGGGGGAAACACGTGGATGTTGACTTAACTGGGTAAATTGCTAGCAGCCAGGATTAACGATTTCTCTCCCTAGGCATAAGGCATGACACCTTGTTGAAGTTCACACATGATGACATGATACATAAGATTGCATGCGAGAGCATGACGCTGTTCAAAATAGATGGGAGATTCTGATTAATTCAAGCATGTTCATTGATACACTAACACGGCTTTCATAAGCAACTTAATGGGAATAACCAAGCAGTCGCCTCTGAAAGAATCTTAGATGGTAGCCTATCCGCTGTAGTTGCAGTGCTGCGCTTGGCAGTCCACACTGATGACGATAATCCTATAGAAACCAAATGGGACAATCTCCAGTGACGGGTTTGTTTGTTGCAGTTACATGGCTGAACTTAGTCATCTATCCTAAAAATAATCATCTAATATAGAGACGTTTATATGATTTTGAGTAGTAACAAAGTGAGACTGACCAAGCAGTCGCCAGTGACAGGATCGCAGGCGGTAGCCCTCCCGTTGCAGTTGCAGGGCTGCGCTTGTCCGTCGAGTGTGATGACGATGGTGCCGTCTCTGAGGTGAATATTCTGGCGTATCGGTGGCAGCCAGTAGCCGCGCGCGGGCCGCTGGCACGAGTCAGATGCGAAGCCCGACGTGCAGTCGCAACGCTCCACCCCTAACGCCGGCTCAGAACGGCTTAAGCCTGGGATCGCCGTGTCCATTGATACGTTGAGGAGTCTGTTATGGATATTATAGCGTGAAAATTTTAGTATCTATATCTTCATGCAAAATCTTTTGTGGTTTGGCTTGAAATCATGCCAAAAACATCGAATGGCAAAAAACTCTAACCCTATATACGTCTCTTGCTTTCTGCACTTTCATATCTCGTCTTGAAAGACTTGAACAAGGTTTAAAATATACATCACACATATACATATACATCACGCTTATCTTTCATTAAGGTAGACAAATACAACGGAAACAATTCTTCGGTCCTTAAAACTTCAGATAAAAATATCGCTCGTTTTTGCATCGAGTTAAAGAGTCATCTACGCCTTGGATAATGGACATTTGGTCAAAGACAAAAATTCTCTTATGCAACTTATGCATGTAATTTTGGTGTTTCATTATGACAGATAGCGAGGATTGTTAGTCGTCGGACTTAAAAGCCTGGGCAGATCAGTGAAACACAAAAAGCAAAATTTTGATCGTTGTCAAAATGTCTCTTGTCTGCCAGAACAGTGCAGATTGTATGTTTCATTGGTAAGTAAGTATCCTTCACTAGTGGAAGACTTTGTACAAAATTCGTTTATTTGGGTACCTCTGTCCTGTTCGTGTATTTACCGTGAAACAGTTATGTTTGCATGATTGTGTTTCGGTATGAAGGGTGGGATATGGCAGTGAATTGACAGGGTATAGAGAAATAACTGGCAATGCATGGGGGGTATCATGGGCGAAACAGAACACTCTGTTATGTCCATGGTACTGCTCATGTCTATAAGTGATGGTTACTACTTTCCAACAGGTGGACTGTCAGATTGTTTACCATTCTAAGTTCCATAATAAAAAAAATGTTGGTTTGGTGCATCCAGATACTCACAGCGCATGAACGTTGTCCCTGGCAGTGGGTACTCTGGTGGTGACCCGCAGCAGGATCCGGTCGAGTTTCCCCAGGACCACCATGAGAGCGGAGCGGCTGGCCACGCCGCCGCGATCCCGCACGCGCCATAGCGACTCGTACAGTCGTACTGAGTGCGTGCCGTTCTTGGCTGGCACACGCTGAGGATTATATGAAGAGTTAGAGAAATAAATTTATTTCTTATATTCAGTGAGATAGCTGTGAACTAAGAAGCCCTACACATGCAAGAATACAAATGAGAGTTCCGGAAGTACTAGAGGAAGCCCTTAGAAAATTAGTGTTATTCTATTAACATAATCTACAGGATTTATTTTCGGAGCGCTTGTTGCTTTTATTGTAATGTTATTGCTTATAACATATTTGTATGATCAATTACAAAGAAAAGAAACAGTAACTTAGAGATTATAGGGCACGGAGTTATAATACTATAAATAGATACTCTTTATTGTTTCCTCGAAAAGATTACAATAGTAAACTTATTATAGATACAAACAATTATAAGAAATGATCACAGTGAGAAAACAATAGGCGACCTTATCGCTAAGAGCGATCTCTTCCAGACAACCTTTGCATGGAGAGGAGTAATTATAAACAGTTTGATCGGAGGGACGATGAAAATTCTATCATTTTAAAATGCATATAGAGATGTAACAAAAAAATATATTTTGCCATTCTAAGTATCATAAAAATCTTAGGCATTTACCTCAAATTGTTCCAGCACGATATCTTTACTATATAACAAGACTAGCGGGAACCGTCTTCTGGTTTCTAGCGGTAACTCCTCGCCGCCCTCCTCTTCTACGGTGAATCGCAGCGCTCCACCGTACGACGTGACGCGGTCGCCAAGGAACCGCTTGTCCAGCTCCACGTAGACCGGCACTGGAGGCCAGGGGAGGGAGATGGTCGCATCGGGGGAGTGCGTATGAATAGCTAGCGGAGAGTTTTGATCCATCTATTGTGTGAAATAGAAAATAACATTTAGTGTTTCTTTTTTCTGTTGCATTCATGGTTTTAAGAGATGATAATAGAAACCTACCGTAGTGATCTGATCTTCGCCCCTGAGTAGCGTGACGTGTTGAGGAACGGCGACGTGCAGCGCGGACCTGGTGAGCGCGGCTTGGGAACAGTGGGCAGCGCGGCCGAAGCAGAAGCACGCCGTGCACCCAACCGGGTTGTGTGCTGACAGTCCGAAGGTGCCGTCCAAACATTTGTCGCATTTGTCACCCACCACGTTCTCCTGTAGAAGTAAGATTATGCAGCTTTCTTGTCTAAGTTTCAACTTAAAAATAATGGTTTGATTTGAAGATATTTGATGTTTTCTATGTGGCATAGGTCCCGACCAAACCCTTTCTTTCCGGTGGGTGTCGTAAGAGGCGACTAAGGGAATTTAATAGTAGAGGGATGGGCAGCAGCGTTCCTCTTGGAACATCACCAAAGCCTAACTGCGGATGCCAATCTGTCTGCCAAGCGTGGCAACTACTAGCAATCCCCCTCTTTTGGGGGAGGTTTTACAGATACAGTATTCTGACCGATTAACTAAGAATTAGGATGTCAATGAAGTTTGTAGTAACAGCCTCACCTTGCAATTACACCGTCCGTGCTCATCACAGCCACAAGTACCATTCTCACAGTGCAGGGTGCCGACGGGCGAGCAGTCGCACGGCCGGCACCGAGGCCCATAGTGGCCCGTAGCACATCTGTCGCACCCCACGCCGGTCCAGCCCAGCCGACATTTGCACTGTCCTGATACTGGGTCGCACATATCTGTAAAACAATTAATACGGAAAAATGATAAACGCTGCTTCTGTAAGCATTTTTATGTAACTTAGAATGGCAAACAAGCTGACGGCCCACCTGATGGAATGTGGTAACCGTCGCTTACAGACATGAGTAGTATTATGGACTTATCAAAGTATACTGTTTCGCTCATAATACCTCCCATGCGTTGCCATTCCTGAGGACTCAGGTGTTATTTCTCTGTACCCTGTAAATTCACTGCCATATCCCACCCTTCAAACTGAAACACAGCCATGCAAACACACCTGCTTTATGGTAGAAACACGAATGGAACAGAGGTGCCCAAGCGAACGACTTTTGTACAAAGATTTTCTCTGATGAACATACGAGTACAATTATATTTAAGAAACCTCTGGTTTATCTCTTTTATTAGAAATTGTATCTATTTATAATGGGCTAATTTACATTCAACCATTACCCTTGAAAGTTCAGTTCATTTAGATTTTCATGATGATTGCGTTTGCTGGATGGTGGCTTGACGGCATTCTTTGATAAAATAACTAAAAAAAACAAGAGTAAGAGAACTAAAATTATATTCAAACATTGATGAGTTACCAAAGAATGCTTTTAATTATCCCCAATCATGTTAAAACTAAACCAAAACGGGAAGAAAATGAATTTGCTGATTTAATAGAAATCCTTATTTACATGTTTCTACTTAAAATTCAACGATCCGAGAACATTCCAGATTCGCTGTGTGGTTGTTAAAACTAGAACAGTCTACAGCGTTGTTGATCGAGCGTTTATCTTCTACCAGACCTTAGATCCTTTGATCTTCCTTGGACAATCCAACTAGTGCACTACTAAGATACTTACTGAATATAGCTCCAGCGCCACATCTGCAAGGCTGACAGCCGTTCTGTTTTGACCAATAGCCAGGCGCGCACTGCCGACAACCAGGACCCCGGGAACGCGGCGGACACACGCACTGTCCAGTGTCCGGGGAACACACCTTGCCGTCCGTGCACGTCGGACAAGCTGAAAAGTGATGGTTTGGATGGCTATATATATTTACATAGCCTGTATAGAATAGGCCACCTCTTCTTTTACCGTGGGTGTTGTAAGAAGCGATTAAGGGACGGCAAGGGATGGATAGCAGCGTCTCTCTTTAAACATTTCTAAAGCCTAACTGCGGTTGTCAATCTGCCTGTCAAGCGTGGCAACTACTGGCAAATCCCCCCAAAGGTTAGGCTTACGTTCAGCAGCGAAGAAATAAAGGCTGATATGAAGATACATTTATATCAGGTAATATACATTGTAAATAAAGAAAATCAAATGTCAACGACCTGTATTAAATTGTTTGTTTATTTTCTTATTTATTTTGTTTATTTTTGTATTAAATAAATAAGTATTAGAATAAAAGATACATTACATTTTTAATTATGACCTTTTGGAACATAACCTCATCCAATTGGGGGGAAGGGATTGTTAGAAATGGAGTTTGACAGCCCCATTGCTAGCAATATGCCCTATCAGGTCGACCTCCACGTGGTTCCCCCTGGAAACCATCGTGAACAATTCTCGTTGAATTCGTCACGATGGGCTGACTGTTTCATCCTCATCTATCATCATTCACTGGTGCCCCGCCGGTGTATACCGATAGCGCGGGTGGGGTTACTATTTCATTATCACCTATAAAAAAAAAACACATCCAATTGGGGGGAAGGGGTTGTTAATAATGCGGGTTACCAGACCCATTACTAGCAATGTGCCCTATCTGGTCGACCTCCACGCGGTTCCTCCTGGAAACCATCGTGCTGAATTCCAGATGAATCCATCACGATGGGCTTACTGACCTGTGTTCTTATTCTCAACTGTCACCCTTCACTGGTGTCCCGGCGGCGTATACCGTTAGCGCAGGCGGGGTTACCATTCCATTATCATTAATAAAAAAAAACTACATCCAATTTGGTGCAGTAGCTTTTTAGATGTCGGAAAAAATAAACGGACAAAAAAAAAAGACAAAATTTCTAAGAAACATTGTTTAAGCTTCTATTGTCTTTATTAAGATCCCTCATACTTATATATTTTTTAAATGTCTTCTATGACATCGTATGCTTAAAATTTTATTGTACGTAAATAGATAAGTAATTGAGTAAGATAATTTGCAAAAAATGCTTTTTTAATTATACAGCACTATCATACCTACTTGTACAACAATTAGTCCATTACCTTAAGGTTGTCTTGAAAAGATTGCTCTCAGCAATAAGACCGCCTCACTGTACTTATACAACTGTATCGTTGTGTTTGTAAATTGTCTTGCTTATTTCCTATATTGTATAATGCAAATAAAGTATACTCATTAATTCATTCATAAGTAATCATATTATTGTAACTCACGTAAACAGCCCGCAGGTCTGAAGCCATAATACCCTGGTAGGCAGTGGTCGCACTGCGCGCCTCCTACTCCGGATGCGCACGCGCACATCCCAGTGACGGGGTCGCAGGCGGCAGCGCCCGCGCCGCACTCGCACCGCCTGCACCCTCCCTGCTGTAGGCCCCAGTAACCCACCTGGATAAAAATAACAGTAATATAATTAATTAGTGTATTGTATCTCAATAGCCGTTAAGTATCAACTGCTGGGGGAAGGGATTGTTAGTAAATTGGAAGGATAGTCCTTATCGCTATCCAGCCACGCAGAGAGAACTGTGTGGAGGTATACCTGATAGGGTATATTGCTAGCAATGGGGCTGTTAAACTTCATTGCTAGCAATCCCTCCCCCCACTGGTCATTTACCATCGCTTCACTCACAAGTCGCTTTCCTATAATATCATGGTGATAAACTTATGTCGCCGCACATCTCCTATTAGCATGGAAATTTCAGGAACTACACTTTAATGGACTTACCTATAATGCCATAAAAACTAGCTAGTCAATATTAAAGAGAATAAGTCTTTGTAAACGTATCTTATAGCAGTCTATAAGATTGCTATATTATTAGATTTATTTATTTATTCTTTTATGACCACATTACAAAAAAAATGTCTGGTACAAAAGGCGGACTTAATACTATATAGCATTCTCTCGCAGTCAACCTTTGGCAAAACAGAAAATTTTATTAGATTGCTATATAGATTGCTATGGGAGAGGCATAGGTTCCAGCAGTGGACAGATAACGGCTGAATTGATAACGATGCTATTTATCTTGTAACAGTAATAATTTTTATATTATTTATATAGTTATTTAAAACAGGACTTAAAGCTTATTCACAAAAACATAACGATAAATTAATGACAATTATTAAGCCTTACAAGCTTTTAATAAGAGATAATTTTGTTTCGAAAAGTACAAGACCAATACGGGAGTAAATCTGTCGACTGTGAAGGAATGAACAGTCCTTGTAATATAGGTATAATATAATTTATGAAGTACAAAAAAGCGGTCTTATCGATATAGCAACTATTTGCATACAAACTTTGGGTAGAGTGAAAAAAAAAAGACAGTAGAGATTTAGCGCAAAAAGTGTAACTAATATAAAAAAAGAAAAGGCTAATGTTATTAAAACATATGCAAAAAAAAAAAAACAATATATATCATACATTTAAATATATTATATATTTATCTTTGTATTATTATTTACGTGGTACAATAAAGAATAAATAAATAAATAAGGACGAGTCAAAAATACCTTTTTTTGTAATTTTGATTCAGAAAGATGTATCATCAAAGAAAATCAAATAGAAATTCGAACTGGGAAACTCAATATTTTATTAGCCAATAGAATAGATTATATATTTACGTCTCCATGTTTTATAAGCTACGACATACCCATTCAATTCACAATCCCATATCATGAAATACTAAAGTCTACGATTAGAAACTGCAATGCTTCATAAACTGTAAATTCAATCGGTTTCAATTCTCAGTAAGTCTCCTAATACATACATATTATCATTACACAATTGTTCGGATTATATGAAAATGAAAATACTAACTCCACAATGGGATTTAATGCTGAATTGTAGCGCTTTAGAAATCGTATTAACATGTGTTAGAACTTTCAAAGCGACACGTCGCCTGCCAAAGTCGTTTAGCAATTTTCAATGAAGCATATAATGTTGCTTGCATTATTACTCTGCAAATAGCTGATCCATAAATTTGTGGTTTAGTTTAGAATTCTGTTGGAGTTGCAAACGGCATAAGTTTATAATTGGTGTAGTTCTATCAATAGAACTGTGTAAGTTATCGATTCGATTCCTCAGCAGTTATAAAATAGCTTTAGAAGTATAAGAGAGTAGTTTAAATTCTCTAATTTGTTTAGATAAATAAAAAAGTGGCATTATTTATTATTATTTTTTTTTTTTTACAACACAGGAGGCAAACGAGCATGCGGCTCACCTGATGGTAAGTGACTACCACCGCCTATGGTCACCCACAACACCTACGGCATTGTAGGTGTGCTGCCGGCCTTCTAAAAAGGAATATGCTCTTTTCTTGAAAGTTATGTTGTCGTATCGGTTCGGAAATACTGCTGCTGTAAGTTGATTTCAAAGAGTGGTTGTGCGTGGGAGAAAGTGCCTTGAAAAACGCACAGTGGAGGACCGCCACTCGTCCATTATTGAAAGATTTGCTTTTTTTTTTTCAGGCAAAATAACCTGTGACACTGCGACCTTCCCATGATCTTTTGTGCTCGCTCTTTTTATAAAGTTCGCTGCTAATTCCTATCAGTGATAAGAATTTTAAGATGTGTTTTTTTATTTTCGACCACTTGATCTGGGGAATTTTTAATAGAAATACTTGCAACACTGAAAAATGGCGCGATCTGTTAAAAAAAAAGTATTTCTCGACTAAAAAGACATTTTTGACTACCTGTTTTTTGTTCCATTTTTGGGACTCGATGCTCGATCTTATTTAGGCACATGCAGTCAGACACATTCAAAGATTAAGAATGTATCAAGGATACACCTGCGCCGTAGAACCGTTTGACGTTTATTGAAATTTTAAATGTAATGCAAATGTTACCAGCCTTGTGGTATGCGATCTCTTTACACTGTAATTCCTCAATCACGAGACTTGTATTGATCCATTTATTTACATCGCGAGTGTACAACGGGACCTCGTGGAAATCCGCGGCGAGTGTTCCACATCGATAAATCAGGTACCGTCTGAATGACATTTAATTGAATAAACAGCGGCCCATTCCATCGGCCAATTATTGATATTATAACCGCTCGCAAATTCCGCTCCGGTACCCTCATTCCGCTTTTATAGCTTGCAAATGTCACCGAGGCATTTGCGGGTTGTGTATAGGCAGTAGGGTTGCCAGATAAAAACGTACTTTTCCTGGAAATCCTTCAGAGGGAACAAACAAACTCGGAGTTAAGTTTAACAATAGGAGGTTGCGTGATTCGTGTGCATGCATACCTCTACCTTACACTTTTTTTGCTTCCAAACGGTGCATGACTGCATTTTGCACTTTCAAGTTAATTAAAATTCAACCTTATGAAAAAGAAGTTTCATACAAAAAAAAAGTGTAAAAAGTAAACTTAATACCGTATAGTGTTGTTAGTTTAACTTGTTAAATATAGACATATAATTATTTCGCAATTAGTATTAAAAATATAAATTCTCCCGGATGTTCCGGACATCTGGCAACCCTATCTGCTGGCAGGGAACTCAATTTTGAACGGGTTATATTCTTGTGAACGGAACAAATTGTTGCAGGCGTGGCAATTACGAGCAAATATTATGTGCTACAGAAAAAATCGTAATGACACGATGTTCCACATTTTTTTCCCATGAGGTATCAAATTATTTTTTGATGTTATTATCACTGTAAAATCAGTATCGATTTGTTTAAGGTCGTAAACAGAAGTATATTGGAAAGGGGAGAAAGAATTTGTTTTTTATTATTAATGGATGATAATGGAATGACAACCCCTGCGTTAACGGTATATGCTGGTGGGGCACCGGTGAGGGACGATAGGTGAGGATGAAAAGGCAGGCCAGTTAGCCCATCGTGATGAATACATCTGGAATTCAGCACGATGGTTTCCAGGGGGGACTACGTGAAGGTCGACCTGGGTGAACATATTGCTAACAATGGGACTGGTAGTCCGCATTACTAACAATCCCTTTCCCCAGGGGGTATTTGTCACAGAAAAGAATTGTTTAGTACTGTCCCCATTACTAGCAAAACACCCAAACAGGTCGACCTTTTTTTTATACAACTTAGAATGGCAAACAAGCTGACGGCCCACCTGATGGAAAGTGGTAACCGTCGCCTATAGACATGAGCAGTACCATGGACATAACAGAGTATACTGTTTCGCCCATGATCACCCCCATGCGTTGCCATTCCTGAGGACTCAGCTGTATCCTGTACGCCATATCCCACCCTTCAAACCGAAAGACAGCCATGCAAACACAACTGGTTTACGGTTGAAACACGAATAGGACAGAGGAGCCCAAGCAAATGACTTTTGTACAGTTTCCCTCTGGTGACACAATATTTAATTATATTAGTCATTGTTTTCAACAAGGTGGTTATCTTGATCTATGTAGTATATAAATATATATAAGTAGGTAGATTATGGTCAGCAATAAATTGATCAGATAAGTGGATATATCACAGGTGTATTACGAGTCACGCATGAGTCAAGGAAGTGATGATGAATTTGTGGTTTCTTGATAATCAACGTGATAAGGGAATGTCAGCGAAGATTTTAAGGTTGTCATTAGAGATTGACGTATGGATGCATTTTTATTACATATCTAACCAGAGGGAGCCTTTGTACAAAAGTCGTTTGCTTAGGATTGTTAGTATAAGGGATGTGTGAGGAGTGAGGAATGATGGGTGAGGATGAAAGCAGATCGATGAGCCCATCCCAGGTGGGACTACGTGGAGGTCGACCTGATTATTGCTAGCAATGGTGCAGTTAAACCTCATTATTAACAATCCCTTTCTCCCGGAAAGCATGTGGTGGCCCATTCTACGCCGGGAGCACACGGCATGAGATACGGATGATTTGTCACACAAATACCTTGTAGGTGGGGGAAAGGGATTGTTAGTAATGGAGACTAAGAATCCCATTGCTAGCAATATACCCAACCAGGTAGACCTCCACGCGATTCCCCCTGGAAACTATCATGGTTAATTCCTGATGAATTCATCATGATGGGCTAACTGGCCTGTTTTTATTCTCACCGATCACACTTCACTGGTGCCTCGCCAGTGTATATCGTTAGCGTAGGCGAGGTTACCATACAATTTCCATCCATAAAAAAACAAATACCTCGCAGGTGTCGCAGGCGCGACCCGTGACGTGCGGCTTGCACCGACACTGGCCCGTTCGTATGTCGCACACATTGCTCTCGGCGCCCAAGCTGGAGCAGTTGCAACCTGGAACAATGCAGAAATAGGTTTTCATTGCTGTCATACTCAAAACAAGCTGTACCTGGGATCTAAATGTAAAGCTAAATATTAGCAATGGAGTTTGAGCCCCATTACTAGCAATATGTCCTATTAGATCAACCTCCACGTGTCTCCCCCTGGAAACCATCGTGAACAATTCTTGTTGAATTCGTCACGATAGGTTAACTGATCTGCTTCATCCTTACCTATCATCCTTCAATAGTGCCCCGCCGGTGTATACCGTTAGCGGTGGTGGGATTACCATTCTATTATCACCCATTAAAAGAAAAAAAAATGGGTATAATGATAAGTTGACGATGAAGGTCCATTTTGAACATGAGAAAGCTCTTTATATGTTGTTCTTGGGATTCATTACTGAATAATGTTTTAAAAGGTTGATTATAACTTTGATTTTGATTTATATTATATAATAAAATATATAATCTTATATATAAAATTCTCGTGTCGCGGTGTTTGTTACCAAACTCCTCCGAAACTGCTTTACCGATATTTATGAAATTTTGTGTGCATATCGGGTAGGTCTGAGAATCGGCCAACATCTATTTTTCATACCCGTCAATGATAAGGGTGACCCACTCCAAAATATATTTTTTTTTGACAATTTTTTTATTTTTATTTTATTATAATTTAGTATTGAAAAATACATACAACTTTAAATTTTCATCGTTTTACGATCAACCCCTGTATTTTATTTGCGATTTTAATATTTCGCAATAAGTAGTAAAACAACGTTTACGGGGTCAGCTAGTGTTCTTATATAAGTTGTTTAGGAACAGAATTGACTGTTCTCAGTTTCTTGCCAAATTTCATTTTCCATTGCCCGTGCACTATCCCCGTAGTTACATCAGTCTAATGTCCGTGCCGTTCCGTAGAACTGTTCTTGGTGCCAACTCCACTGTACCACGTCTTTGCAAGCTGTTGAATGACTGCAAGCAACACTTGGATATTCACTTCGATACAGAAGGGGATTTCTATAGGAAAGCACTGCAGTTAATTTAAATAGCTAAAACTTATGTGAAGCAATCATCTACAGAATCTAAAAAACTATACCAATGTTAAATACTTCAAGAGATTGTTATACCATGTTATTGTTTTTGTTAATTAGCACGCTGTGTTTCATTTAAAATGATTGTACACTAAGTATAAATAGACAGTAATTTTAATATTAAATCTTACCAGTGTAACAGTTGCTGGGAGACCAAATAAAGATAAAAATAAAAATATTTGCAGTGATCTAAAAAACTAGTAATTAAACATGTTTGTGAGATTATAAACATTAATAAGTTAACTGTGTAAAGTAGACGCTGTTTCAACTAACCGCCGATCTAGATATCTAGGCGCGGTTAAAAAGCCGAGATTAGTATAAGGTTGTGCGTAGGCTTTTTAAAAGAGAATTTAGTTATCGTATATATATATATATATATATATATATATATATATATATATATATATATATATGTGCACGACGCACCTTTTTAGTTTCTTTTTTAAATTTATTAAAAAAGATGTTTTGTTTGTAATTTGAAGTGTGTGTCAGTTTAGGTTTTTGTTTTGGCTTCGCTTTTTTACTCCGTTGGTTTGCTATGTACATTTTTTATATAATTATATTATCTTTCTAAAACACCGTGTTTCCATACCAGCATACAGTCCTTTCGCCCACATTTTTGGTCACCAAAAAAGCGAAGGCAAAAACAAAACCTAAACTGACACACACTTCAAATTACAAACAAAACATCTTTTTAATAAATTTAAAAAAAGAAACTAAAAAGGTCGTGCACAATATATATATATATATATATATATATATATATATATATATATATATATATATATATATATATATATATATATACGGCCCATCTGTTGGTAAGCGGTTATCGTAGCCTATGAACGACTGTAATACTAGGGACATTACGCGCGTATTACCGATCCTGAAGGAACCCCTCTACCCCTTTTTTGAAGATGAATCATGGGGGATGCTGTAGTTTCTTGAAAAAACCTCGACAGAAGTGGTTAAAAAAAAAGGTTTTTCAATAGTGAGAAATTTAATACGGAATGAGCACAGAAGTAGCCCTATACCTTGCAAAAACAAAAAGTAAAATCGTTTAAAAAAAATTAATGATTTTAACAGTCTATATGCAACATCGAAAATTTTAAAAGAGAAATTTAAATTAGAAGGAGTTTGAAGGTCCTTAAGATCACCACTGACTTCGCCACTCACGGTATTAGAGAGTATGTATTCGATTGCAGATTTTTAATCGTGATGTTTACGAACAGCCTTAGACAGAGAGATCTAAGTTATGCGGCATTAAAGCAGACAGCGAACTGAACAGCGCCGCCGGCTATTGACAAAGCGAATTCTAATGGCGCGCGCCAAATTATGAGCTTGTTATTTATCGCTAATTGAGCGAGTTGTGTGAGCTAAAAGCATTCGCCAATGATGCAAAATGTTTCTACTTAATGCAAAAACCAATATCACAGTGTAAACTCTTTTGTACCAATTTAACGGGTGTCTAGACAGAGTAATGCGTGCCGAATTCGGGGCATGCCAAAGGCGTTAGGTTATCTCTGGTTATTTCTTACACTGTGTCAATATATTTTTTTTATTATACTTAATATTCCTTTTAGTTTAAATTGAAGAGCTATAGTTTTATCAACGTCATCATTCGATACTGGACAGTCTTGCCAATAGTTACCACGCTTGACAGGCGGTTTGGCAACCGCAGTTAGGCTTTGATAATGTTATATGTGTACACATGTGTAGGACGATCCTTATTAGATGGAACGACGACCTCAAATGCATTGCAGGGAGTCAATAGATGCAGGTGGTTCAGGACTGTTCTTTATGGCAGTCTATGGGGAAGGCCTATGTCCAGCAGTGGGCAGATAATGGCTGAGATAATGATATACTTTTAAAAAAATTAAGTCTTGACCACAAGATTTTACTTTACAAAGACGTAAGTATTTCTGTACCATAACAATTTGCCAATTAAACGAGATCTCATGTTTAACGTACATGGGAGAACTTCGAGTATAACGACACTTATTCTGCAGAAATAAATGCATCGTTAAACGAACAATGGTTTATTGTTTACATAACTCAAACAATAGGAATAAAGAAATGCAAGGTAGCGAAGTATTTAACTATTAATAACGTAGGCATTAATGTAATTATTATTATTATATTAATAGCAATGCTGTACAGTAAGCATGGGTAATATTGTTACCACTCCGATTTTTTTTTATACAACTTAGAATGGTAAACATGCTGACACCTGATGGAAAGTGGTAACCGTCGACTATAGACATGAGCAATACCACGGACATAACAGAGTATACTGTTTCGCCCATGATACACCCCATGCGTTGCCATTCTTGAGGACTCAGGTGTTATTCCTCCGTACCCAGTAAATTCACGCCATATCGCATCCTTCAAACCGAAACACAGCCATGCAAACACAACTGCTTCACGATAGAAACACGAAAGGGACAGAGGTGCTCAAGCAAACGACTTGTACAAACTCTCTCTGGTAATTTTACGAATAATTGCATATTTATGTTAGTTTATGAGTCGTTTAGTGTTTATGACATAATTATAATATCTCAAACACTTTTACGAGTTAACCGTTATGGTGAAGAGTGAATGATTTCAAACTATCAATACACTATACAAGGCAATTAATTGGTGATAAATTATACAGCACTCAAATGTTGACATCATTTGGTAAGAATCATAATAAAATTTATAAGAGTGGGTTGAATTATTATCGGTCGTAGATTTTATATTTGTATTAAAATAATGACGAAGCATCGAGTGTCGAAATCGAATTCAAATTCACCGTGTTTTTGGCGTTTGCATGTATGCATTTGTTTGGAGATACTCCATCTGAATGTTTATAATCTATGTAACTAGCGCTACAAAATAATTATTACTTCGGTATTCCGTTGGATTTTTAAGTGATTTCTGAAACAAAAAGGTTCCATCTCCCATCACCACTTTTTAGAGTTTACTCCTATAACGGTCCCATAAAAAATTTGTCAGGAAATTGTGTTTTGTTTCGAAACACTATTTTTTTCTACGTTGTTTTCTAACTCTGCTATTTTTTAAAGATCATAACATTTTTTACTATTAAATTTATTAATGTATTTAATCTATATGTCTGATGCAATTAAATACAATGGACAGCCACTAACCAGTTTCCCCTATATCTCAGTAGCCACTCTATAAAGTGACTACATAATTACATTATTTTATTTCTCCATGATATCTCGAAGGTGTAAAATAATTAATATAATATTGCCATTTGCCTTCGTGCTGTAGAGATTTTATTAGTTTGATGCCATTCCTGGCTAAATAATTGTAAATAGATAGATAGATAGGTAATTTATTTGCATTACTTACTAACAGCACACAAATTACAACATACATATACAAAAAAAAGCGAGATAACATAAATGATAAAAAAAAAATACATAAAGCTAAATACAATTTTCGTTTGTGCGTGTGCCGTAGCAGTACAAAATGGCCACAACTCAGTTTATTGCTTCGCCCTCAAAAGAGCAAAGCACTGATATTCTGTTGCGGCCAAAGGGAATAGGGTAACAATAAAACAATACTATCAGATTATCCATACAGTAAATAGATAGATAGATACGGTAAACAGACAGATATGACAGTTTATCTAGCAGACAAATGGAACATACATATATAGTTTTTACATACATACATACATATATGTCACTCCTGTCTCCCATAAGGGTAGGCAGAAACAATGGAACGCCAAATGCTTCGATATATAGTTTTTCTTTTTTATGTAACGAATAGCAATGAAGCTAAGGGCTTACTTTATGATGTTAACCGTCGCCTATGTGTAGACATGACAGTACCGCCACACCTTCTATGGTTTTAGTACTTTTGTTATGTATACATACTTTATATTTTATATTTTATTTTTTTAAATATTATT